AAAACCCGGAGTTGTGTTTTGTTTCATTCTCACATGTTTAACACACAAACCCTGCAGATTTAGCCGGAGTTCTTCTCTCATGCGGTAATACAGGAAGTGCTCCACTGTGTTTTTAAACTCGATCCACCTTCACTAGAATCATTTGGATCATTTGCAGCCCTGGAATTGCCAGTTTTTGAGTTTATGATCTATTATTTTAGGCTTGTCGACACTTCTTCACGTCTCGGTGCACTAGAGGATGATGTAGACTTTCTGTGGAGCTCTTAACTATGGTTATGTGTAAAAATATTGAAATATCGATATACAGTATCATATGGATTAATTTGATGATAGAGTATCAGTATCATAGGCTGCTGTACTGATATATCGCTAAGAGTATTTTAGGAATATTTTACCAAATTATTTAGGTAAAATATTTTTAAATAGTACAATATTTTATCAAAATTTTGTGTGTACAATTGTGTTGAAATTTTCAGCTTTTGATGAGTAAAATACTTTGCACAAATTTAGTAGACTTAGTAACTTTTAGTATCACAGCCATTATTTAGTCTTTGTTTTTCACTGAATCGTGTCAAATCGATTTGAAAAAATATTGAATCGAAAGGGCAGTGTATCGAAAAACGTATCATATCATGGCCTGTGTATCGAGGTATTTATTGGATTGGCAACTGCTTAATGATACCCAGCCCTCTTAACTGAACAAAAGTTAAAATGAAAATACTGTTTAAAAAGATAACAACGTATGGTTATTTTAGAGTAGTACAGTAAAGTAAATATGTTCAGTTGAAGCTAAAAGTAATGACTGGTAACTTAAAATTACCGCTTCATGACATCACAAGGTGGAACAAAGCATTTGGAGCTTTGGAGATGTTGACAGACTAATAATAAAGGGTTTCTCAAACGTGTGTGAATGAAACAAAACACATAAAAGCTCTCACGAGTCGATTTTGCAGAATATAGGACCTTTAAGAAGTAAAATATTGAAAAGTACGACGTATGAAGGACTTAAATCAGTAGTACACAAGTGCATTTTGTTACGATTGTGCATTTTAAAACTGTGAATCAGCTCTGAGAAACTGTCTTCCTGTAAACTGACGGCGCATTTATAATAATCCTTATATTGACTGGTGTATGAGCCTGTGTATTGCAGTACTGTCCATATCCTAGCAGTACCATGAGCCTTGTATAGTAAATAATGTATATAGTGTCCGACGCAGAGATTGGGAGCATCTAAAAAGTCCCGGAATGTTGTGAATGTAGCGCCTCCTCTGGTCTGAGCTGTGACTGCAGACTTTAACTCATTAAAATCACTCACTTTGACTCATGTTTGTGGTTCGTTCGGGAAGAGGTCGGGATTACGGCTGCGGTGGAAAATACGCCGGAATTGAAAGGGGCAATGTTCCATAATCGTGACCTAACTGTGTCCCCAGATACGAGGTAAACATCAAGCTCAAATCAAATACAGCTTTTACTGATAACAAATGTAATTCTCATTTGTTCTTGGTTACAAACAGTGTTGGGGAGTAACAGATTACAGGTACCGGAGTTACGTAATCAGAGTACAAATTATGAGTAACTGTATTCAGTTACAGTTACTGTTTCAGTGAGTGGTAATTGGATTACAGTTACTTTGTTGAAATAAAATGGATTACACAGAGGTATTTTCCTGTTTTCACATTTTGGGCTATATCCCCCCCACCCCACCCCACTTGGTAATTCCAAGTCTAAACTAAATCTAAACTAGATCTAAACCAGGTCTAAACCAGGTCTAAAACCAGGTCTAAACTAGATTTAAACTAGATCTAAACCAGGACAAAACCAGGTCTAAACTAGGTCTAAACTAGGTCTAAACCAGGTCTAAACCAGATCTAAACCAGGACTAAACCAGGACTAAAACCAGGTCTAAACCAGATCTAAACCAGGTCTAAACCAGGTCTAAGACAGGTCTAAGACAGGACTAAACCAGGACTAAAACAGGATTTAACAGGACTAAACCATGCTGCGCGGACGTGTCTCCTCCTCTTCTATCAATAATATTTTTAATTTGGTTCAGTAAAGTCTGGGCTTTTCATTTTCTTTTATCAGACAAAACTTCTTATGTGAAGATTTCCTCGTCTTTGCTTCTCTACAGCAAATCAAGTAATCCAAAGTATTCAGATTATGTTACTCACTTTAAATAATTTAATGGATTCCGTTACAAACTACATTTTGAGGTATGTAATCTGTAATCTGTAGGGGATTACATTTTAAAAGTCACCTTCCCAACACTGGTTACAAAAGCATGTGAATGTGTCCTCTGTCTGCAGGTTAAGGCTCTGGCAGCACAGGTTCAGTTTGTGATTGTAGCAGTTTTTTTTTAAGTGTATAAAAGTGCAGGCTATGTAGAGTTCCTTTAAAAGTACACTGATATGACCAGAGACTCAGTTACAAGTCAAGTGTCAGTAAGAGTTCAAATTATGCATCAAACTACTCAAATTAGTCGTTTATTTCTTACGTTTAAATGTGATTCTAGCAGAGGTGGGGCCAAGTCATTGTTTTTGCAAGTCTCAAGTCTTTGACCTCAAGTCCGAGTCAAGTCCCAAGTCAAATACAGGCAGCCCTAGGTCGAGTCTCGAGTCACTGGTTCATAAGTCCAAGTCAAGTCCAAGTCATCTGCTTTGAGCTTCAAGTCATTTCAAGTCTTTCAACCAAAGTACCAAATATAGCTTAGATTTTAGCAATTTTTATGACTTTTAAACTAAATTGTACTTATGCAAATACCATGATTTTTTAAGAGTTGTAGAAATGCACTGTATATTACTGTAGCACATTTGAGGATACACATCACAGTACTTCAGTTCTATCCAAAGTAACAAACAGAAGTGAGAGGGACATGCTCCAGTTTGTTCCTGTAAAATTAATCACCACATTTGTCAACTGTAAAGAGAAAGCTATTTTCTAAAAACATATATTTTTTAGGAAAAGAATCAAGTTTTCTCAAGTCACAGGGCTCAAGTCCAAGTCACGTCCCAAGTCACTGACCTTCAAATCCAAGTCGAGTCCCAAGTCTTAGTCCATTTTATCAAGTCTCAAGTCTTAAAAATAGTGACTCAAGTCCAAGTGACGACTTGCAAGTACCCACCTCTGACCACCTCTCTAGCATTTTAGATCAGTCTTTTATTAAAAACCTGAGTTCAAGTTTTGGAAAGAGGAGCAATAATGAAAGAGTAACGCAATAGTAACACATATCATGTACAAATGCACCAAGAACTTGGCGAGGAGAAAATTCAGTTTGTCGACTGGACAAAAGTTAGTCCAGTCGACAAACTGAATTTTCTCCTCGTCATGGATTCTACCTGGACGACTGAGGGCTTCTTCACGCACCAAAAACTCCTCGATAACTTTAGTTGTTTGTCAGCCCTGCTCAGGAGAACACTTTCAGTATAAGGATCAAAAATAACATTCCTAAATTTGGAAGACATACAATATAAAATAAATAAATAAAATTTAAAAAAGGATACAAGCCAAAAGATTTGATTTTGGAACATCAAATTTGAGAAGAAAAACATGTGCCACTCTGATCAGTTACTTGTCCACCGTAAGATTATTTTTAAATTAATTATTTTAAAGGAATTGTGTCGTCTTCTGCTCTTACCATACAATCACAACTGAACCTGTGTCTCCAGAGCCTTCACCTGCAGATAGAGACACATCCAAGCTTGTCTCATTCTCAGTTTATGTTCAGGCCTCGTGTGAAAGCTCAGAACCTCCAGAATTCCCTCACTGAGCTGCAGAGGCTGCACTAGCCTGGCTGACTGGTGCAGGTGCTGGTGTTTAGGGAGTGACCGCTCAGATCAGAGAGACATTTTAGATTTAAACACACTGGAGACTCATGTGAACTCATTCTGAAACATCATTTTGATCAGAGGTGGGTAATTATTTTTTCCGTGGGGCCACATGAGAAACAGAAAAATATTGTGGAGGGACAAAATGCTTAACTCAATTCTGCATAATATTAATTGTATTTCTTTATAAAAGCAGTAAATATCTTTGTTTTGATGACTGGTCAGACTGGGAAGAGTTTATGTTATGACTAAGCAACGAAAAAGTGAGGTTGTCTTAAAAAAAAAAATGTAATTACAAAAACACCTAAAAATAAAACCAATGCAGATTTACTCCAAGAATGACGTGAAATTATATAATGTTTATTTTGTAATTCCAAATAATTTTAAACGAGCTGGTCAGAGTCAACCAAGGGACTGTATGTGGACCAGGAGCAGGTCTAATCTTGATCCAAAATTATAAAGTACAAGGCCGTCATGTCCAGTTTTTTTTTTTTTGTATTTTAAGAATAAATCAATAAATAAATAATATAGTAATGTATTTGAAAGTTAAAAGTCTATTTGTTATGAGTAAAAGCTATATTTGATTTGAACATGTACCTCGTATCTGTTAGGTCATACTTATGGAAGAGACAATCATAACCTTACATACAGCTTCGGAAAAAAATAGACTGTCCACTGCAAAATTATCAGTTGCTCTGATTTTACTACTTATAGGTATGTGTTTGAGTAAAATTAAAATGTTTGTTTCATTCTATAAACTACTGACAACATTTCTCCCAAATTCCAAATTAAAATATTGTCATTTAGAGCATTTATTTGCAGAAAATGTCAAATGCGTCTTGGCATGCTCTCCACCAAGATGACGACGACCGCACTCCAGTCCTCGATGGTCCAATCCTTATGTTTTGTTTTTTTTTGCAAACCTCAGTCTGGCTCTTCTTTGCTTCTCATTGATGAAGTTTTTTTTTTCTAGCTTTACACGACTTGAGCCCTGCCCCTAGGAGCTTGTTCTGAACCGTTCTTGCTGTGCACTTCACCATTTCAGACAAAAAAATGCAGTGGTCTCTTATTTTTTTCCAGATCTGTAGGTTTGTTTTAACTGTGTAGTTCATGTTATTACAAAGTTCCCACATTTTCACCTTATGTACTTTTAAAACAGAAACAAGAGACAAGCAGTGTATTCAAGATTATTTTAATATTATTAATATGTATACTTTAGGCTTTAGAAATATAACTATCAATGACAAAACTTCCACTGGAGTAATGGTAGTTTGCTTAGGCCCCCATCAAATCAATTAATTACATTATACACATTATGATACAGAGCAGATTTGAATCTGAAATCATATTAAAATAAATGCTCAATAGATAAAGGTTTTAATCTTTGCCTACTGTTATTAGCAGTCTGTGAGTCGTGACACACCCAAACACGTAAAGCCTTTTCTCTAATAAACTCATTTAAGTGCAAACATCTTTTCAAAAGACTAGCATTGCAGCATCCAGCTTTCCAAGGTTCAGAATTCCAGAAGGGAGGATGGAGCCGGGTGCAACGCGGCAGTCCTCACCCTCTTTGTTCCATTAGAGTAGTTAGAAAACACGAGGAAGTCAGTGCAAAGGAGGAGAGGGAGACAGCCAGGCGCAGGCCCTCAGCAGAGCCACCGGGGGCGCTGTAGGTACCACACTGACCACGGGGAGGACCACAGGAAATATACAGCACCAGGCAAAAGTTTGGACACACTTTTTCATTTATGTCTTACAATTATTGACATTGTAGACTGTAGAGTTGCCAAAAGTATTGAAAATCAGATACTAGTCAATACTAAAATCAGTATCAACAATAGATACTCGGTTTAACGTAAGAAATGATTCTGAAAGTCTCATCAACATAATCTTGAACTTTATCAACACCAGTTTAGAAACACATGGTAAATGAAAAATAAAGCACTCTATTTGCACTGAGAATTACTTTTTTCAGTCTCATCAAAATGATCAAGTATCAAGCCTTTTCTTTTGTATTAGAATAGTATGAAATTTAAGTATCTTGACAACACTATTACATTCTCACTGAAGGCATCACAACTATAACATATGAATCTATTAAACTAAAAGTGTGAAATAACTCAACTGTTATATTTTAACTTCTTCAAAATGGCCTCTAATCCTTTACTTTGATCACTGCTTTACACACTCTAGGTCTTCCACTAAAACCCCGAGGCACTTGAGACTTCATGAAGCTCATTTGGAGAAAGCCGTGGGTCTGCAGTGATGTCAACAAAGCAAAGGGTGGACACTTAGTCTACGTTCAGACTGCAGCTTGAAGTGATCCAAATCTGATTTTTTTTTGCCCCTGTGCTCCTGTATCTGATCTTTTAATCACAGTTTGAACGACACGGATCCGATTTTTTCCAAATGTGACCCAGGCCACTTGGATATGCGCTCCTAAAACCGATACAAATCCGATCTTTTGACGTGCGACTTCAGTCTGAACGGTCAGGTCACATTCATCCCACCTACACGTCAGGCTCAGAGTCTCATCAACAACGGGAAAGCGAGGTTAGAGAGTTCATTCATATTTGGGGGGGATCGCTGTTTTCAGGACAAATTGGAGGAGTCTTATCAGATCATCACCGGGCGTTTTTTGAAATGATTGCCAAAGAAATGTTCCGAGCACGGCTACAGTCAGTCCTGGCTCCAACGTCAACGAAAAATAAAGAACCTGCGAGCCAAACACAAGGACGCTAAAGACTCTAACAAACGAAGCGGCGGTGGACGTGTAACCTATCCATTTTACCAAAGAACTGGACCGTATTTTGGGAGACAAGCCCAGCGTTTTGGCAACTTCCATAAACTCTGAGCACGCTTGCCGAGTGTGACGTCGCTGTGTCCTCCAAAGCACATGCGGGACACTTTTGGGGTGTTTAAAGCTCACACTGGAGATCACGTACAAGTCGTATTTAACTGGAAATGTGAACGACCTCGCAAAAAAAATCCGAACGGAGCCTTAAGCCCTGCAGTCTGAACGTAGCCATAGAGCATTTCAATCTAAAAACTACAGAAAATGTTTAGTTATTTCACTTTTTTTTTCTTTGCTACACGATTCCGTACATTTCGCTTCATATATGTGACGTCTTTTGTTTGGATATACGATGTAAACATAAAAAACAAACACTGAATGACTGAGGAGGTGTGTCCAAACTTTTGACTGGTGACGTTCTTACATTTTCAAAGCGATAGAAATGAAAGATTTTGCATGATTTGAATCCAGAACGTCACCTTGATTCAGTTATTTTTTTGCTTGATTGCTTCTTACATAATAAATTACAAGAACCCACCATTTTCTGAAGGGGGAGGTCTGTACTTTACGTCGACAGTGCAGACGCAGAATCAATCGACAATCGCCAATGTGGTACCTACAACTTAACCATTGACCGCACTTAACATTTCGAGAACTCTCTTTCATAATAATAATCTCAAGTCACAGTTTGTGTCTGATAAGCCATAATAAAAAAAAAAAAAAAAAAAAAAAAAAAAAACAGTCGGGTAGGTCTTTAGTTTTAAAACTGTTAAAAAAGTGTTAAAACTCCAGAGGACGCCCGCTCACAGTCGCGTCGCTTCCTCTAGATCGGGATCGGGTGAGAAACAACAACAAAAGAGGACAAAGAAACAAAAGAAAAAGGGAGAGGGAGAAGAGGACGAGGAGGAGGAGGAGGAAGTGGAGAAGAAGAAGAAGAAGAAGGGGTGAACGGAAAAAACTTGCACTGCGGACGGTGGCGAGCGAGCAGCATCGGACGTCGCAGGCTTGTCGCTAGCAGCACAATTATTGGTTGTGGCTATACTACTGTTCCGCTGGGGGAGCTGGCCTGGTTTTGAGATGACAATAAACCCTGGAAAAAAAACAGGAAAAAACAAAAGGAGGTTGGCGTCGGGAGAGAGAGAGTCACACACTGGAGCAACAGAAATGAACGCTTAAAGAAAAGAAAATAAAGAAAGAAAAGTAGCAAGTAGAAGAGTTAGAAGACTGGAATAGGGTGACCAGAATTTCAAAATACAAGACGTGTGAGTCAGTATAGTCACGTTTTCTTTGTGTTTTGGTCATTTTCAAGCAGCTTTTTGTGTATTTTACCGAAACAAATCACAATTTTTGCTTTTCTTTACTGTTGGCAGGGATCAAATTGGTCAAAATAGGGACATTTCTTGCATAAAACTGACAAATCAGTGGTTTTAAAAGGTAAATCTGCTGGGACAAAGGGACACGGGACTCAAAATTGGGACTGTCCCGTGTAAATGTGGACGTCTGGTCACCCTAGACTGGAGGTACAGAGGAGCAAAGCTAACGGCGAGGCACAAGCCGAGCTAACAGTATCAGGAGGAAAACACTTCCGTTACGCTGCAATAAATGAATTATCTAATCACTTGAACTGTGGATATCAAGTTGAGTAATTTGACTAGTTTATTACTAATTAGTTCATTTTATCTTCTGTTTATAGCAGAACTACTTGTCTATGGAGTAAGTTTTTTTTCGCTGTTGTATGATTTTTTTTAAAGTGGGACTAAACTACTAAACTTCACCAAGAACAACACCGCAAATCGAGCTCCTAATTTGGGAAGTATTGGTGGATTGAAGAAAAGCGTAAGGGGGGAGGAGGAGGGCAGGGTCTAAACCACAGAATGTAAAAAAAAAGTGGACTAAGACCCCGTTTACACTGAAATGAATCCACGTATCACCGTATCGGAAAATATCGGCGTCCACACATGTCGTTTCTGTGTCTTCCCTACCCACACAGCTTTGAGCATAATTGTTTACATTTTACAGAAACGAATCTTAAAACCACATGGTTTATTTGCATAAACTGAGCGCTCAAAAAACAGTTCGCTATTGTGTGCGGTTCAGCTTCTGTCGGACTAAAAAACACGGCTCAGTGGAATATCAGTGTTCTTTCTGTGACAGAGGGGGGTTCTGCTGATGGTGAGTCTGTTCTGTGTTTTTGTGTCGTGTTGGAGATGGTTCATGTGAAACTTTTCAGAGATTATTCGTCTGCAGGTCGTACACACAGACACACGTTATATATGAATGGACAGATATTCTAGCCTCTTAGCGTTCTGGCGGTGAATTACTTCGCGGCGCATAGACCTACATCAGCATATCAGCATTTTCAGGCGTCCACACAGTGGATCAGATCTGTACTCAGATGAATTCGTGGGAGCTGGAGGCACCAGATCGTTCCATCTCTGGAGCCGTTTTCAGTCGGATTAGTGCGGACGAACACTGCATCCGCAACGAAAACGACTCGAATACGTACGTAGTGTGACGTCTCCACATCGTTCAGCTCCACTCAGATGAAGCTCTCGTTGCCACGGTTACAGCCAGGCTCCATATTTGGAAATCTGACCGCGAGTATCATAGCAACCACAAGAGCCAATCATGATTGAGATTGTTAAATGTGCCCATCCTTCTCACTGGAAAGCAGGGAAGAGTTTACTTAGCAACGAAACGGACCAGCTGTCAATCAAACCTGTTGCTACCGCTAGTGGGAGGGACCTCGGGGAATGAAGGTGTCTGACTGGTCCATTATTTATGTTCAGATCTTGATTTAGGGACAAAATAGCGAAATGAAAACTTCAGCATCATGTACAGCGGGTTAATATGAACATTTAAGACCAAAATGACAAAGCTCACTTCAGCAGGTATAGAGAGAGGAGCCACAAGAGCCCAGTGTAAGGTAATTGGAGCCAGTGTCAGAAGAGCCTCCTGGAGCGTATGTCCATTCATATACGGCCTATGTAAATGACTAAAGGGGAGAGTGAGGAGGAGGGGCGAGGCCTGGACATATAAAGCTCACTGTGATTGGTCTAAAAAGTTTCCACACTGCCAGTGCAGACAGATGTTAGTATCAGAAACCCAGTTCTGTGTGATGTTATGTAGAACTAGAAACAGCAATGGCCACTGTAGGCAGCACCAACACAGATTTACCTAATTTGCACTAACTAGGAAGAGTAGACACTTCGATTAAAACACTATATGCACAGTTAATAGCACTAAAAAGAGTGTTTAGTCCCACTTTAAGTATTTCTTTCTCCTCTCACTGACAGCTGAAAAACCCAGAAACAAGATCAGCGATTAATTAGACACAAGATTCTTTCAACTCCATTCCAGCTGGATACTAATGGTTGGTATTTCTGACTTTCTTTTTTCCTGACAGATTAGGAATTAGATTTGTGTTTAGAAAATAGGAATTAGATTTGTGTTTTTTGTTTTAAAAATTCAGACTGAGTTTCCAGAGCTCTTTTGAACAGGACCAGGAGCCGTTATCATTTGAGAGAAAACAAACGACTGACTGTTAAACTATTGCAAGAATCTAAACTACAGCTTTAGGAGCTTTTACAATAAGACCCCATGGACCCACAGGGACAGCGTGTTTGTGGTTTAGTTTTAAATAACCAATATATGGTTTACAATCATTAGTTACAGCCCTATGGTTAGACATATTCTATTAACTTCAATTTGGTTACGGTTCTATAGACATAAGATTAAAGCTAACGGAGCAAAAATCTCTCATATCAGATGGTTAATGATGTTAGTGTCATGTATTTAAACAGACCTATGAGAGGCAGCAGAATGTTCTACTGAGCAGGAATACTCAGGTCTGTGATGGAACTACTGATGTGTTTTGCATTTGAGAGTTTGAATTCAAACTAAATGCAAAACAATATAATCAAAGTGTGATCTTTTATACTGACTGACTTCCTAAATGTTAAGTGACGTTTAAAGGTGATAAGCCTGAACGTGTCACCACTAGAACGGTCATGTGAGGAGTGTATGCCTGCTCCAGTCTGACAGATAAACTCCGCACACACTGCTGTTCTGCCTGCGTTTGGTCTCTTTAGCTTCACTTTGTTTCTCAATATGTCTGGTTCTTTCTCGAGCTCCTTGAGTTAAAAAGAACTTACCACTTTGCCTGGCCTGGCCCATGTGCAAATAAATCCTTCCTGACATGCAGTCACTAAACAGTCCTCTAAAAATATGAGTACGGTGAGTCTCTCGTGTGCTATCTTTTTACAGATGAGGGGCTCGAGCAGAGGCACGTCCTCCATGCGCGGGCACAGCAGTGTGCCCAGAGTCTTGGCCGGGTCTGTTTTGCTCTTGGTCAGCAGGTTGAGCTTGTCGCTGCTCTTGCTGCTGATGTGCCCCATGCTGTGGTTGCGTTTGTGGTCCTTATCGTGGCGCTCCTTGCGGTCGTGCAGAGACAGCGTGGCGAACTTACTGACCCCAGTAGCTATGGCACTGTCCATGATGCCCGTGCCCGTGCTGGGCTTGTTGGTGCTGTTAGCCGTAGCGGTGTTGGCGGCGGAGTGCGGCAGGCTGTTGGAGCGCGGGAGTGAGCTGGACACAGAGTTCAGGGCGGGCGTGTTCGCGCCGCTGTTGTTTCCGTTGGTGGTGGTTGTCGTGGTGATGACGGGAGCGCCCCCTGGAGGGCTGCTGGCGTTCATCACATTAGTATGAGTCCGTGTCCGTGACAGGGGCAGGTGGGGGAAAAGGATGTCCTCGGTCAGGTCCCAGAGGCACAGCTGAGTGTCCTGTCCCACCGAGCCGAAGCGGTATGTGACGCTGACGGGCCGGCTGTCTGTGGAGTTACGTTTGGAGAGGCGAGACTGCGTGCTGTTGGCCCGCTCACGCCCCAGGTGGATCATCTGATCCTGGAAGTCTTCATCACTGCCGCTGAACTCCATGGGCTCGTTCTCCTCCACACTGGTGGTGTAGTGGTCAAAGGCCACCACACTCACCCAGGACTTGTGTCCGTGCCCGCGGGCGATCACCCTGCAGTCCATAAACGACCACACAGTCACCAGGTCGTCCTCTCCGCCCGCCACAATATACTTCCCATCAGGGCTCCAGCACACACACAGCAGACCCCCGAAGTAGCTTTTCATGGTGCCGTGCAGCTCCACCGCATCAAAGTTAAAGACCCGGAGGAAGCCGTCTTGGCTCACACAGGCCAGGAACTTCCCATCGGGAGAGAAGGAGAACTCATTGAGCGCCCCCTCCCCTACAGTCCACTTGAGGAGGGGGTTGCGGGTGGACTTGCTCTTACACGTGTGCACAGAGTAGTTGTCCCCCTGCTTGAGGAGCTGGTAGTGAGGGGCCGTGGTGCCACACGTGTGTTCCACGTTGTACAGGTACATGTTTCCACTGGCATGAGACACCAGGAACAGGCTCTCAGAGCCTGGCACCCATTTCACACACGTCACCCTGGACTTGTCTATGAGCCTCTGTGGAGAGAACACAGCGTCAGTACATAGATCATACAGGAGTTGTGTGGCTGTGGAGTGAGAGTACCTCCTCGTTGAAGAGCTTGCTGGTCTCCTTCTTGATGGGGTCAATGAGCTGGACCTGTCCTGCAGAGAAGCCCACGAGTAGAGACACGCTCTCGGCGGTGGCCGTCAGGTGGTTGAAGTCATGACACGTGGGCTGCGTTCCTTTGTAGATGCGCTTGTCTATGGGCTTACTCAGGTCTGCAGCCTGCAAACACAACACTCTTCAGGACTAAAACACACAAAAAGCTGTAGCATTATTTCCTACAGTCTAACACACTTCTCCTTATCTGTGACCACAACACTGTACAGTGATCTACCATCCAGTGCCCAGGGAGGAGTCACTCACGCTAATGGAAAAAGCACTGCCCATTTCCTGAAAGACTCTGCTCTGGTGCCAAGACTGAACTGCAGATAACCATTACAACTGTACTGTGTTAATCATTGACACTTCATTGTACAACACCTGAGTGATCACTTTGTAACACTGACTCTGACACACGCTGCAGCCAGTCGTCAGGTCAAATCCGCTTCACAGAATAATTCATGTTACAGACAGCCTTTACAGAATCACTTTCCTCAGTGAACCCAGCATTTGATCTGTGGTTTAACTTTGGATTTGTTCTGTCTGAGGTCAGCTGTGCCCCTCCACACTTTTGTTTATCAGTCAGTACTAAACACTATGACCAATTAGCAGTCAGCTGATCCTCTGCACCTCTCGTCCAGTGAGCTCAGCTGTCAGACATGGGAGTTACTTTTACTGGCTGATTTTCAATGCTTTGTGTTTCACCACTATAGCAATATGGATTACTCAACAACTGTATAAGGCACAATATAATGATCATGACAAGTCACAAAACTATTGTGACCAGATTTTTTAAATAAAAAGCTGGGACGCTCCCAGTTTGTGATGGTTGGTAATAATAAAAATGTGAATCGAGTGTGTAATTATTAAGGAAAATTGTTTTGCCCTCGGTCCATTCACGGCCAACATGTGTCAGTATAGTCACATTTCCTTTGTGTTTTGGTCATTTTTACGCAGCTTTTCTGTATTTTTTCTAAACAAATTACAATTTATACCTCTTTTTACTCTTGGTAGGGATCAAAGTGGTCAAAAATAGAGACACCTAGGACATGTCTTGTTTAAAGCTGGGACAAATCAATAGTTTTCGATAAATCTGGTGGGACAGGGGACACAGGGCTCAAAACTGGGACCGCCTCGGGTAAATAGGGACATCTGGTCACCTTACGCTATATACAACTTTTATGCAACTATTTTCCCCATTAAAAGACATATATTTTTTGTTTTCATTTGTTAATCACTATGGCAACAGTCCTAATTTCTCATTCTGAAAAAGTCTTGACTGCTTTTGTTATAACTGTTACTGGTTACTGGTAGAGTGACCAGAATTTAAAAATAAAAAATGGGACATCCCTGTTTTTTTTTGGTGGGTGATAATAATAAAATTGTGAAATGAGTGAGTAATGAAGGAAAAATGTTATGCCGAGACCATTCATGACTAAGATGTGAGTCAGTACAGTCACATTTTCTTTGTGTTTTGGTCAAGTTTTTAACAGCTTTTCTCTATTTTACCTAAACAGATGACAATTTATGCCTCTCTTCAGATTGGTCAAAAATAGGGACATTTCTTGAGAAATCACTGGTTTTGGATAAATCTGCTGGGACGAGGGACAAAAGGCTCAAAATGGGACTGTCCCAGGTAAATAGGGATATGTGGTCACACTAAATAAAACAATTCACTCAACACTGCTTACATCACTTGAGGAAAATTGTTATGCACTCGGCACTAATGTGAGTCGGTATAGTCACATTTTCTTTGTGTTTTGGTCATTTTTAAGCAGATTTTCTGTATTTTATCTAAACATTTACAATGCATGCCAGTCTTTACTGTTGACAGGTATCAGATTGGTCAAAAATATGAACACCTGGGACATTTCTTGTATAAAACTGGGACATCCCTGGGTTGGGGTGGTTAGTAATAATAAAATTGTGAAACAAATGAGTAATCAAGGGAAATAGTTATGCACTCAGCGCCAATGTGACTCAGTATCAATTTTCTTTGTGTTTTGGTCATTTTTGCAGATTTTCTGAATACAAATGTGTGAAATCAAAATGAGTATAAAATAGTAATAATAAAATTGTGAAACAAATGAGTAATCAAGGGAAATAGTTATGCACTCAGCGCCAATGTGACTCAGTATAGTCACATTTTCTTTGTGTTTTGGTCATTTTTAAGCAGATTTTCAGTATTTTACTTAATCAAATTACAATTCATGCCTGTCTTTACTGTTGGCAGGGATCAGATTGGTCAAAAATAGGGACATTTCTTGACAAATCACTGGTTGGTGATAAATCAGCTGGGAGAGGGGACACGGGGCTCGACAGTGGGACTGTCCCGGGGTAAACAGAGACGTGTGGTCACCCTAACATCAGCAGGTAGCGCTGGTTAGCTCTCTAGTAAGTAAGTAAGCAGCGGGCTAAAGCTAACTAGCCGTCAGCTCGTTTCAAAGTCAAGCACCTGTCAGGGGATAATTACAGTGACAATCGCCCGCTGCCACGACACAAACTAAACACCGCAGGCCGGACGGTGAGCGCACGGTGGTGTAAACGTGACGGGACGCGAGCAGATACCTTCCTGACGCCTTTGTAGATGTAGAAGTAGAGTTCGCGGCCCACATTGAAGCAGATCCGGTCGCCGTTGCCGGACTGGTCGTTGACGTTGACGAAGGAGACCTTGACGGGGTTGGATCCCTGCGAGTTGAAAGGCACCCGGTTGGGGCGGCTGTATTCGGAGTGCGTGAGGAGTTTGTAGACGCCTTCCCGAGTGGTGAACTGAGTTTTGATCTCGTTCATCTCCTTCCCTCCTCCCTCCGCCGCCATCTTTGAAATCAACATTCATCCCTGTCCCCCTCCGGCCGGAAGTGACGCCGCGGCCACACTTTTATTTTATTTTATTTTATTTATTTTTTATTATTTATTTATTTTATTTTGTTTATTTTTTATTATTTTTATTTATTTATTTATAATATTTTAAATTATATTTTTAATGGTGTGATTTACCCGAGACAGTCCCAGTGTATCCCATGTCCCAGCAGATTTAGCCAAAACCACTGATTTAAATAAGAAATGTTCATGTTAGGGCTGGTATCATTAAGAAGTTGCCGATACGATACATACTTCGATACATAGGCCACGATACGATACATATCCCGATACAGTGCACTTTTATTTTATTTTATTTATTTTTTATAATTTATTTATTTATTTAATTTATTTTTATTTATTTTTATTATTATTTTTATTTATTTATTTTTTAATATTTTTAATTATATTTTTAATGGTGTGATTTACCCAAGACAGTCCCAGTTTTGAGCCTCGTATCCCATGTCCCAGCAAATTTAGCCAAAACCACTGATTTAAATAAGAAATGTTCATGGTAGGGCTGGGTACCATTTAGAAGTTGCCGATACGATACATACCTCGATACATAGGCCACGATACGATACATATCCCGATACAGTGCACTTTTGTTTTAATACAATATATTTCAAATCTGTGATACTGTGATAATCTTTCTGTGATACTAAAAGTGTTTGTTAAACCACTTCTTGTGCAAAGTTAATATGAAATACAGCCATTTTAATCATCAAAACAGTGAAAATGTCAAATGTGTTGCATAAACGAGTTTCCTTCCACTGAAAAAGCAACAAAACTGTAGCACTGTAACAAAATAATTGAGTAAAATATACCAAAAAATACTCTTGGCGATATATCGATACAGCAGCCCACAATATCGATGCTGTATCATCAAATTAAGTGATACGATATATCGATATTTCCTGTGTCCCTATTTTTGACCAATCTGATCCCTGCCAACAGTAAAAAGAGGCATAAATTGCTATTTGTTTAGGTAAAATACAAAAAAATCTGCCGAAAAACGATCAAAACACAAAAAATGTGAATATACTGGCTCACATGTTAGTCATGAATAGTCTATGCATAACAGTTTTCCTTAATTATGCACTCGTTTCACAATTTTATTATTACCAACAGCCAAAAAACTGGGGATGTCCCAGTTTTTTATTTTCAAATTCTGGTTACCTTACGTTATATACTACTGATGTGTTTATTGTTTATATTATGATTTTACTTCCTTATAGTTATATTTAATTATTTATTTGTTTATTAGTTAATTATGATTCCTTAACTGGGATATACACGCTCCCTCTGGTGGGAGTTTTTATTTTATTTTAAAATTATTATTTTTTACTATATACTATTGAGGTGTTTATTGTTTATGATATGATTTTCCTTTTTTCTTTTTTTTTAAATCAGTGTTTAACTTTATTTAGTTAAAATATAGGCGAAATAAATTGTACACAGAACATTTTTTCCCCCTTATAGTTATATTTAATTATATATTTGTTTAATTATGATTCGTTAATTGGGTTCTACACGCTCCCTCTAGTGGGAGTGACGCTTTTTAAAAAAATTTATTATTATAATTTTTTTAATTATTATATAAATTTTTTTTTCTGTTTTGTCATCTTTTGTGGTATTAAGTTTTGCTTTTTTTTTTTTTTTTTTTTTTTAAATGCCGAATAAACAATTTGTACACATGTCACACGTTATTTGATTATATATTATTTTTATATATTCATTAAAATTCGTTAACTGCAACACAAGGTCAAGTTACAAAATATTCACGCGTTATTAAGAAACATTACTCGTGTCTGAACTGAGGATTCGTTTTATTTTGAAAGGTTTAACAACAGCTGATCGGAGTTGTGCTGTGATGGTTTCAAATCTCGCGTCAGTCTCATGTGGCTCGTGTGGCTCATGTGGCTCTCGTGGCTCTCCCTCCGCATGGTTCGGCTCATCAGAAGCTCGGCTCTTGGATTCCTGCACACGATAGAAGCTCCAGATGTCCTCATGGCGTGGAGAAAACGGAGGCACATGGGTGATTATAATTATAAGTTTGTGTCATGTCGCCGCCCCAAACATTTCACCAGTTACATTTTCTTAGATCCCAGAGGCAGATCTGTCCCCAACAATGTGGAGCACCTGGCTTTCAAGTACATGGTGAGAGTCTAAAGTTGTAGGTTACAACAGTCTTAAAATGCAGACATACTAATTTCACGGATTCAAGATTTACTAAAAATCTTGTATACTTTTTTACTATAATAGTTTTACTATGTTATTTCTTGTTTGGACATAGGCAGTGGATTTAGCCTGTGACAGGAGTCTCCAACCTGTAACTCAGAAGCTTCCAGTAGCTCTCCACCCCTTTACAAGTAGCACATAAAGGGATTTATGAATTATATGTATTGTATTGAATAACTCAAATATGATTAGTTGTAAACTGTAAATATGTCATGTTGAGCTTTGTGCACTAATAAATGCTTTTATGTTTTTTAGCCATAACTGTAAGGTTAAGGTCCTCTTATATTGACTATATTGATTCTTGCGACTGTGAAAATTATTAAGTCTCTGGCATGTTTATTTTGTATTGTAGCTCACCAGAGGCAAAAGGTTGGAGACCACTGGTCTATGACTGAATTGTTAATTGGCAGCCACAATGTTAACAAGGGCAAAACATGTAAAAAGTTACAGTTACATTTGCTTTTTAATTCAATTATACTTTTCAGAGTACTATTCTAGCTGCAAACTTTTACTCCTACCTGAGTAAAAAAATTGTTTTAATTGAAGTAACAGCACGCTTACTCTTACAATGGGGAGAGAAACCACAATTTTTGTTCAAGTCTAAAGTGGCAAAAGCTTTATGTGATAATATGAAATGATTTGAACATTTGTTTCTTGCAGCTCTCCTTTAGATATATAACATTTTTTACATTATGTAATGCTTGTCCTTCAAATGACCTTAACTTCCAATTATAAATCAGATTTGTTACTCTTGAGTGTAATTTTTGGCTTTTCTATCCACCTCTAATTATCAGACAAATAAAAATAAATGACAGTTTCGCAGAGGGATTCTGTAGTGTAGAACTCACCACTACCTCTATTTTTGTTCTTTTCTTCTCAACTTTCTTCTCAGCTTTTCTGGTGGAGGGCCTGTCAAATGCTTTTCCCCATGGAGATGTTATTCTTTTGTTTGGAATGTTTCACAGTATGGCATTAAACCTTTTGATCTTCATAGAGACCAAGTTACAGGTCAGTTCTATGAAGAGGCTTTTCTATGTATTTTTGAGATTTAAAACCACCAATAATTGAATATATGTAAAGTAGAGCTGTTTAATGTCACACTGTGGAACAATCCTGGCAGAGCAATGACATCTCCATAGAAACAAGCAGGTGACAGACCCCCAACCAGTCGATACAAATACATATTTAGCACAGGTAAAATATTATCAGCCAAACCAAGTGAGAATGAGAAACCAGTGAACCGTGTCAGCTGTGCTTTAATGTCTCTTTTATGTTGTGCATGTCCCCGTGTGTGCTGTTGGACCAGGAGATGTGTAAAGTGGAGTCCAGCACAGACTCGGAGTCTGAGATCAGCCCGCGATGGTCCGACACCAGCACGATGGTACGTCCCCTCCCCTTTAATATGGCCCCTGTGTGGAATAACTCTCACTATCAAGTCATTTTGTTCTTTCACTAAGGAAAAGTGAGTGAAGTGTCTTGCCCAAGGATACAACAGTAAGCAACTTGAACTGCTATTTTTAAATAATTGAGTGATTTATTTATTTTTATTTTTTTCAAACACTTTCTTTAACACAGACCTGGGCATTGTGCAGCTCCCGAGCCACATACGGCACTTTGGTCGACTCTGACTGTCCCATTTAAGCTGATTTGGAATTACAAAATAACATTTTTTTTTGCATTTTTACCTCATACATGGACTAAAGCTGCATTGCTTTTATTAATTTATTTTAGCTGCGTTTTTTTTTTTTTTTTTTACATTTTTTGTAAGGCAGCCTCACTAAACCGGGTCTAAACCGGGTCTAAACCGGGACTAAACCGGGTCTAAACCGGGTCTAAACCGGGTCTAAACCGGGTCTAAACCGGGTCTAAACCTGGGCTCAACCTGGGCTCAACCTGGGCTCAACCTGGGCTCAACCTGGGCTCAACCTGGGCTCAACCTGGGCTCAACCTGGGCTAGTCTTTTATTTTTTACTCCACTTAAAAATGTAGTTGAGTAGAAAGTACAAATACATGCTCCTAAATGTGGTGAAGTAAAAATAAAAATAGCCAATTTTATGTTTTCTGATCTGTTAATGTATTTTCCTCATCACAAACAGACCTGGAGTTGTGTTTTGTTTTTTTCATTCACACATGTTTAATTTAACACACAAACCCTGCAGATTTAGGTTCTTCTCAAACAGAAAACGCTTTGTTCCACTTTGTGATGTCATGTGGTAATACAGGAAGTGCTCCGCTGTGTTTTTAAACTCCACACACCTTCACTGGAATAATTTGGAAAATCCAATCTCTGGAACTGCGAATGTCTACTGAGCTAAAGGTAAAAGGTAGCTGAAAACTACCACTTCATGATGTCACAAGGTGGAAAAGAGCAGTTTGAGCTTTTGGAGATGTAGACAGATGAATTAATAATAAAGGATTTCTCAAACACATTTCCAGGTCTGTTTTTGAGGAGGTAACAGCATTATAACATGGCTTAAAGCTCATAAGAGTCAATTTTGTGTAATATAGGACCTTTTAAGTACAATACTCAGGGTTCTCACAGTCATGGAAATCCTGGAAAAGTCATGGAAATTGAAAATGTCATTTTCCAGGCCTTGAAAAGTATGGTATAGTATAGAATTTTTGTTTCTCTTTCACGCAACTACAGCATTCTGTTTATTTATTTGACTATTAAGATTATTTCCAAACATCTGCGCCTTTTGTTTAAAAGAGACAACAATAAATGCACTGACAGGATTTTGAATGTTAAAAACTATAATCCCAAACCATGAATTGAGTGGAAAGAGTTAACATTTCATATTTAGTCCTAAAAGTCTGATCAATTCTACACATGTAGGTGCTGTAAAGTCATGGAAAATTCACTTTAGGTCATGAAAAAGTCATGGAAAAGAGTGGGAACCCTGAATACTTCACTACTTTTACTTTGTTACGTTCCACCACTGCTCAGATCGAGGTAAGGGCAGCTTGGCAGATGTGGGTAAGCCCTCTGATGTTTTCCTGTGGTCCCATAGAGAATGTACCTGTAGGCGTCTGTACATTTCAACCTGGAACATTTCTGCTCATTCCCATCTACAGCCTTCATGTAGTATTATATGACATGACATAAGTCCTGTGGAACTGTCTGTGTGCTCAGGGCTGTGGCAGCAGTGCAGCAGAGAGCGACTGTGGCCCTCACACCGTCCCCCTGGTGCCCAAGTCCTCAGGGAGACACGGCTGCTCCTCTGTGGTAACCCCCCCCACTCACCTCCACATCTGGACACACGTGTGGTCAGGAGCACCCAGCTGGAGGGTCGGCTTATTGTACATGTTTTAAATGTTCCCACCCAGTCACAGGGAGAACATGCAAACTCTTGACAGGCCCTTACGCAGCCTGGGAATTGAACCAGCGAGAGAACGTGCTAAACCAGGATTACATTGTCAGGGGTCTCCAACCTTTTTCTTCCCATATGCCAAAGAGCTGCTCATTTTAGCAGTCACAAGAAATTGAGCACAGGAAAGCCTTAGATGGGGAACAGTTGGATACCTGTAACACAAACCATTATCTATTTATCAGTGTACAAAGTCAGGCATCAGAATTATACATTTATAATGGTAGTTCATCAACTTTGAGTCTTTCAGCACAATCCGTACAATTCATAAATCCCTTGGTGAGCTACATGGAAGGAGGTGGAGAGCTGCTGGTAGCTCCTGAGCTACAGGTTGAAGACCTCTGCACTACACTGTGCATTACCAGTGTAGTATATCTGAACTATAATATATTCACTATGTTCATTGTATTGAATTAGAATTTTTCAAGTGTGTTTTAGTTGTTCTAAAGCTCCAGTCACATATTTACATTGATATTGAATCCATGTGTTGGTTTCACTGTCCATAGACCGACATGGCTCCAAACATGAACTGCTCTTCTGCTGTTTACCTGCAAAAAAAAAACTCTTGCAGAGGTTTTGGGGCCTTAAAACTATGAAAAAAGACAAATCCAAAATTGAGCAAATATTCATGTGTATTTCACATCTTAAGTTCAGACAGCAGTTTAGTATGACGGACCAAACGCGGAGATGTAAACAGGATTAACTGAATCCCATAAAGGGGAAACTGACTCACCCCCAAGGAACTGCAAGAATCTCACATTTTTCAAAAACTGTATCCACTTAAAATTTAGACCACTCCCACCTTCTAATGCACCAGATATTATGTTTTCACACAACCAAGGCCTATTGGCACTAAATGTAGAAATATAAGGTACATGTGGGATCACTACATTAGTCTGAAGTCAAGTTTATAGAACTCCAAATGACAGGAATATGTGATTTTTATGGCAGAATTCTAAGAGAAACAAACAAACCTCCACTCTAAATAATGTAGATTTAGTACAGTGAAGGAAATGCATTTTTACAATACTTTTTCAGGTTCAGAAATTATTCAGTTTAATTCAGCCTTTATCAGGAACATATAATATCTGGTTCAGAAGAATAAAAAAATGTAAATGTACAGTGCATGTTATAATGTTTACAGACAAGACCACCAGTATCTCCACAGCTTAGAGGTGAATCTGACAGAGCTCCTCACAGGACGCACTAGAGCTTGAATGATTTGATTGCTCAGATTCATAGCTCTACACATAAATTAATAAATACATCTGATCGTGACAACACAGGGTCTCTCACCACAGTTTACAAACATTTCACTGGCGCTACAAAACCTCGGCACTTTAAAAAAAATATATATATTATAGTATATATATTTGGGACCAAGTGGAGAAAGTTCTGTACCACACAGGCTCATTTCATCTTGATTTTCCTCTGTGCAGTTTCTGGACCCTTACGATGGCAGCTCAGAGGACTCAGACACTTCTATGGACGCCCAGTACACTAGACAGTCTGTGAAGGGCGCCCTCTGCTGGTGCGTGGCACGTAACAGGAGATTCAACCACCAACCCCACCAACACCAACCTGCTCCGGACCAGACCAAAACCAGCGAAACGGACAAGCTAAACCACTCCATTTCTTACGACGAGAATTCCAACTTCCACGCGGCCATGTCTCTCAGCGATGGGGACGAGTCGTTCGCTTTGGAGCAGAACGGAGGAGATGTAGAAGATGTAGGAAGACCATGCCTGAAGTCTGGGTGGTCCTACATGATGGACAGGTCTTCTGAAAGATCTCCCAGCCCGTCGTCCAACCTCCACAAGAGAAAGTGTGGTCTCCCCGGGGCAGAGCTGCTGGAGCGGGCGCACAGGAAGAGGCAGTGCGTGGTGAACATGGAGCTGGACGAAGACTTGGAAGATACTACGCCAAAAAAAATGTAACTTACAGATTCGTAAGAACTTTGAGAAGAACTTTGATGGCCCCGTCATAGTATGATTTCTGCTCCTATAGTCTAGCTGAACAAAAAGGAAGCTTTACACTCCAGAAAAGGTGCAAAAAGTAACTTCTAGTGAGGGGTTTGCTACCTGCTTGTCTCTGGAGAAGTGTCTGTGCCTGGAATTTACCACAGTATGGCATTAATTAACCCTATACACCTTGCATTAATTCAATAAGAGGCATTTTTATGCATAAGAATAGCTTGAAAAGATGCATTCTTACTGCGAGCGAGGTCTCCTTTCCACAGATCTGACCTGTAGCTTGACCCCGTGAAGTCACACGCTTGTTCCATGTTGACCGGTGTGTTTCCAGGCATCTCCATGGAGACGAGTAAAGCAAAGTTACAGAGTGCACCTTTTAAATATGATTCAAGTGTCAGTACAAACCTGTGGGACTGTGCTGTTGTGGAATCACCCAGAAAAGATTGACGGTCTTTGGGTGAAAAGAAGGTTGTAAATAGTTAAAAACTGAGTTATTATTTAAATCATGTGAATGTGAATTTTCTTTGGTTAAAAATGATCATGTTGATGCTGTAAAATGTGTGTTTTTCGTGTTTTTGCGCACAATCCTTATTACACTCACTTAACAGCAGATGGCGCCGAAGTTGCATTTCGAGCTGGTGGTTTCAGGTTTTAGTTCAGGGGTGTCCAAACTTTAGAGGGAGGACCACATTGAAGCAGCGGCCCACAGACTGCTGATCAATCAATCAACAACTTCATTAATCCCAAGGGGCAATTCAGTTCTCAGATCTCTGCTCGTGCGCAAACTATAAATAAAAACATGCAACACACACCTTACGTTCAAACCTCAGTGCATCAAGGGACACATGAGCAAATTCATTTCCCATTGAATTTTATGGCAGAAGGAATAAAGATTTCGCGTTGGTGTTTTGTTGTGGAGTGACTTATCTCCTCCATTTGCATAAACTGAGTGCAGCACCTGGTTAGGCAGGCTCAGTTTGGCCTTAGATATGGATCAACGCAATGGAGTGTATTTGACAGGCTGAAATCTGAAATCATCTAATGATTCTAGAGAAGGTGTATGGAGTTTAAAAACACAGTGGAGCACTTCCTGTATTACCAGATGCCATCGCAAGGTAGAACAGATCGTTTTCCTGCCTAAATATGCAGGGTTTGTGTCTGAATTAAACAAAACTCCAGGTATGTTTGTGATGAGGAAACATCAGAAAACATAATATGAGCCCTTTACATCAGGGGTGTCAAACTCATTTTGGTCCCGGGGCCGTATCCAACCGACTTTGATCCAAAGGGGCCGGATCAGAAAACTCATGTCATATAAACCCCAAAAATAACAAATTAAAATATTTGTGCAGAGAAACACAAATCTATTACAGAAAACTTTTTTAATTGATGAACTCTTTCTTTTACAAAATATATTATGAACAACCTGAAACTTTAAGAAAAATACAATTTCAACACAATGTTTTAACATTAACTTGTATAAATAATAGTAAGTAATTTTTTCTTGGAAAATCCTGCACTCTGCTCCACTTATCTCATGTTGGACATTTTTCTGATCCAACTGGAGAAGTACCGTCTCTTGTACCTTAGATTTATGTAGTTTCAACTTTAAAAAGGGAGATGGACACTACTGCTACTAGGGCTGCGTATCATTAAGAAGTTGCCGATACGATACATATCCCGATACAGTGCACTTTTGGTTCGATACAATATATTTCAAATCAATTCGATACGGTTCAATAAAAATAAATCCTAAATTATGGCTGTGATACTAAAAGTGTTTGTTAAACCACTTCTTGTGCAAAGTTAATATGAAATACAGCCATTTTAATCATCAAAACAGTGAAAATGTCAAATGTGTCGCATAAACGAGTTTTCTTCCACTGAAAAAGCAACAAAACTGTAGCACTGTAACAAAATAATTGAGTAAAATATACCAAAAAATACTCTTGGCGATATATCGATACAGCAGCCCACAATATCAATACTGTATCATCAAATTAAGCGATACGATATATCGATATTTCAATATTTTTGCACATCCCTAACTGCTACTGCATCACTAGGGTTGTACAATTCAAGTTTAAATCAAGATTGAGATTGTCATTTTTAATCACCTTTTAATTGGTATTTGGCTTTCTAATGCCATCTACTCGTCTCCATAGAGATGGATTTAAGTTTAATGCCATACTATGGAAGCTTCCAGGCAAAGTTACAAGTCCATACAGATTGTAGCGGAATTAGTATGAAAAGTAAACATTTGGAAATCCCATTTGTTTCCAATTTTAACTGCTAATATCCAATTATTAGAATAGATGTTATTTATTATGTGGTACCTGTAGTGTTAATTTAACTCCAGTTCGCCACTATAGCTGTGAGGGCTGTGTGGCTTTAGCTTGACTCATGTGTCCAAGATGAAAACTGTGTCCAGACTTACAGAATATTGGTTTTGGGGTTTAATTAAATACACAGTTTCTACAAATGAAGATTCCACAATGTAACAATTTTTCATTACATCTTTAAGTTAATAATCTAACAATAACCTTGTTGGAGCCCTTTTTTCTACTTCAATTTTACTTCACTTTCCATGAATTGAAGCAAAATGTGTCTTGCCCCAGGACAGATATTTTGCCCTCAAGAGCTGCTTGTACAGTAAAAATCCTCTGTACTGTCTGCATCCAATTATAAAAGTGAAAAGTGCTTATAAACTCATTGCGGTGAATAGTTAGGATGATCTGAATGCATAAACCAATTTACAATGAACCAACTGTTATTTACATTTTGAAGACAGAAATACTCAGATACAGTTCCTTTAATGAACTCTTGAATATCATTTTATTAAACTCTTCTTCAAAATATGTAAACAAAGGCAGACAAAGTATTTATTTTAATGTACTTTATTCCAATTGGGTTGAATCTTTCTAAAATCATACAGGTTCTTTCATTTAAAATCATCATCTCAACATTTCTTTAGCGTCTGAACTCTCCATAAGCCAACTGCACCACCTTCTGTTCACCCTCGAGTCACTTCCAAATCCTTCCTTCTACTTGACTGATCCCTATAGTTATGATTCCTAAAGTTTAATATTTCTGACAACATGAATACTACTACTACTACTACTACTACTAAGTGTGTAAGTGATAGACATGAGTTTGGAGCTGTTCCTGCTCTACTCGGTGCACAGAATAGCCACTCCGCGCTCGTAGAAGCTGTGTGGATCTTCTTTGGTGGCGATGTCGAAGTCCACGGTGAAGATCAGGTCGGCGCGAGTGAAGTTCAGGTACACGGGCAGGGTCACCTACGGGGAGAGTTGCACAGTTACACATTTTACAATATCTCCGTCTAGAAATTGTTGTTTGAGAGCTTTTCTGGTTCCAAGATTCAGTTCCATCACCACAGTTTTTCAGTAGAAAGTGAATTGGAGCCAGTCTCTCTGTAACTACTGCTGTCGGGCTTGTCATTCTGGCCTTAAAATGTTGGATTGAACGTGCTTAAAAGAAAGTGTGTATCAGGTTTGAGTTGCGGTGCCGTGTTCGTACCTGATGCCTCTTCTCCGTGGTGCCCTGTTTGACCCAGCGCAGTTGGGTGAGGGGCAGCTCTGTGGAGATGGACGTGGACAGGGACAGCTTGTTGTTGGCACACGTCGCCCCCTGCAGCTTCAGACCTGCAGCACAACGCTCAAATATTAGACAGGATTAAACATCAGATCACACACCAAAACTCCCATGTAATTACTGATGTGTGTTTACAGCGCAAAAGAAGTGTGATCATTGCAAACACCTGGTGACACGTCGTCAGTGAGTCGGGATTTTAAGAGTAACTGGTTTTTGTTTACATGCAAATCTGATTATTATCTGATTTCTGGACTTTATGATGATTTGAATGACATGCAAACCACAAACTCTGATGCATGTAATCAGAGACACCACGATCAGAAAGAAATCTGTTATTTTCAATCAGATTTTGTACGCATGTAACCGCAGCCAATGTTGTATTTAGAAGAGAAAGTTCAATGAATTTTAAGATAACTCCGTCTAACATGTTCTTTCCTTTTTGTCCTGCACAGAGATTGTGGTCAGCTACTCTCTAAACTCTAAACCACATATTTAAGAAGATAAAGACTAAAAGGAGTTTGAGTAAAGTCCATAAAACCCCTGCCACCTAGAGTTGGAGAGCCTGATCAGTACGCTTTCCTGATTTGCTCAGCTTCTAACTGGTTGGATGATAAATATCCAGGGTAGCTCTATACCTGTGTGCTCTTCTGCCCCTCCCACTGTGTGCTAGTCCCTTAATGAGCAGGTATTTAATGGTTTAAAGCCTTATTTACATATTCTAGATTACAATTCGATGGTCAGGTTTTTTTTGCAGGATTGATTGAATTTTTTTTCTCCCCTTTTGCCCTGTGCTCCTTGGATAATGGACATTACACAAATTCATGAAACGAACTGGAATATATTTGCGTTATTTTCGAACTGAACTAAATCCCAACTAAGGAATAAACTGAACTCTCTCAAATAAAGCCATGAAACTTTAAAAAAGGGAATAAACTGAGCTCTATAAAAGTCAAAACACTTGACAAGGAACTATTGATTTATTTCTTTTTTGAAAAAGGGTTTTTTTGGTTGTTATTTCATTCACTCTTGTTTAATTACATAATCCAATTAGCAACTATTTCAGTTTTTTGTTCTATCATTCATATGCAAGCTCCAAAAACAACCTGGTCTCTTCTGTGTACAGTTCTAATACGCCGATTGCCAAAAACGATAGCCCAACCAACTCAAACTACAATAATGGTTACACTGACCTTTGATCCCGAAGCTGCATGCGTCCAGCGTTGCACCCTGAGCTGTGGTCACGTTCACCTCCAGGTCCAGCTCCTCCAGAGACCAGCTGTTGGCCTGAGCCACATACTGACGAGTGGCTGTGATGTACGCCTCAGGGACGAACAGGCTCCCCAGGCACACGTGGATGTTCTGGACACAGCACAGAGCCCCATTAAAGAAGAGAACAGCAGCAGACTTCATAGGACTAAAGGTGTGACTGTGGGCCACAGTGCAGTACCTTGAGCTCTTTAGCGCCCCCGCTGGCCGCTCCCTGTGAGATCTGCTGCAGCTGCTTGATCCTCTCACTGAAGTCGGCCACCCACTGGATCACAGTCATGGACACAGGGACAGTGTAGCGGCACCAGCTGCGAGGGAGGATACCTACAAAAACACACACACACGTGTCAGTACAATGGCTTTTACACCGCACTATCATCTTTACTGCAGTTATCAGTTATCTTGGCCTATGAAAGGCTACGTTTAGACTGCAGGGCTTAATGATCAATTTCGATTTTTTTGTGAAATTAGATGTTTTTGTGAGGTCGTTCATTTCCAATTAAATGCGACTTGTATGTGATCTCCAGTGTGACCGTTAATCGGCCCCAAAGTGTGCCGCATGTGCACTGGAGATGCAATTTTTACTGTACAAATTACAGACATGGTGCATTCACACGGGATTAAGATCTCAGGAATTCATCACAATTACTACAAATCACCAAAGGTCCACAGGTAAAACTAATCCTGTGTAATTAGGGCTTTAGACAAGGAGGTATGGCCACTATTTTTCATGCCAAATTTTCTTTATGTTTTAGTTAAAAGAAAAAAGTTAAGTTTTTTCCTTTAATTATATGATAAGAGATCCAAGACAAAGTTGGTTTAGTGAGTGTGGGATGAGTGTTTAATGTGTTACCTTTGACCAAGTCACTGATGAGTGTCCTCAGATAGTTGGTCTGCTTCTTCTTGCCTTCACACACCTGCACCACGTCAGACAGGTCCTGGCGGATCTCCTGCAGCATCTTCCCTCCCATCTTCACCTCGCGCTCGAAGAAGCGGAAGAGAGGATCCTGTAGGAGGCAGCAAACTTTTCAGCAGGAGGTGGTAGGACATCCCCAATTACTAATGATCTCTTCCCTCTCTTATGTCTCTCCCTCTCCCCCTCGCTCCCTCTCTCTGTACCTTGATGTTCTCGACGGTGCGCTTGAGTGGGTTGACCGTTTGGGGCATGAGCTGGAGCCAGTTGGCGGCGGTGGAGTGCAGCGTCCTCATCCAAGCGGGCTGAGCGTCTGACGAAGAGGCGGTGCGCTGCTTCTTCTCGGTCTCGTACGCCAGGTCATCCTCATCCTCCAGCATCTGCATTTTCAGCATCTTACCCATCATGTCCGTGCCTGCGCAGCCGAGCGGGGGGAAGGAGACAGGGGACAGAGGGGACAGAGGGGACAGAGGGGACAGAGCGATGGGGTTTGAGATATTAATACAGGAACAAGAGTAGATCTTACCTGGTGGAACATGGCAATACAGAAGATAAAAACAAGGCAGCAGGCAGGTAACATCAGCTCACATTCATGTTCATGGGGAAATAGCTGTATGTTTCCAGATGTTTAGAATCCAATAAGACACAGCTGGACTCATGTGGGGCTGGAGGAGGGACAGTGGTTCTCAAACTAAAAGGGTAGAACTTAACCAGGACTTAACTCACTTTGAATTGTACAATCTAATACAGGAGTGAAACAGGTCTAAATCAAGAGCATCCTTAGACCAGGCCGTGTTTAAAATGAGTGTCATCAGATGAAGCAAACACTGGGATTTGTGACCGTTTGAGAACCACAAGAGCAGGATGAAGAGGAGTGGACATGGGGAGAGTCTGGCTTTGGGAAACATGGAGCTGTGCATCGTCAGGAAAGAATGTAGTTATGGGAGTGTTTGCCGTGTGTCGTGCAGCCCTTTTGGGAGCAGGCTACAGGAGGGCGGGGGAGGTGGGAGGAGGTGGGTGGTGAGTGGGTGTAGGGGTGTAGAGGGGTAGTGACATGATGGCAGCCAAGTCCAGCTGCTGGAGGGTGAGGAGCACTGCTCTACTGGACACTACAGGAGCCGGACTCAGTGGAGACTTCACTGTGAACACACTCACAGCACAGGGACAGGCTTTAGATCAACTGTTCTTTTAAGCTCATTGGATCACTAGTGCCTCTGTATTTTGAAACATCTAAATGTGCCATTAACTGAAACTGAATATTAAGACGAGAGCTGCAAAAAGCAAGAGTTAGTCACACCATAAACAATGTAACTAAAAAAACTAAATGATCACAAAATAAAATAGATTGATAACAAGCACAGTGATGAATTTGTGAGGAGTAATGAAGATGAGCGCACCCTGAGTGGTGAGCAGGACCTTCTCGGCATTACTGGGCAGACCGAGCCAAGATGGAGTCTGAGTGTCCGGCAGCATCTCCACCCAGTGCATGAACTCCTCACGCCTGGACAACAGGAAAACAAACACCATCATAATTACACTTTACATAGTAAACTTTTGTGATGAGTAATACATGTGCATGTGACCTAAGGCTTGTTCATTCTAACACACTAAATGAACTGAAGTGTTATGTATAGTGTATATAGTGTCTCGGGCACTGTACCGAATGCCGTCGGGCATCTTGATGTCCTTGTGTCCGTCCACCTTGAGGGCCAGTTTGAAGTCGCTGTCGAAGCTGCCCTTGGTGAAGATCCGGTCCAGGAAGGTGTTGAGCAGGCGCTGGTCAAACTCATTGTCAATGCGTCCTCCATAGATGGACTGGGCCATGAGGGTCTTCAGAGCTGCCCATGGGATCTTATCTGGAGCGATGTTCTGACGGCCCTGTGCACACAAGCAGCTCTGTCACATCCTACACCGTAGACTTCATGACATAAAAATCAAAACATAACATGTTGATTCAAAATTATAACTAGGCCTTTTTGCACAACATTAAGGTTATTGATCTGACAGATTTTTAGTCTTAAACAGAAACTCTAATAAACGTCTAATATATATATTCCTTTTGTTATTCCTGTACCTTGGCGGTGTCGTCCAGCCACGTGTCCACAGTGTCACAGGCAGAGCGCAGGTCTGACTCTCCAAACTCGTACTTCTTGGACCAGCCCAGAGGAGCGTACCTCAGCCTCTCCTGGATCACAGCGTGGAACCAGGCCAACAGGAAGTACAGGCGGGCGCGCTCGTTTGGAGCCTACACACACCCACAGAAAACAGGGACACGTTTAGGATGTGGACACAGTCATTGAAAATGTAGAGACAGTGGGGACAGTACCTTGCACATGCGGGCCACAGGGATACTGCAGAAGGTGCGCAGCATGTTGGCCTTGACGCCAGGAGGAGGCTCAAACACAAAGATGCGGCCGGCACGGAGCAGGTTCACGGGCACCTGACAACGAGACAGTTCAACAGGACAAGCATTAGGAACAATACAGAGCCTGAAGAGTGTGCACTTGAGTCATTTCATATTAAAAAAGACGAAACTGAATATTTTTAAAGTAATAAATTAAGCAGGATGAGTTAAAGAAACTTTTTACATTTACACATTTTAAGTAAGAATATCAATAAAACAAGTTGTATTATTTTTATTCATAAGGGGAGTATTATAATGAGTTTTTTTTAAATAAATGAATGAGAAATGTAATTTAGTTTATCTATTTAGACAAATTTCCTCTTGCGGGTTGTTTAAATTAGGAACAATACAGAGTCTGAAGAGTGCGCACTTTCATATTAAAAAAGAGGAAACTGAATATTTTTAAAGTATTAAATTACACAGAATGAGTTAAAGAAAATTGTTACACTTACACATTTTAAGTAAGAATATCAATAAAACAAATTGTATTATTTTTATTCATAAAGAAGAGGAGTATTATAATGATTTTTGAACATACTACACACATTTTTTAGACAGATTTCCTCTTGTGGGTTGTTTAAATTAACTTCTACTTTTCATGCGATGCTAAATGGTGTGCGTCTGTACCTTGGGGTTGATCTCCATGGTGAGGAAGAGTCTGAAGCTGGCGTGGGGCTGCATGGAGTGGAGCTTCTTCTCCAGCTGCATGAGCCAGCCCGGAGCCAGGTGCACGTTCTCCAGCATCACCCACCTGAAGAGGAGCAGGAGGAGACACACTCAGTCTAATCTGTGGGCTCAGGCTCACTAACAAAGACAGCACGTACATCAGAACACAACTACTCACCTGCCCGATTTGACCGCGGTGTTGATGTCCCGGTCGGCCTTGTTGAAGCCCTCAGCCGAACCTGGAAACAGCCACAAAATACAGAGAGATGAACATAAAGGTGACATTTCTGTTTTGAGACAATCTCAGTCAATCTCAGGACTAAACCAGGACTAAACCAGAACTAAACCAAAATTAAACCAGGACTAAACCAAGATTAAACCAGGATTAAAAACTAAACCAAGATTAAAAGCAGGTCTAAACCTAAAAAAATCTAAAAAGTTAAACCAGGTCTAAACCAAGATTTAAACCAAGATTAAACCAGGACTAAACCAAGATTAAACCAGGACTAAACCAAGATTAAAGCAGGTCTAAACCAAGATTAAAGCAGGTCTAAACCAAGATTAAACCAGGTCTAAACCAAGATTAAACCAGGACTAAACCAAGATTAAACCAGGACTAAACCAAGATTAAACCAGGTCTAAACCAAGATTAAACCAGGACTAAACCAGGTCTAAACCAAGATTAAACCAGGTCTAAACCAAGATTAAACCAGGATTAAACTAGGACTAAACCAAAATTAAACCAAGATTAAACCAGGACTAAACCAGGACTAAACCAAGATTAAACCAGAACTAAACCAGGACTAAACAGATTAAACAAGGACTAAAGCAGGACCAACCAGGACTAAACCAGCTCAATCTGGAAGCAGACAAAAGTGATTCTTTTAGCAGTGTATTTTAAAAACTGACTCACCGATGGAGACTGATGTGATCTGCTTGTTCTGCTCTGCTGCCAGATCTCGGACCAGACCGCTGGCATCGTACCCGGGCACGGAGCACATGAGGACTGGAGTGCTGGGCTTCACCTGGGCACAGGAGGAGGGGAAGGGTCAGACATTCAACTGGGGCTAAAGCATCATCATTTTACACTAGGGACACTGTGATGTGTAAAACTGATCTGGAACAACTTCACAGAAATGGGACCATTGACTTTGGGGCCTCAGATTCCCACATGCCCCTCAACCTTAACTTAGTCCAACAGTGTAAGGAGCCTGCAGTAAAAGAGCCACAAGAGGGGACTAGGGTTAGGTGTAGTCTGAATGTTCCTGAGCTTTAATTTCAGGATAATGTAATACACATTCTAGTAAAGTACAAAACCATTAGAACACAATTAAAGCTATTAAAAGGCAATTTTATGCAGTACATCTCTTTAACGAATAACTATCATTTACAGCAGGCATGTCCAAACTATGGCCTGTGGGTCAAATGCAGCTCTCAGACAAATTTTTCTTGGCCCTCAGGCTTCCAAGTGAATTGGCCCAAATTACCTTGCAGAAGTTTATAGCTAATATTTACTGTGTAGTTTTAAGGATCTTAGCACGAATAAAGACCGATGGCTCATTCTAACGTGTTGAACATGCACATATTTCAATTATTCACTGTACTGACTGTACCACTCTACGGCCCTTGATTAGCCCTCTGCTTCGTCTGTGTTTAGATTTGTGACTCTTGATGAAAAAAGTTTGGACACCCCTGACTTATAGCAACCACAACAAAACAGAATTTCTTTCAGGCACTGTTGGCAAAATGCATAAAACCTGGGTCTAGGTAACAAAAATGATCTTAATTCTCTTTGTAGAGCCCCTGACCTATGTAATGAGACTGAGAGCGGTGGTCCATACCTCACTGTCCACGATGTTGGCCAGGTCCAGCGGCTGCTCGATGATGCTCATGAAGGTGTCCCCGAGCACCTTGGACACAAACAGGTGGGACATGGCCAGGAGCCGGTCAGGACGGAACGCCTGGATCAACAGCAGCTGGTGCACCGCCTGACCGATGAGAGCTGTGGACACAAGAGACAGGAGACAGTCAGGTGGGCTTTAATAATTAAGTTACAGGATCATCTAGTGCTTTTATCAGGGTTCCAGCTAAAGATGATTTTAGATGGTCAAACACAAAAATGCTGACAGTGACAATGACAGTGAAGACACGGACAACATTTGTGTTTGACCATGGTCATTTGTTACACGACACAGCGATATGGCACCTGTTATAGGAGCGTCTGGAGCAGCGACCAGATCAAGTGGTTGAGCACGTTCATGCGCTGCAGTAAAGAGCAACGTTTGTTACTTCAAACCAGGTCTTAATGGAAACATGTTCGGGATGTATTTGGATTATTTTTCAATGGAGAAATAATATGCCACGATAAAGAAGGTTTAACGTGACAGTACGGCTCCAGCAGTTTTGCGTCTCTCTATAGGAGTGAATGGAAGCGAGAGGACACGCCCCCCATGCTTCCAGTTGTGGCCCCGCCTTTACCAGTTACGCTGATCGCCAGACAATCCGGACAGGGGACTCAGCGCTGCGCTGCGCAGCATCCGGCGTCAATGGGTTAAATGATCTATTTTCAAACTTCTTTCACAAATAAACTGCACCGGACTTTAAACGAAACACAACAGTTGGATGGGTCAGTGGGGACTTTGTTTGTCGCGTTCATGGTGACTCTGGGCTCTTTTCAGTTGTGGCGTGTAGGGAGGGTGCTGTCTGGGACCGCTGGATTGTCGATTGATCGAAGTGACTCAGTTGTTCAATTGTGTCTAGAAGTGGCACATCACGCTCGCTTTTTCGGTTCGTTCCTCCGTTCCGTTCCTCGTCGGCGTGGAGTGATGAGTATGGCTGCGGGTGTTTTTCGCTGCATGGTCTCTGTCTGCTCCGTGTGTGTTTGCATGCGCTGCGGGTGGTGCGGCTTTGTAGTTTACTGAAGTCGTGCTGGGACACCTAAGTGGATTCGTGTATAGGGCGCTCTGGATTGTGGGGCGCACAGTCGCTTTTGATGGGGTTGGAGCCTTAAGAGCGCGCCCAATAGCCCGGAAAATACGGTAATATGTGTCATTTAAAGCATGTGTGCACACTCACTGGACTGCTTCTCCTCTGTCCACAGGTAAGGCACTGCCAGCTCTGGAGTGTTGCTCTCAAGCCACATGAAGATTTGCTGAAACAACCCAAAAAATGTTTACATATTTGTCTTTACCTTTAGAATAGAGTATTATGTTTCAAACCAGAGGAACTTACATCGTCGGCCTGCACCTTCTCCACCAGGTCCTTGAAGGCGGGCAGGCGGCTGAGGCGGACCATGGCTTCGCTCTGCTCTGTGGTCAGGCCTTTGACTTTGGGCAGGGCTGTACCGGTCAGAACAATTTCCTTACCCCGCAGGAAGTGCTGGAACTCAGAGTCGTACGAAGGCTCGCTGGAACAACCCAAGACATGAGAGTTAATGAATTATCTTCTACAGTTATTTTAGGTTGGGTTCTCAGGACAAGTCAGAACTCTCAGGTGGAGGAACAGATTATGATTCATATCTCTGGAATTACTGGGTTTATCCACATGAAACAAAAAGTGGCACAAAGTCCAACACCTTCTCTGTCAGTATAAATGTACAAAAGTAGTTTTTTTTTCCACAATAGCTTCCGAAAGTGTTGACATTACTGTATTTTTCTGACTATAAGTTGCACTTTTTTCATGGTTTGGGTGTTTCCTGCGACTTATACTCCGGTGCGACTTGTATATTAGAATTTTCACACTGACAGCCGCGAGAGGCTCTAGTCTTGTGTGTCAGTATCTGCTGCTCCTGTTACTCCTGTACCACTGTCACTTTGCGCTCTACTGCACACGTCTCCTGCACAAAAAGCCTCTGTCCTGCTGCCGAAAACTAATCAAGCAGCAGAAAAAGTTTGGAGTGAGTGAGAAACGAAAAGCGGACCTCATGGAGCTATGGTTTACCTGTGGAGGATGCAAAGTTGCTTAGAAGTGACAGAGAGGATGAAGAATTCTGTGGATTTAGTGATTTGGAGTGAGATGGAGAGTTTGGTAAACTTGTTCTGTTGTTTATGTTCTAGTTATCTGAAGAACTGTTCATGTGATGTTAACAGTCTGCTGTTCTCTGTTCTATTGTTATCACTAGAACTTGCCTTTCAAGATGAAATGTCAGTTCCTAAATTTCCCCCAAAAAGTGTGACTTATATGTTTTTTCTTCTTCATTGCTTATTTTTTGGCTGGTGCGACTATACTTCGGAGCGACTTATAGTCCGAAAAATACGGTATTCACTTTCTTTAAAACATAGAGCCGATCCCAAACAAATAATGAGAAGGTTTAACATTTGTGGACCAAAAGTTTGGTTGTTTCTAATTTCCTCTACAGTTATATAGGCCCCTGCCCTCCTTATAGTAGGTCAGATGTGATGATAATTTCAGGCGGTCTTTTCTAACCTGGTGATTCCCTTGAGGCTGATCTTGGCCAGCAGCATGGCAAAGGTGATGTGGTCATGGTGCAGCATACCCCGGGCCACTCTGTTAAAGGCCACCTGCACAAACACACAACAGAAGAACAGTTTGTGAGCGGAGGACAGGTGTGGTCACACAGAGTCAGAGTCTGGTTCTGGGGGTCCGACCTGGAAGAGATCCTTGGTGATAGTGGCCAGTCTCTGGGAGTGGTCACTGACGCTCTTCAGGTTGGGGTTCTCGTACAGGACTGTGTGGTACGTGTCCAGGAAGAAGTGCAGAGAGTACTGGTACAGGAAGTGCATCTGCAAGAGGAATGAGGAGTTTAAAACAGTTTCTCGATCAGACTCAGTATACATTGTTTTAACACCAAGTTCAATTATTCTGAACAAAGTAAATTCTCCTCCTTTTGGGTCAGACAATTAAAATTAGAGTGGGTCACGTCAACACAATTTATTTAACAAAGAATTTTAAAGCTCAGTAACTGTTAAAGCCTAATGTTTAGTCATTTGGATTAAGGATTTATTTTCATTTCATTTTAAAGGGGACTTGGCTTTGGAAACTGTTGTGTCTGATTTGAGTCATTATTAAAATGAAACGTAAACTGCAAAATAATCTGATTTCTTTCTGATCATGATCCTTGTAATTATTCACATCAGATTTAGTGGTTTATATGTCATGTAAGTAATTTTAAGAGCGTGCATGCCAGCGTCCTGTATACCTGGTTGAGCGCCTCCATGGTGAAGTAGATGCTGCTGCAGGCGGAGGACAGGGACAGGTACTGCTGGGACACTGCCTCCACCTCGGCCATCACGATGTCCGTCTCCTCCACTTTCCTGGTCACCTCGGCCGCTTCCTTCTTCAGGTTCTCCAGGGTGGTGATGATGGTGTCGTCATCAAGGATACGACCTTTCACTTCGTTCAGGGCCTGCAACAGGGACTTCTCCAGCTGACGCAGACGCAACTGGAACTCTCCTGCACAGGGAAACAAAGTCTTTTACTTTTACAAATGTTGCCTTAAAATATTGTAATATTACTCATTGTAATTCAGTCGCTCCATAGAGGTTTGATTCCCCCCAGCATATTATTGACAGACCAATCATAATAAAAGGTGGGATTTTATTCTTAAAGATGGTACTATACTATTTGGAAAAAAGCAGAAACATGTCTGATTAACTCAAACATTTTCAGATTATTGTTGTCAAGCTGCTGCCTAAAAATAATGAGATTTTGTCATTCTTCACAGTCTGGGGGCCACATTGGTCTTAACTAAAGTGACGTTCTCTCAGTGTTTTGCTCCAGAGCTCGTCTGTGTTCTGACTGTCCCTCACACTCACCCTGCAGTTTGAGCAGGTCGGAGCGCTTCTCGTCCACATCAGGCCTCTCTGCCTTCAGCACCTCATTCAGACACTGGCTCTGCAGACTGCTGCGCGTCACTGTGAAGTTGACGAAGGTGACACGAGAGCACAGGTCAGGGGGGAACTCCACCTGAAGACAAGAGGAGGAGGAGAAGAGGTTAATGCGAATCACTTCCATTTGTACTAAAACAGTAAATTCAATCCAACTCTTTACTTTTTCCTAGAGTCATTTTGAAAAGAAATCAAAGTGGGTGGAACAATTACCTAAACATTCATGCATGTGTGATTATGAGCTTTGTGTAATAGAACAGTAGTGCATCTTACAGTGGGGTCTCTGGTGGAGAGGAAGATGACAAAGGAAGGTGACAGATCGATGTCTTGGTCTCCCAGGGTGATGAGCACTCGTCCTCCGGTCCTGCGCACTTCTCTGTTGAGGACGGGGTTGAGGATGGGGTCGTAGCTCTCCACGTCCTGCACCAGCAGAGGGTTTCCAAAACGCAGAGCACTCTCCAGGTTCTTCCTGAAGGCGTCGTCCAGGAAGCTGGTCCTGGTGATCTTGCGCTCTTTGTACTCGTTCATGATGAACTCTGTGGCCTGGCCCGACGGGTCGATGATCAGAGGGTATCTGACACACAACAATACAAGTTTATACATCTAATCATTGCACTTTTATACTTATATTTAATTCAATTCATTTTATTTTTTTCATTTATTTCATGTTGTGATTGAAGATTTACGGACCAGTTTTCCATTTGCGCCTCCAACTGCACTCATTAGATATATATTTTTTATATTTTTGCAATGTGTTTTTGTTTGTTTTTGTGTTTTTTATGTCATACCAGCTGAAAAGAGTTAAGTCAAATTTACTGTCATCAAATACAGCACATGATCCATGCTTGACCTCCAACCAAAAAGTGACATAGTGAAAATCTTTCTCCTTCAGGCACTGGGGCACAGGGTCACACACTGACCACCGCAGGACCACTCACCTGTTGAAGCGCTTGAGCATGATGGCGTTCTCGGTGCACAGGTCGTCGGCGGGCAGAGAGTTGGCCTGCCAGCGCAGCCTCTCGTCAGCGTTAGACAGGTACTCTGTTCTGGCAATGTCCGTGCGGAACTGGAGAGGACAACATGAGTCAAGTTTAATAGGAGCAGGAATCGGATAATTTTATTTATTTTTTTAAAACAGCAACTGACCCGATCAATCACAAACAGGCCCTAATCAATTACATGTAAAGCAGACGTTGTTTTCTTATTGTAATGCCAATCATTTAGACATAGTACTAAATGTAAAAAAAAATAAAAAGAGGAACAATTGAACATGTCTACAATGATAAAGCTGTATATAAAAGCCTGTGTTTTGTCCATTCAGCTTGACACAGGCTTATGAATGAATAAAATATCCTTTATTTGATTCCATCCCTCTTTTTAACAATAGGTTGAACAGGTGCTGTTCAGTCTGTCAATCACACAGTCACAGAGCTCTGCTTTTAAGTGACTCACTGCCTCTGTGTGGTGAAGGACTCACAAAAAAAACGTTTAATGAGAATTCTTTTGTACTTTTCAAAAGGAGGTGAGCTGTTACCTGGATGTTTGCCTGCTGCAGGTGGTGAGACCAGGTGGTGAACAGGTTCTGTCTCATCTGCTGCTCGAAGTATCCCGCGTAGGTGATGAAGGCGGCAGAGAGCAGGCAGTCTCCAGCGATGGTGGACATCTGGTTCTTAAAGGTTTCACTGGTGTTCTCCCAGCGCTCCCTCTCCGCAGACAGACTCTTGAGCAGGGCTGTGCTGCGGTTCACCTGGGGACAACAAAGAGTTACAACGGGGAATGTGGACACCAACTAGCCGTTTCAATCCTACTGCACACCAAAACCATCAAACATGTGTGAACCCTGTGTGTGTTTTTTTATTAGTACATACCTTTGCTTCCACAGCAGCCAGGTCAGCCTTGATGGCCTGGGCTTCAGAGATGAGCACAGCGTACTCCTCCTTGTAGCGAGCTATGCTGGCCTCCAGCTCCCTGATCATGTGCTCCACTTCCTCGGCTTTGCTCTTGTTGTCTTTAGCATCGTCCTCCAGCTTCTGCAGCTCGTTCCTCAGAGGCTCCACGCGCTTCAGCATGTCTGCGTAGTTCAGCTGCGGGGAGGGGAGAGGGCTGGTTTACTTTACATTTTACACATATTCACTCATACGCAAAAGTGTGTCAGATTGTAATTGATTAAAAAAATAATTTTAAAAAATCATATTTCCACTCACTAAAATAGCCTCTTAAACACACCTGTACCCGATTATTACAGTTAGGCAAAATGCATCTTGCTTCAGTACACACCATAGACTGTATATAAATGGACATCGCAGCGTTCCAAACAGGAAGTTCACCTGTGGCTCTTCCGGCTCCTATTGACCTTGGCTCCCATTGACTTCCACTAGAATATTGTCACCCGTCTTTGTAACTGCTGCTGTGAGCCTCGTCATTTTGGTCTGAAAATGTTCATATTAACCTCGCTCTACATGATCCTGTTTTTTTTTTTCTGTCTGTCAAAAATATCCTATTCATAACAGAGCCTGGCACCAAATTCGCTCCTGTAACCGTGAAAATCGAAAGCTTCATTTGAGCGGCACTGAACATTGTGAGTAGGGATGGGCATGATTAGTCGATTAATTGATAATTGATCATTAAGAATTTCATCGATTATGTTCATTTTAATCAACAAACCGAATGCAGGTTGCTGTGCGTAGCGTCATTAAACAGGGGTCCGTACATGTGTCTCTCTGCACTCAGGAGCGAGCAAACAGAAACAGTCGGTCAGTCTGCAACGTACCGAAGCGCAAATGCATATTTAACGATGACTTGTACAAGAAATTCCACGCTTTCCGTTGCGTTCGGGACAAGTGTGAGTCCATGTGCACAGTGTACAAAGCAGCACATATGTTTCGATGTCCAGTGGGAAAAAGTTTTGCCAGGTGAGAGTCGCTCAATGTCGATGACGAGTCCCCACCTCCCTCCCCCCGTACGGTGTCCTGGTTTTGACAAACGCAAATATGGTCACACTAACCTGTATTCCACTGAGTCATGTCTTTTAATCCGACTGAAGTTGAACCGCATCAGCGCACAAGAACTGTATTTTTATTTTCGCTTAGTTTATGCAAATTAGTGATGCGGTTTTAAGTTTCGTTTCTGTGAGAGTTGCGCAAAACTGAATTAAACACATTATAATCTCCGGGCTGATGTGGCTCTAGAGTGGTTACGGTTTATAAGTCATAAAGTTGAATTTATTTATGCAGATTAGTGGTGCAGATAGTAATAATAATGATCATTTTAATATAAAAACGTTAATCATTAATCGATAATCAAACGTTAATTCTTCCGATGATCGATTAAGAAAATTTAATCGAATGCCCGTCCTTAATTCTGAGCAACGTCACACTCTTTTAGTCCAAATTTATACAGTTTATGGTACACACATATTGTATAAGCAGCTCTTGAGGTCAAAATAAGTCTGCTGTGTGCTGTCTGCATCGAGGTTTTAGTCTGATGATCAAGAAGTGTGCAATAGCATGCAAGTTTTTGTTAGTTCTTAAGAGTCTATAAACCAATTCCGAGCCTAATTACCTCCGCCAAGGAGGTTATGTTTTTGCCGGCGTTTGTCTGTTTGTTTGTTTGTTAGCAACATAACTCAAAAAAGTTATGGACCGATTTTGATGAAATTTTCAGGATTAGTTGGAAATGTGAAAAGGAAGAAATGATTTCATTTTGGGGGTGATCCGGAAGAAATCCTGGATTCTGGATCACTTTGAAATTTTAGTTAACATTGTGGTAAATGGGGCCAAAAATTTTGTTTCTCAATATCTCGGTTAATTATTGGCCAAACCCCATGAAATTTGACTCAGGGATGGACAATCGGATCCTCTTTCATATTCCAAATTGAAAGATACGAGACAAATATTTATGGAAAACACAATTAATATGAGGGGGACTGTAGTCCTTGCCGGAGGTCTGCGCTCTCTGAGTGCTTTTCTAGTTAAGGATGAATTGTGGTAAATGTGGAGTAACTTGGGACCAAACATTTTATAACTGTAAAAATCAGGTACGATGCCTTTAATGTGGCTTGTGGTTCATTTGTAATGTATTAAACATAAAATACTGTGTTGTATGTGTTTTGGTGTTGGCCGGTTGTCTGTAGCACATCCCTCTTTCTCTCACCTGAGCGATGGCCCATTTGACCATAGGCCCACAGGCGAGTGAGGCTCTGTTGATCTGGTCGTAGTTGTAGCCCGGGTTGGACAGGTAGTTCTTCTTCATCTTCTCACGGATGGAGTCACTGCCAAACAGAACCAGCATCTCATGAGTAAAACCACAAATACAAAAAAAAAAATCAGTAAGTGTTCAAATCAGCAACATTTATTGGAAGATTTGGTTTGGGAAGTCAACATATTTGATAGACCCTTGAATTTGGACCAATCAAAACAGCTGTTGGTTTATTTAAAAAAAAAATAAAAAAATAAAAAATCAACCGGCCTGTTTTCCAGCTCTAGTTTAATGATTTCTCTGATTGTGCGCCCATTTGATTTGTTGCGGCCGAAGCTACCACCAGTTACCTCATCTCATCTGAGCAAAAGTTGACTATGCTGCTGATGAAATTGTCCCTGATTATAACTTGACGGATTTTTTTCCAGTCGCTTGTCTCCTCGCCCAGCATGAGGCAGATGGACTCCAGGGCCAGTTTGACCGGGGCCGGGGGGTTGGTCATGGAGCGCATTTCCACGAGGTGCTGCCGCTTTATCGAGTTCACCGCTAGCACGAGAGAGAAGAGCATTCAGTGAGATTTTAGAACGGAATATTTCACCTGATCTCGTCGGCGGAGAAGTTGACGATGGTGGGGATGAAGTTCTCCCTCATGATGATGCCCCTGATCTGCTTCCAGTCCGTGGTGCTCTCTCCCAGCAGCAGGCAGATGGACTCCAGGGCCAGTTTCACGGCAGCGGGGGGGTTGGCCATGGAACGCACCTCCACCAAGTGCTGCTTCTTGATGGACTTAACGGCTACGAGCGCACAGTGTCAGGGCGGGTTATGGTGAGGGAGGGGCAATGGAGGAGGGTGAGGGAGGTCAGAGGTAAACAGTCAGCAAGACAGGCTAAAAAGCAACTTAAAAAATGGGATATGTCCTTAATAGTTTTTTATGAGCTTTAACCACGTTACAACAGTGTTCCCTCAACGATAACAAAAGCCCTATTTGCACGAGATAAGAACAACCTGGGGACTAGGGCTGGGTATTATTAAGAAGTTGCCGATACGATACATATCTCGATACAGTGCACTTTTGGTTCGATATGATATATTTCAAATTGATTCCATATGGCTCAATAAAAATTAAAGGCTAAAAATTGTGGCTGTGATACTAAAAGTCTTTGTTAAAACACTTCTTGCGCAAAGTTAATATGAAACACGCAAATTTTAATAATCAAAACAATGAAAATGTCAAATGTGTCGTATAAATGAGTTTCCTTCCTCTGCACAAGCAACAAAACTGTAGCTCTGTAAGAAAATAATTTAATAAATTATACCAATAATTACTCTTGGTGATGTATCGATACAGCAGCTCATGATATCGATACTGTATCATCACATTACACGATACGATATATCGATATTTCCATATTTTTGCACACCCCACGCATTCACACGAGATAAGCAAAGTCTGTAAATTACTTTATTTTACTGACATTGACACAAAGATTGAAAGAAAAAAGCATCTCGATGTGTTTGTTATTGCGCAATTACAACAACACACACTGAGATGCAGATTCGATGGGACTGCTGTAGTATCACCGGACGTCTATGTTTGGCGAAATATAGTAGGTTATCTGCGTCAGAATTTTTACTTTACAAATTACAGAAATTACGCATTTGCACGGGATTAAGATCTCAGGCATCCTCCGCAATTATTACAAATCACCCAAGGTCCACAGGTAATACAAATCTCATACGACTAGGGCGTTAGTCAATTTTATGTTTTGATCTATTCATACATGTTTGAGTATAGTCCAGCATTCGGTGGTTGAGTGTTCCTCATATCTCTTCCACAGCTCAGCATTTAGTTTTAATTATTGCAAAAATCAGACTTTAGGGTAAATGTCTAAGAAAAAGTGCAAAAGAGCATTTCCTACACATGCTAAAGACGCATATTCGCAGGTAAGACTTCTCTCAGTCTCATTTTCCCAAAACATAGTCAAACATTTCACACACAAAAAATAAATAAATAATCAGGTTTTTTGGTTGGGAGGGGGGTTTACTTAATTTTCTGCTTTTTTGTATGTAATTTTCAGTACTGATGACATAAATAAGATTTCAAACTCCACACTGCTTCTTTTTGCACTTTTCCACACACTGATGTAAAACTATGATTTGGCAGGAGACGACCTGTCAGTATTTATCAAAGTGAGGATTACAAAAATATGAAAACTTGTCAAATATGAAAACACTGCTCAAAATTATGCATCTGCCTATGAAACATTTCCAGTCAAAAGGGCTAATTATTATCATACAAAATATAAATTCATAATGGCCTGTAGTGTGTTACCGTTCTGGGCTTCGATGACGGCCGGCTCCACTTGGTCCAGGTCCTGTTTGACGCTCAGCTGTTTGTCCTTGATCACCTCCTGCTGCTTGTACACGGCCTCCTGGATCTCCTGACTCATCACCTACCACCACGGCACCAAAGTATGGACGAATTATGAACCTAGAATCACACCATAACCAACCCAAACCCAGCTCCCTCCTCCTGTACCTTCTTCTTCTCTGCCTCCTGCTGGTCCTTCACCATCTTTTTGAGTTTGTCATTGGCTGCGGCGTTCTTGGCCTCCAGCTCTTGGCTCTTGATCCTCAGGTCACGCCGGAGCTCCTCCACCTGGTGCACAACACAACCATTAGAAATGTGACAATACTGGCATATCAATGATCAACCACAGTGGACAACAAAATGTTAAATTATTAAATGAACAGCACAGGATGATCACGGCAAGGAATATACTAAGATTTTTTGTAATTTTCATGGAGTCTAGGCCACTGCAATAAATGCCATTTGCTTCTTCAGAGTCAATACTTTAGTGTGATTGGTTAAAAACACAACATGCCTTTTTGCAGGATCTAAACCTGCCTTCAGCCTGAGTTATGTGTCCACATTTGTACAGGCTCAGAACCACAGCGACACTAAAAGACTAAAGTGAGAGAAAAGAGCAAAGCTGGCTGAACTGGTTTTACTTCAGTAGCTGAGAAAGGTGAAAATCAGCACTTTAGTTGCATGTTAATGTTAATATCCTGTGTAAAGACAATTACTTGATTCGAAACCTGTCAAAATGGCTGCTTTCTGAATTTTCCATGAGTTTACCTGGTCCACCGTCTCCTTGATCTTGCGCAGACCCACGTTGAGATGCATCTGCTGCTCCTCCAGCTCGCTGCGCTTCTCGTTGAACAGGTTGGCGTACTGGTTGATGAAGTCCAGGTAGTGACGCGGTGTGATGGCCATGGTGTGTCCGCCGCGCTTAGCCAGCCGGTTGTTAGCCTGTTGGAGAGACACACAGTGTAAACTGAAAAATATTCTACAGGAGTTCATTGAAAAAGGAGAATAAAGCGCTTGGTACCTGGTGCAGAGTCTGGTGCACAAACACGCAGCCATTGACGATGGCCTCCCTGTGCGAGGGGGGCTGGGGCAGTTTGTCGTACACAATGGGCATGTAGTCGGGCACTTTGTAGTTGGGTTTCTCCAGATCCATTTTACTGGTGAACTCTTTGCCCACCTGGTACAGAGCCTCAGTGGACCAGTCTCCAAACCAGTTCAACACACACCTGCAAATACAGAGAAGTTGGATCACTGTAGTTTACTCGTTATAACTGAACCTGTTGAGGGTTAGTAAAAACACACATGTATCTGTGGTAGAAGTGTCAATGGTTACACACTGACCTGTTGAAGAGGGCAGGGGAGGTGGCGGCGCGGTCCTTCAGCCCCTCAGATGAAGGGTTCATGGTGAAGACCACGTGCAGGTTCCTGATGACCTGACTGGTGAACCACTTGTAAAGCTCCTCATGAGTGTCCAGCATCAGCCCCTCCTTCTGAGCTCCCTCCTTACACTGGGTCATGAGGGTGGCATACTCGTCGCCCTCAAACAGACCTGGCACCTGTAGGGGGGGACATGCATGAGCTCCAATAAACTAAACTAATCCTGTTGTAACAAATACAGTTACAACATGTGCACAAAACTAATTATGTGGTCAAACTACTGCATTAAAGGAAATCAATTTCACCCAGGAAAAGTTTTGGGACATTGCATTGATTTTCTCATTAAAAAGACATTTGGCCACAGTACAAATATATTGCATAAGTAGGCTGAAAATTAGACAGATGTGTGCTCTCTGCATCTAATTATAGAACATGCTTGTTGTTGCATTTATTGCTCACTCTCTGGTAACGAAATGAAAAAGTGCTCAAACACATGGGGAATAATTAGGATGCTCAAACTGCATAAGGTAAGTGAGAAATAACTTTGGACCACTGCAAACCGTTTAAAATGAATTAGTTCATGTTTTTAAGACAGAAAAAAAATCAAGTACAGTGCCTGTAAGTACTATAAAACACATCTATAGATAAGAGTGGAGGTTTACCTCTCCGTTGGCCAGCAGCGTGTTCATCCTCTCCAGGAAGCCTGAGTCCAGCACGTTGGACTCATCCATGATGAAGGCGATCTTCTCGTTCTTACAGCCTGAACGCCGCAGCACTGTGCGCAGGTCCTCATCAAAGTCTTCCCCTGTGTACTTCCTGTGCACCTAAAGGATGGAACAATCATAATACATGTTAGATCTGCACAAAGGAGTTTTACTCAGTAAATCCATGGTACTCACCTTGATTTGATAGACACTCAGCCCATTCATCCAGGCCACAAAACGAGACAGTGTGGTCTTTCCTGCTCCACTCACTCCAATCAGCAGCAGATGGCCCTGAGGCTGACGGAAAATCCTACACAAACACATGCTCATTTAGAAAATGTAACGTTGAGTTAACATAAAACCATTCTGAGCTTCAAGAAGTTCCATCACCAAACATGTTTTTCACTTCATTTAGTGCTGCTCTAATGACTTGAAAAACACACAATTATTTACAAATGTAAAGTTTTACATTTACCTGTCGATCCTGAGCACATGGTCCAGCACCTCGTTGAAGAGCACCAGAGGAACGTCCAACTCCTCCTCGTAAAAGACCTTCAGACGAGCCTTCACATAGTCCCTGAGCTCCTCCTGCTCCACGGGCACGTAGTCCTGCACAGACACACACAGGTCAAGACAAGAGCAGCAGCTTTGTTCACATCACATCAGAACATGCAGAATCCCTCTAGTTCAAACTGAGCTGGAGGACAGGTCAGAACTGAAGACAGTAAAAGGAGAAGAGAGTCACCTTGGAGAGCCAGTTGCTGTAGAGGATGGGCCTGTTCAGAGCCTTGTCCTTGTCGATGTTGGGGAAGTGTTTGAGGGCCACGGTGTCAATGTTCTCGTCTGTCCACCTCCTTTCCTCATCTCCAACCAGCCTGAAGACAGAGCAGAGCAGTGGATACATTTACATGAGTTATCTGATTATTATAGTAATCTGATTTAACGGGCCAAGAATTTTTGGTGTGTGTTTAAGAGAACTGATAATCAAAATGTGTCAGCAAATTAAATGATTTTTCGTTGTATTTGAAGGTTAAAACCAGTCCTTGAATCTTTTACAGTTTCTCTTTCATTTTTGCCTAAGAAACATTTTGCCTTTGCACATAATTTTCCTTGCCAAAAACTGCACAGATGTGTACAATTAGAAATCAGATTACTCAAATTAGTTGTAACTGTTTATCTGATTTTCATTTCAGATTATTGAAATGTCTTAACGATCTGATTTTTGGGGTAATCATAGGCACTGTTAAGAACGTGTGAAGCCAGTTCAAACAGTTATATTTTTCTACTGTCATTTTTTTGTTTTGTTTATATTGCAACATCTGTATGCCAAGTTTAACATGTTTAAAATGGTTGCAGTGTAAAAACTAACCTGCTTAAATAAATAGAAAATATAAAACAAAACATGAAAACCAGTCAAAACTAGATTTTTTTAAAGGCCACAAACAAACTGTACAGAAAAAAGATATGGTCTATTTGCTGTGGGTGTACCCAAATAAAGGATTAATTTGAGAGCTATCCAACATAATCATCAAAACTGCAGATGCGGACCTGTCCTGGAAGAGGCGCAGCGCTTCGTGGGCCCAGATGCGGATGAGCCCTCCACAGGCAGAGTCTCCAGGGGTCTGAGGGCCTCGAAGATGCCCCTCACCCAGCGGGTCATCTCTCTGGGGGAGTAGATGTAGTGTGGCTGGGTGTCCTGGGTGAAGCGCTCCTGCAGGGGAAATCGAAGGTTTCATTAGACTTTGAATTTAAAAAACACTTATAAACTCATCATGGTGGATAATCAGGATGCTCAGAATGTATAAGGTAAGTGAGAAATAACTTTGGACCACTGCAAACTCTTTAGAATTAGTTCATTTTTCAAGTTTTAAGACAGTAAAAAAAAAAAAAAATCAGGTACAGGACCTTTAAACTATGAGATAAGACTGAAAAAGACATGATGAACAGCTCTACAAACCTGAGACATGGTGTAGAACTCGACCATGGCGGCGGTGAGGGGCTCGGCGTAGGTCCGCAGAGACGGGATGAGGCGCAGCATGGCCCGGTTAAACGTGCCGTAGATCTGAGTGAGCGAGGCGGGGCCGGGGTAGTCCACGTACACCACAGGGACATGACGCAGGAACCTACAACATAACAGTTAAACACACTCAGAACTTCATTTGGTTTTTGGCAATACCACGTAGATTTTTTTAAACGCAACACAATGACAAAATGGCCCTTCAGACTGTCCAATCATACCTGTGTGTGAGGGGCTTTCTGCCAGGGTCTGTGGGAGGGTTACAGGCTCCAACAAACTGGATCCTCTCCAGCTTCACCCAGGTCTGGTCTGAGGTACGATAGAAGCCTCCGTGTTCCACCATCTGCACAATCGCATCGACATTAATAATGTTGCAGTTATTTACATAAACTGAACACATATTGGTCAAAGTAATATTATTCCAGGCAAAACAAAAATTAATCATTAAATGAGGACTGAAACGATGCACTAAAAGCTGATATTTTTTTTTACTCAGAAAATAAACAATCGTCCCAAGTGTCAGAAAAACAACAAAACAGTCAATTAACATTTTATTTTGTATGCAGAACCATGGCGAGGAGAAAATGCAGTTTGTCGACTGGACAAAAGTTAGTTTGGTTGAAGGCGTTTCGCAGCTCATCCAAGCTGCTTCTTCAGTTCTGGTCAGACGCCGGTGGACACTTCCTTATATCTGCAGGGAGAAGCCAAGTAACTGAAACTACCTACTGAAAAGTCTTCAACCAAACTAACTTTTGTCCAGTCGACAAACTGAATTTTCTCCTTCGACTGACGGATTCTTCACATATGTATAATTGTGTTTCGACTGACATCACATCATTCTATAAGTCAATAATGTCTAATACAGATCATGGTCAGCTAAAAAACTGCAATAGTGTTTTTAGTAATAAAGTGAATTTGCAGTTCTTGTCATGAATATAACTGATCAGGTTTAACATTTGTAAAAAGTACCGTATTTTCCGCACTATACGGCGCTCTGGATTATAAGGTGCACTGTCATTAAATGGTCTATTTTCAAACTTTTTTCACAAATAAACTGCACCGGACTTTAAACGAAACACAACAGTTGGATGGGTGAGTGGTTTTGTTTGTTTGTGGCGTTCACGGTGACTCTGGGCTTTGTTCAGTTGTGGCGTGTAGGGAGGGTGCTGTCTGGGACCGCTGGATTGTCAGCGTGTTCGCAGTGACTCAGTTGTTCAGTTGTGTCTAGAAGTGGCACATTGCACTCGCTTTTTCGGTTCGTTCCTCCGTTCCGTTCCTCGTTGGCGTGGAGTGATGAGTGTGGCTGCGGGTATTTTTCGCTGTGCAGTCGCTGTCTGCTCCGTGTGTGTTTGCGTGTTCTGCGGGTGGTGCAGCTTTGTAGTTTACTGAAGTCGTGCTGGAACACCCGAGTGGATTCGTGTATAGGGTGCTCTGGATTGTGGGGCGCGCAGTCATTTTTTGATGGGGTTAGAGGCTTATGAGTGCTCCCTATAGTGCGGAAAATACGGTACTAATAAATATTACAGAAATGTTATCCAGATGTACCTGTCTGAGGAAGGAGATGACCCTCTGAGTGCCGTACTTGTCCATGTCTGGCAAGTTGATCTCGTCACAAAACAGCACCAGCCACTTGCCCAGCTGCACGGGGGCCAGCACCACTCCGTTGGGGGTGCGGCGGTACTCGCAGTAGTGGTCGAAGGTCTTCAGGAGCAGCTCGGGAGTCGTGGCACTGGAGAAGTTCAGACCCACGACCTGAGAAGAACAACACAACATACGCTCAGATCTTCATCTCAAAGGCTCTGCGTAAACTGCAATAACTAACCTCATCATTTATTTTTACAGTTTTATAAGCCAGTTTGGAATTATTCTAATATTTTTTTCTCCTCACCATTTTATTCTTTTAAACCAAAACTATAACTTTGGCTTAAAATTATATAATGGACCAGTTAAAAATATAATGGCCGTGTAATATTGTAGATTTTTGGCCTGCCTTGTCACACTACAAACTTGCTACAACCACAAGTTAATACAGAATTTTAGGCCTGTGTTTTTCAAACTGTTCCACTGGTGGTGCACAGGCTCCTTGAGGTGGTATTGTCTGTGGCTTTGACAAATTCAGAGTTCATTTTATCAATTTTTGCGTAATCCATTTTTGTTTAGAACTACAATGGGAATTTAGTCCACTTTAGCCCTGTTTTAGACCTAGATTAAACCTGGAATAGTCCTGGTTTAGATCTGGTGGTACTCAGAAAGGCAGATCTTTTCTTTGGTGTGAAAAGTTTAAGAGCCACTATATCTAGGTCACTGGACAGATTTATTTCAGCCTGTTGCCATTTTTAAAAGCTGCTGTATTTCAGGTTATATTTACGATACGACCCCAGCAGGCTTCATAGCGCACATGAGTTTAACCGATTGTATGAGCAGAGAAACTTAAAACATTAAGCTCCAGTAGTCCAGGCTCTTCTGAATACACCATAATGTAGTGGATACACCATATTTCTTTGAATCATCACTGGTTCAAACTCAGATTTCAGTCTTTTAGTTGTATTGACAAAAATATTAGACTTGGCATTCCATACTTCCATGTCAGGCAGAGCTCGAAGCGCGCTGAACAGGGTCATGGTCTTTCCGGATCCAGGCGGTCCACACAGCACCAGGGGCTTGTGTTCGGCTAACCACGTGTAGAGCAGGGCCTCATGACGCACTGTGTCCAGGGTGGGCACCACCACGTCTGGGGACGCCACCTTATGGGTCTCCACCTCGATCTGTGGAACCTTCCCCTGCCATGACTGCCACTCGCCAGAGATGCACACCTACGTAGAGGAAAGGGACAATACAGATTTAAAATGTACACAGGCCGGCCATAATAAATACAATATCGACTATTCAATACGTGATAGATGGAACAATAATTTCTGGGCTCAGTATTTATTATGAATACTTTCTCTTTGTACTAACAGGTAACTTTTTGTCATTGCTCTGTACTATAATAAGATTTGAGCTGAAAAAGTTTGAATAAATGACTTCTATGACTCAGAGAGAAAATACTAAAGTGTTTAACTTAGTAATTTATTTATTACTAAAGTTTTAATAATATTTTACATATAGAATATTTTTGCTTAGGGTTATTATGTCAAAAATGTATTGCGTTTTTTAGTTAAATTTGTGATTTTTTAAAATTTAATTTAAAAAATTATTGTGGCAAAAATTTGTTTCAATATTGCAGTTTACAGTCCATGTCATTAAAGAGGGAGTATTACACTTCTACAGGGTATTACCTGATAACAGAACAAACTTAGATCACAATGTTGCCTTTTATTGCTTTGAAAAGGCAACATTTTCACAGAAAACAACATTTTAAGGTATTTAATAGGTGCCGCAACAGAGAACAAAGTCCTGACCAAGCCTATAGCTTAAGATCAGAAGACTGGTCACTTGCCCCAACGACACTGAAGGACTGGTCAAATGCATCTACAGGGCAGATTTCCCCACGGGGACCATAAATTGTGTTATTGTGACAAACCTATGTGGCTTATTTCAACCCAAGAGAGCATCAAGAGTATATGTACCTCGTAGTCGATGATGGGCACATTGGGCGCGGTGGGCAGGGGCACGGTGGTGATGCGGCGGATGTACTCTCCCAGCTCTGCTCTCATCTTCAGACGCCCATCTCCAGAGAAGGACCAGAGCACGGCGTAGATCAGGTATCTCTGCACACAACACACAGGAAGTGATTGAATTATACTATTATAGTGATTATACTGTTCTATTCTTTACAAACATGACAAGTACACTTTGGTGTTCTCTTGTCCATGGAGACGTTTTTGCAGTGCCTGGTATGTTTCATAGAATGGCATTAAAAGTGTCTATCTTGCATTAATTTAGTCAAAGTTTGTTTTTTTTTATAGCTCCAAAATAAAAGCAAACCTGAAACCAACATTATGTTATTAGGTTCTTTTTTCAGACCAAGAGTTTGTTTTCATACCTGACCTTTTCAGCTGCTCACTAGCGCTCTTCCTCAGAGTCCGGTCAGCTGATTTATACAGATTTTGGCACTTTCACTCTGAGGAAGAGCGCTAGTGAGCAGTCGAAACTGTCAGGTATGTAAACAAACTCTTGGTCTGAAAAACGAACCTAATAACATAAATTATCAAAAGATCAAATAAAGCTCATTGGACTAAAACCAACTTTGCCTAACCATCAATACACATTTTACTACATTAATTAAAAGTAATTATTATTATTGTATTGTAACTATATAACCCGATTATTGCCTTCGTCTGTAAACAGAATTCATACACTAGAAATGTGTTTTGGCAATTAAAGATTTTCAGATGTTTTTCAAAAAGGAGATGGAAAAACCAGCAAGGGGCAGCCAAGAGTTGTAATTTTTTTTTTTTCAAAAAGCCTATTATTTACATATTTTGTTTCATTCACCCATGTTGAACACAAACTCTGCATTTTTAGGTTGACATCTTCTCTCAAACAGAAATCTCTGTGCGCTCTACTGTGTTTTTAAACTCCTCCTTCATTCACTCATTTGGATCATTTCATCCGTGGAATTGCCAATCCCCACTGAACAAAAGGTAAAAGGGGAGCTGTTCACGTGAAAACTACCACTACATGACATCGCAAGGTGGATCAGAGCATTTTGAGCTCTGGAGATGTACAGAGACCAATAATAAAGGGTTGTGTGAATGAAATAAAACAGAACTCCAGGTATACTGCTGAAGAAGTAACAACAAGGACCTTTAAATGTGCAAATAAATTGAAGTTTTGTAATTTCAGTCAGTGGTACAGGGTATGTTTTGTTTGTTTTGGTATCACACTGCCAGTCAAGTCATGTCATGTGTTTTTTCTGGCTGCTTGTACCACCCTCTCTGTGCCAGTGTGTGCCAGCGCGTACCTGCATGTATCTCTCGAGCTGGTCGATGGGCATGGGGAAGTCGGGGTGGTTGTTGTTGTACAGGGCCACGTTGCGACAGGCCTGGTGCAGCATGGAGAACAGCGAGCCCAGGCAGCGCAGGCGTGTGAAGTCCATGATGTGCTCCATCTTCGACGCGTGCTCCAGGGCTTTGATCACCAGCCCTGTGGAGGTGAAGTACGGCTGCAGGATGCCCACAGAGTCACGCTGGATCTGAGACAAGAGAATATTTAGGTTACATCTGCATCACTGACACGGGAGAGACTACGCTCCTGTAAGTCCAGGCCTCCTATGAGCAATGATGAAACGCTTGAGGAAGGCCTGATGTACTATATACACTCTAAAAACACAATTACAATTTAATTTTTAGACAATTGAGAGCCATTCAACAAAGAAATTTTTGTAGTTATTTAACCATGTGATCTTTATTAGTGATAAATAAAGATAATTTTAACTATTCAGGAAAAATCTAATTTCATCCAATTTTTTTTCCCTCAGCATCAAACTCAATACCATGTTTTTATTTGTATAACTGTTAAAACAATTAGCCTGCAATATTTTACTTTTAAAATACTTAATTAACTAACAGCTTCCAAAGATTAAAGTGGCATTTTATATACATATTTTTTCAAAAGCCGGGAGCAAAACGTCGTCTTTCTGCTGTGGTGTTTGACATAAATCATCCCAATATAATGTGGGATTAAAAATGCTCAACAAAGTTTTATATTAGAAAATAGTCTGTGTCTCACGGTCATATTTAATGTGAAACAGTTTCTGTCCCTGTTGTGTCTTTTTTCATTCACCGTGGCACAGTTGTGAAAATGGCAGCAGCCGAAACATGTCAACAAGGTAAATACACCTCGTACTCTATTGTCTATATAAAGAACCAAAAAAGTTAATGTACATAAGACAAAGTGAACATTTTTAGATTAGGTTCAAGGACCAAGTCGCCATTTCGGCTGTTTGTGTCTGTGGAACACTATGGAACTCCAAAGCGGCCATCATAACTGTATTATTCATACATGTTTGCTCTTTTTTACATAACTCTAACCCAAAAAGAAAAAAAAACAAAAAACATGTTTTCCAGTGGCATAGTGGCCCCTCTCACCTGCAGCATGGGCGAGGCAGCTTCGTCCTCGTCCTCTGTGCCCTTCCTGTTCCTCTGGGCCTCGTCCTCTCCCTCGTCCAGTGGGATGCTGCGGAGTCTGGCCAAGAAGTGATTAAAGATCATGTCTGTGCTGAGGACGTCCTCGCTGAACCACACCATCCCACAGCGAGACACGGTGGCCAGGGTGGCGTACTTCAGGTCCTGCACCTCAAACATCACACGCACCTGGAGAAAGACACACGTTTAGGAAAAACTGTATTGACAATAGCTTGATAGGAGGGGGTGAGACCGTACATTTGGTGGCAGGCTGAGACGCTCTCCATTAGGCAGGGTCAGTAGCTTGTTGTCGTCGAGCACAGAGTTGAGATTCTCCACCCACTCGGGGTCTACGTCACCGTCAAAGATGATCCACTGCCTCTTCTGCAGCTCCCCGCGCACGTTGTCAATGATCCTGGAAAACAATTTACAGGAAGGTTTATTTTTCTTCAATCTTAAATCCTTAAATCCTAAATGTTATCTTTGTTAATTTTGTGCGTTCATGTTAAATTTGTTTTAACTCTTTCCCCCTTGGACGTAGACTAGGAACAACCTATACATATATTAACAGGGCTACCCACAGAGCACAACTGCATAAAAGAAAACAGACTTCCACGAGTGATTGTAAATGATTTTTACACTCATGAACTTTACTGAAACACAGACATATTTGGTATCTCTGGAAACCTTAGACTCTGAACTATTCATTTATGGATGTTTAAATGTGATTCAACTAATTTCCGGGTATATAACAGCTCACTGAAAATGAGAGTTTACCTGATCAGGTGCAAAATCAAAAACAGAAAAACTACATTCAGCATTTGATATATGCATGTTCTGAGTACTATATTCATAAAAAAATGTAAAAATATATTTGTCAAAATATGTAAACAGATTTCATATCATCAGATACAGTATAGCCAAGTGTACACCTGTTTTTACCTGTTGTACACCTGTGTATACCTAATTCCTTTTTTCCATTTAACTGATTCAACTCATTGTCAAATCACGTCTTTAGTGATTTAGTGGAGGTGTCAAAACACGTCATTAAGGATACAAGGGGGGGTCGTCAAATGTTGTCTTCATGGGGGAAAGAGTTAAAAGTGATAACAGGCAAACCAATCCTTTTCAAAGACTTCAGAATACAGCTGATGGGTAGACAATCTCAAATAGAGTTTATATGACACTACTGAAGTTAACAAAAGGCTACTATAGATGATACATTCATCTGGAAATGTGCTACCCTATGTCTAATGGTTTAGGGGAGATTGTAAATATATGATAGAAGAGTTGATTAAAAGGTCCTCTACACAAATACATGAAGAAACAAGAATACTGTCAGAATTGTGGAGCTGGTGTAGCAACAACATGAAAAGACAGATTGTTGTATTGTAAAAACTCAAATCACAACGATCCCATTTGCAGCAGAAGGTAAAAAGAACTGCTTGGTTTTAAAATGAACGGGTAACAAAGCGTGGTGTGTACTGACTTCCTGAGAATGTGCGTGAAGAGTCCGTCGGTCCACTCGCGCGTGTTGGGGTCCAGGGTGCCGTACAGGTGGTCCTTGCTGATGGCTTTGGGGTCGATGATGTGGGCCACCCCCTCCACTCCCTCCAGCCTCTCCAGGGCTTTGAGCAGCACCCTCCAGGCCATGGTCTTCCCACTGCCCGAGGGACCCACCATCATCAGGCCGTGATTGATCTGTGTGATCTGGTACAGCTGCAGCACCTGGACACGGGACAAACATATACACAGTTACTAATGCTTCTAGACTTACACTCTTGGTACTCAACAGTGCCACTTTGGCTGGAGTAGTCTGACATGCACTAATACCGCTTTGTTTCAGTTCCGATACATATTTTGTTACTAAGGTAAACTAAGGTCTGCCGATTCCCGATCAAGAGACTGAAAATAGCATTAATTTCCTTTAAACAACAATAAATTAAGACTAAACTGATTAAAAGTGTTATGTAACTTATTTATCCCTTGGGCAAATATAGAACAACTTTATATAAAAAAGTTAAAACATTGAGACCTTGAGAGTCTTTTTACATAACTAGTATATGCCCAGTCAGGATTACAGTATCAGCTAAAATGATATTTGGAAGCCAATGTCCAAATTTTTTTCAGTATCTGCACCGATATCCGATACCAGTCACAAATTGGTGCATCTCTACGTGGGCATTAGGAGTTTAAACGCAACAGCGCAAAAAGTCATTTTTCAAAGTTTCAGGAAAATAATTAAATAAACTGTCAATAAGATGAGTTGGCCAATAAAAAATATTTTGACACACACAAAAATACAAACTGCATAAGGACAGAACTAATCACACAAATGCACCAGGGTCTAGATTTTCTAAAGGGACTCTTGAGCGATGGGTAAAATATTACAATTGCCGTACTCTGCATAGTATATTGAGTGATTCATGTTTGACTAATCCTCTATAAGTCCTGTATTAGCGGCTTGAGTGTTCAGAACATCATCGTCTTCAGTGCGTACCTTCTCGACCCACATGCTGCCCACGTCATCTCCATCTCCGTAGGTCAGGTACATCTCAGTGCAGACCTTCTTCAGCTCCTCCCTCAGAGCGGTCATCTCTCCACGGTGGTACTGCACACCAGGGAACACGTCGGACAGCAGGCTGAACAGCAGGGGGATGTCCTCTGCCACCAGCTTTGGCACCATGGTCTCACACACGCTCTGGATCAGGATCTGACCAGGGGAAAACATGTTAAAGGACCAATTATTGTTCTATTCAAATGCACTCAGTCAGTATGGAGGGGCTAGAAGAGCCACATGCACCAGGGGAATCATACCTCCTGCTCAGGGAGGTTCTCTGCGATCTCGTTCTCGTCCACATCCTCTCCGCGCTCCAGCTTCTCCCTCTTGATCCTCTGGATGCGCTCACGTTTGACATTGCCTGCGCTGATCAGCACACTCTTCAGGGCACGCAGACCGAAGTCATAGTGGCTCTGGGAGGACAGCTGCTCGTCACACAGCCTGGGGGGGTAAACAAGGTCAAGAGTTAGAACAACTGGACATTACAAAATGAGTATCGTATGGAAAAAAAAATCCAATCTTACTTGAAGAAGGGCACGATCTTCTTGGCCAGGATTTCGGCGGTGCGGAAGCCCTGAGAGTACAGCATGACTTGGGCGATGAGCTGGCGGTCGGGCTTGGTCATGGCCAAGCTCCTGAAGAGCTTCTTGAGGTTATCAGGGAGGTTGGAGCGGCCAGCGTAGCCAGGGTTCATGGTGATGAAGATGGCCATGTCGGGGCTGACCTTCACCTGCTTGTTGAGCAGCTCAGTGGTGACTGGGACACCTGAAGAGGAGGAGTAGGAGGAGGGTTAGAAACATGCTCAGTGGATCATATGGACGTGTGCAGGAGGACAGAGGACTTACTCCGGTCCCGGTTGGGGTTGCTGTGTTCCCTCAGAGCCACTTGGATGAACTGCACCTGCTGAGACACGGCCGACAGCATCCTCTCCTCCAGACGATTGAACTCATCGAAGCATCCCCACGCACCCACCTGGCAAAGACCCACGAAGATACGTCCCATGGCCTGCAAACAGGGACCAGGGTTTACAACATGTCCGTATATCTCCAGGGTTTAAAAAGAAAAGGAACAGACCTGGAAGTCAAAGGTCTCGTCGCAGTTGAAGACCAGGACAAAGCGGCCGAGCTGGTGACCAAGAGCCTTGACAGACTCAGTCTTTCCTGTGCCAGCAGGGCCTACACACAAGAGTCATCAATAGTTACTTTTACTATTATCATCACACAGTTTACCTACAGAAACACTTAAGCGAGTACAACAGCTCCTTACCGAAGGGGGAGCCTCCCAGGCGAGCCTCCAGGGCCTGGGTCATGGTCAAATAGCAGCGGTCGGTCAGAGGGGTCTGCACCAGCTTGTCCTGGACGCCCAGGTACTCAAAGCCGTAGTTGAACTTGGCATTGGCCATCTGGATGGACAGCTGCTGCAGCACGTCGGTCTGTTTGGGGTCGAAGTAGAAGCGCATTTGGCTGAGCCATTCAAAGGACTTGGGGTTGTCGATTTTGTTCTTGATCAGAGTCCTGGTCACATCGCGCTGGTGCACCAGCTCTGTGATCTGAGAAAACAACACAACGTTAGCTCTGAACACCACACACACTGTACACCTCTGGCCCCCACACACACGCAGACTGTACTGACCAGGTGCTCCAGTTTCCTCCTGCGCAGGGGGGGCTGCTCCATCAGCACAGTGTCGGCCAGCACGTTGAGAGTGGCCTCCACGTTGGAGAGCACACCCTGCATGGGTGTCATATCTCCTCCTCCAGAGACGGTGGTCAAGGCAGACTCGATGTTCTCAGACCAGGCGATCTGTGTGGAGAGGACAACCAGCTGGGCCTGTGGGAGAGAGGAGGAGTGAGTCTTAAACTTGTATAAATACATGTCCTGTTCTACACTAGGTGTGCAGTGGTGGTACTGGCCTGGTAGCGGTCGATCCAGTTGATGTACTGGCTCAGGTCCACAGCAGTGCCCTGGTTGAAGGTTGTGACCTCAGTGACAGACTCGGCCAGCAGCTTGGCCAAAGTCACCCTCATCTCCTTCTCCACCAGGGTGAGCCACTCGTTGATCTTGGGGTGCTCTGTGATGGAGACGGGGGTCTTGTACAGGACCTCCTCTCCCTCTCTGGAGGAGATGCCAAGCACCTCTGTGTTGTCCTCATTCAACAGAATGCTGGAAACACCAGCAAACATCTTCTTGAAGTGCTTCTGTAGTTTGGCCACATTCTTGCTGTTTCCAATGATCTCAAGAAGGTCCTCATCACCCACAAAGTAGAATCTTGAAAGACAAGAAGCACAAAATAAGAAAACATAACACTTCTACAGCAAGTTCCATGTTGAACTTCCTGTACCTGGGGAAGGAGGACCTCTCTCTCTCCAGGTACTCTCCCAGGGCTTTCTGGATCTTCCCGAGGAGATCGGCCAGGCGCTCCAGTGATCGCTGCACGCCCTGAATGTTCAGCACGTCCATCACTAAAGGAGACTTTGTCACCTTCTTCATCAGAGCCAGAAACTCTGTGCTGATACTAAGAATAACACAGAAAACATTGTGTTTGTAGTCACACAAATATTATCCACACTATGAACCACCCAAAAGCTTCTCCTGGTTACCTCTGGAACCTCTGGGTCTCCACGGGCAGCAGGTGCTTGATGTCAGCACTGCCGGTGAAGATGCCCTCCAGGTAGACCCAGCGCCTCTGCACGTCTATCCACACGTCGAACAGAGCCATGATGCGGTTCAGCTTGTCCTCCCAGCTCAGGGCATCCTCCTCAAACACCTACACACAGATAAACACTTGTAGGTCCCTGTACTTGTGTTGTTTAGTATGTGCTGAGAGCGTGAGCAAACCTTGTAGTAGGGCGAGAGCTTCATGGCAGACACACTGTTGATGTGCTCTTTGACCTTGTTGAAGAGGTCGTCCCAGCCGCGGATCAGACGACACTTGTTTTGGTAGTTCACCAGGTCCAGCTCATACGAGTTCCACACCTCACGGATCTGATCAGGAAAAAAAAAAAAAAAGAAGTAATTTATACATTCAAAACCGGATCATTTCTATTGACTAGACCCAGGAAAACTCACTGTATTACACAAATTTAACACAAATTTGATTACATCCTAAATTCTAATGATAAAAAATCAGCTAGAGCACTTTCATAGTTTAAATCTGAAACAGGTTCCTTAATGTATTTTAGTTGTAGGTAGATTATAATATAAACTAAACTAATGGATGGCTTTTTTCTATACCAGTTTCTCTCAGTCTCTGTCTAATGTACCTGCTTGAGGAACTCCTCCAGGGCCATCTCTCCCTGTGCCACCAACAGAACATCCTTGACCACCATCTCATTCTTCTGCAGGTCCACGTCCCACAGCTGGCCCAGAGTCAGCTCCGACAGCACCCAGTTCACGTGGAGACGCTTCATCAGCTGCTTCCAGTGCCGATCCTTCAGTGCCTCAGACTTCAGCTCGATCACCAGCATGTTCACCTGCTCGCAGACATTACAGTGAGTAACAAAGTATTAGCTCATCAGTATAAAGAGAGGTCAGGGAGAGCTGGTCCACACCTTCAGGTATCCTTTAAGCATTCTCTGGATGTATTCGTAGGAGGCGTACTGTCGCAGTCGTGCCTGGAAGTTCTTCAGTTGGTTCAGGAGAGCATCAAGGTTTTGACGAAGCTAAAGAACCAAATGAAGGTATACATTAATGGAAAAATTAAGTGGGAGAAACGTTTCTCTACTGCACAGCATCATTCAAGCAATATGACATATGAGACAATCAATGTTATTTGTGATTTTGTACCTTTCGAGGTTGCACAGACACCCAGGGCTGCTCCTTCATCTGGTCAATCTGCTCCCAGATCTTAGACAGCTCTGACCACACCTCCTTCAGGTCATGGAGCTCCTCCAAAGCCACCTGTGAACCACCAACAGTTTAATGTATGGAAATGGGATAGTGTTATGAAGTAAAAAAAAGTGTTTGTATGCAAAGTAAGGTTGTGTCCACATTACCTGCACCCTCTCCTCACTGCCGCTCAGAAGGCCTGTGTCGGTGAGCTCCAAAGCCTCTTTAGCGCGGGCACATTTCTCCCTCTCCACCTTCAGCCGGCTGAAGTTTCCTTCATAGATGGTCAGAGACTGGAGAGCCTCCTCAGGACGCAGGTTTCCCTGATGGACAAACAGGCAGGATTCACTTTTCCATATTACATTCACAATATCAGTTAAGAAATGTAATACCACAGCTGTGTGGCTCTTACAGCAACGGGTTTGGTCTTCTCCCAGTCATTGAGCAGGTCTGTGGTGCGGTTCTCCACAGCTTTGTCCTCCTGGACGATCTTCATCTGCAGGTTGGCCACCTGCTGCTGGATGGCGGTGTCTTTGCGCTTCATAATGTCGCTGAAGGCGCCCCATTCCCCTTCTATGTTGTCGATGTAGAGCCACGAGGGAGGGAACTGGAACCTTTGCTTCTCCAGGAGGCGCTGACCATTACGGAACATCTGCAGTAGAAAGAGGACAAGTATAAATACAACATGAACTGGTCCTAAGGATAGAAGGCTACTGAGAATACAAAGACTTACATCCACGTTCTTCTCGTATTGTTTGAGCTTGCGCTTGAGGGTCTGCACATATGTGATGAAGTTGACTGCATCAGAGGTACTGGCCGTGTCCACAGAGTGCTGCTCCAGTTCTTGGCGAGACTATAAAGGAAAGAGAACGTTAACATGTAAAGCTGTAAAATCACGTGTGAAAGATCTGATGGTAAACTCCACAGCCTTACTTTGGAGATCTGAGCGTGGAAGTCCTGCATGTTCTGGCCCAACATCTGACCAAACTTGCTCAGCACCTCCTTGTGCCAGGAGTCGTACTTGAGGTTCACTTTAGACTGGACCTGTTCAACAGAATGGGCAACAGTTCATTGAATACATGGAGTCAAAAACGAAAAGTGAAATGTCTCTTAAAGTGTAGAAAAGCCGTACCTTGCCGTAGTCTATGACCACCGGCCCAAACTCCTTCCTGGTCTCTGCGTTGTCAAAGGTCCCGCGAGCTTTGCGGATCTGGACCAGCAGGGCCTGCCACTTTGTGAGGTCTTCTCCCAGACGGTTGTAGATGTTCTCAGCCTGCATGTCCCACAGGCACTGGTACTGCAGCCACACCTGGAGCACAGAAGGAGCGCAGTGAGCATGTCATTAAACCATCTGAGCTTTTATGAAATCAAACAATAGAGGACTTACCTTCACATACTTCTCCACCTCATCCACAATGTCCTCCACGGCGTTGTAGGCCTCCTCCAGTGCAGCAGGACCATCAGGCATTCGGGTCAGGGCATTCCGATAAAACTTCTCCTCCTCTGAGAGCTCATAGTGGACTCCAACCTAGACAACCAAAGAAAACAATTAAACATTTTTAAATTACACAATAGTGGCTTCAGCTTTCCCCCACATACCTGATATCTCTGGCTCTGGATGCGAGGCAGAGATAGGATGACCATCTTCCAGGTGAACATCTCCTGATAGAGCTTGTAGCGGCAGTCTTCGATGGGTGGGTTCAGGTAGATCACTTGGTTGGTGATCCTGAGCTCATGGATCACATTCTGGAAGACACAAACGCAGCTGAGCCTAAATCTCTCTACACATGTACAAGGGAGTGTGTAGCTACAGTTGGATCCCTTACCTTGATCTTGGGCTCTCCTCCGGGCTTGTGGCTGACCTGAGGAGCCTCTGTGTCCATGTCCACATCGGCCTTGTCCTCCACTTGTCCTCGTAGCACCTGTGTCCATGCTTTTAGACCAGCCTGGAGACGGACTCCCAGGATGCGCTCGATCTAGGAACAAGGAATGGTTCATTACACAAAAAGTTCGGGGAAAAAAAGGATAAAATTTTACTTCTATTCTTATATTTATTTGTTAACACCCACTTCTATGTCCAGCTTGTTGACCCAGATGGGCAGGTTGGAGTAAGAGTGCAGGTTGAGGTCGTCCACAGCCTTCTGCACGCGGTTGAGGATGTCAGAGAAGGTCTTGTTGTCGAACATGCAGGTCTCCAGAGAGCGCACCTCCAGGTCAATCTTCTCCTCAATTAGCAGCAGGTCATCCACCTACACACCACATGTTAGGACACAACTATTTAGAGAACTGAAAAAATATCACTGCTGCAATTGAAGCAGTTGTTTAAAGCATGCTATTGCTGATGTTAAGTTAAAAGTTAAAGTGCATATGACAGGTTTTGTATGGGCACTGAGCTGCACTTTCTGCATTAACAGTTTTGAGAATAACCAGCCGTTTTATCTGTATGTGGAGAGAGGGATGGAACTGTTTTCAGCAGCAGCTTCCCTGCACTGCATTGAGGGGCAGCTCAAGACGCTCATTCACTTCAAAACTTCAGGCAACCAAAAAATAAATAAATAAAAATCACCCCAAGATTGAGAACCAATGGTCTAACCTGTCATATGCGCTTTATATCTAATCTATTGAAAATGATGTAAGAAATGCACACAATTTAAATAAAGATTTCTAACAAAACTTTAGAACAAACCTTCTCTTGGAAATTGAAGACTGTCTCGGCCAGCCTCTGCACGTACGGGTCCAGTTTGTAGGATTCCCAAACCAGGGTGATGCCTTCAGTGATGAGAGCCTGGACCTCCTTCTTGAGCCCTGCCACCAGCAGAGAGATGGAGGCGCGCTCCTCCACCTTCTCACAGGTGCGCTCGTATGTCCTGACGCTCTCGATGAGGGAGATGGCGAAGGGGTAGAGCTGGTTGGCCTGGTGGGCTTTGTTGACGATGGCCAGGGGCACTCTGAAGCTCAGCCACTTGAGGTTGCGCACTTCCTTGGACAGAGTGATGATCTCTGGGAGGAAGTTGACCTTGAGCTTGAGCATGTTGCCAGATCGACCACGGGCACGGGACGTCTCGATGGTGAAGATGCGCCCGGACACGCCCAGGTTACGCTGCTGCACCTGGAGAAGGACCAGACAAATAATTATAAATGGAGAAAGGACAATACTTCTAATACTTGCAACAAAGACAAACTACATGGTTATATTGTTCCCTTTGATCAGTAGAAATTTTTTTTTTTTTTTCACAATCCGATGTTTATTACATGATTGCTTATTAATATAATTAATCATTCTTTAATTAATTTATTATTACTATTGTCTATAAGCTTTACACTTATTAAAATGTGTTTTTCTGTGGCAAGAATTCATTTAGAGCAGGACAAATATGGTGTATGAGTAACTGACGCAATAGTTTTATCTTGATAGACTAACCAAAGAAACCTAGAAGCTAAACAAAAACTATTTGTTGTGCTGCAGAGCAGTAGACATACCTTGCGAGCCCAGTCATCAAAGATCTCCTGTGTATTGAGCTTGGCTCTGAAGCTGTCTCCGTCCTGCTTGAGCTTGAGGCCCTCCACGTGGTTCTCCCAGCCCTTCCCCAGGACGTCCTCCACCCTCTTCATGTAGGCGGTGAGCTGCCGGTCGATCTGCTTGGCCCAGATGATGGAGCCGGACACAGGGGGCAGGTCTCGCACGTGGCTCATTTTACAGGCCTGGCTCTGAGGGTACTGCACTTTGAACTTATCATGGAGAGACTCGATGTCATCCTTCACACGCTGGATCAGCTGAGTCTGGTACTCTCGGATGGCTCCTCGGATGTGAGGGCGGACGAAGAGCGCGTTGAAGCGGGAGAAGATGCGGAACATCTCGTTGGCGTTCTTGGCGGTCCCGAGCTGGTCACGCAGCCTGGCTGTGATCCTGGTCTCCACGCGGTCGATACGCTCGTCGTAGCGCTTCATGGCGGCCTCCCATGCCTCCACGCCCTCCTTGGACACATCCAGACCATCCACCTCTTTCACATTCTCGTAGGCCAGGTTCACCTCCTCGATGGCGTTGGCATCGGCTGCATCAAAAAGGACACCGGCCACCTTCATGTCCTGAGGCTCCACCGTCTCTCCAGGCGTGTGCTGGGGAACTGCGGTCACCTGAACACAGATTAAAGACTCAGGTGCTCAGGATACTGCTAAAATAACTACTATGTAATGCTGGATATAATAGTTGTTTCATACCTGTGGGCGGAGCACTCTGACGATGACGGCACGCAGCTGCTCATGCTGCCTCCTGAAGCGCCTCATGTGGTCGAGGCGGTACTGCAGCTTCCTGTGGGCGGGGCTGAGTCTCCACACCATTTTAAGGTTCTCCTCACGCTTCCTCTTCACCAGGTCCCTGAGCAGAACCTGCAGCTTCTCATATTCATCTTCCCAGGTCTGGAACACCTCGAAGCAGGCCACCATCACCTGCACGCGGGAAGGAAAAATAGGGGGAAAAATATGCTCAGTTGGACTTTATTTTGGTTTATTTTTTACATTTTAACAAAACAACAATGTATGTGTGGAAAATTAAAGCAAGCCTTCAAATGAAAAGTGAAAAACCCTCTGCTGGCAAAAGTGAGGAGTAAATCAGGTGACATCTAAAACCTCTCCAGGCATGTAATTGATGAGGAAACGTTATAACATGGAAAAAAGCTCTAAACAGTTGATGTTGCATAATACTCCCTATTTGACTCAGCAAATACATAACAAAAGACATGTCCACTGTCAAAACTTCAAACTTTTCAACAAAATATATGAACTTTCAGCAAGCATGGATAAACTGAAAAAAACAGATTTTACTTTTCCAAGTGATGCACTGTGGTATATTTAGAATAATATGTGTTTTCTAAGGTGAATAGTGTGAGCTGGTGTGAGCCTCACCTTCTCAAACTCCTCGTAGGCCACGTGCATGAGCTTCCTGGTGCCCAACACCTTGAGCAGCTGCGAGCTCAGGTCTCTGGAGATGGCCTCCACCAGGCGCAGTGCCCTCTGGATGGGGTACTTGGTGTTGCGGATCTTCTTGAGGTGGGTGAAGATGGCCATGAGGGCCTGACGGATCTTATCCAGCTCCGAGGCGGACAGCAGGTCATTGAGAGGGAAGTCCTTCATCAGAGGGTTGTAGTCGTTCACTGTCTCCACGGCCTGTTTCAGACCTACACAGCGTGGACACAACAGGGTTAGTCTGACCTGAGGAGGGAACAGTGAATCACAGTGCAAACATGACTGTTTCGACTAACACGAGACACATGGAGAGTTTATATTTAGCCTGAATTAGCATTAATACAAAATATTATTTTATTCAGAAATGAGTTGAGTTGACTCATCAAATGATTATTTCTTTTGTTCTGTTATTACATTTATAACCAAATAAAAGCTGAACTATTGTGACTGAAGAGTTCTGCGATAAGACTAAAGTGTACAATAAAGAAAGTATACAAGTGTATTATTGATGAAAATCTTCTGCCACACTTTTGCCATTTAGATTTAATAATGCCACTGTACTTGTTAACAGTGGCTTTTGGCGCGCGTTCTAGAGTCTGTAAAATCCAGATTATTAGTAACAATTATTAAAGATAAAAAAATACCATGATGTTATTATTTTAATAGTTGACTTGCCACAGTTATTGCAAATAATTGGTGCATCCTACACTCAATCGTCTCCTTAGTTAAATGTAACTATATTCTCTGATAGCTCTTTGCATTTGATGTTTGAAGTCTCACCAGTGTCTGTATCAAAGCTGACGGTAGCGTGGAAACGTTTGCCGTGCTTGAGGATCTCCAGCGTCAGCAGCACCTCCGGGCTCTCCCTCTTCTCCTGGATCCTGGTCAGAGCTCGCTCCAAGTTCAGCCAGAAGCTGATCTCCTGCAGGGCTGTGCCAGAGGCCGGGTCACGGTCCAGCTTGGTCACCTGTACACACACACACAACACAGTTCAGAACACTTCAGTAACAACTTATTTATAACACATTTTCACAAGTTGTTCTTGATTTTATTGGAAAGTATCTCAGCTTGACTGTGTCCAAGTTTAAAGGGGTAAAAATGTCAGTTTCTTTATGAAACTGCAAGTTCAGGTGCAACATATTACACATTTTTAATCATTGTTTTTACTTCAACGTAAAAAAAAAAAATACTACTGCTGATGATAAGCAGTGACCACAACTGAAAATATATTGAATTATAGTTAAAGCAATACAAATATTTTTGCCATACATCTACAATGTGTATCCTGCTAGTCTGTGTCTCTAAATTATGTTGTATGTTCTCAGAAAAGGGAATTAATTTCAACATTCTTTAGGAAAATCTAAAATGGTAATGTTTTTTTCTTTTCTTGTTTTTCACAAAATAATGTAAATATACACAGTTAGTAGGGCTATTAGAGTGAAACATTTGTGCTGACCTTCTGGATCTCTCTAATCCAGCGGTTGACTCCAGACTGCAGCTGGTTGAGGAAAGTGGGGTCCTCCACCTTGTCTCCAAAGTCGGACACTTTGGGCTTCTCTGCGCGCTCGTAGCACTGTTTAGCGATGTTGGCGATGATGGGGTTAATGACCAGGCTGATCTCTGGGATCTCGATGTTCTGCTGCAGGTGGAGCAGGCCCATCTCCAGCTCCGCAATCTTCTTCTCCACAGAGGGAGCCATCTTGTCCCCATCTCTGAGCAGAACAGACAAGCAGAGATCAGACCCGTTCTAGTTCGCCTTTGTACAGAATGTGCTATTTCAGTCATCGAAATATCTTACACGCAACGGTTTTATTATGCACAAGCTGTAGAATACAATAACACTCTTTCAGAAACTAGCAGGTGATGGACCGTCAGGCAGAAGGTTATGTACTGTACTTTTATTTTATTTCATACATAAAACAAATGTGTGTTACCTGTCGGCCTTTCCAGACTCGCGGATGTAGGACTTGAAGAAGGGAGCGACGGCATTGCTGATGAAGGAGTGCAGGGTCTCATAGGGAGAGTCCTCACTCAGGGTCAGTACTCTCACCTGGGTGGAGATGGGTTTGTCTGCATCCACCACAGCCGTACGTTTGATCAGGGCCAAGCTAAGGGAGACATGGAGAGATTTTAACCACTGGAAGCAAGGCAGTGCAAAAACTACAGTAGGAAGTGTTAAAGGGGACATCATATGTAAAAACAAACTTTTCTGACCTTTTAACCATGTTCTAACTGTATTATATCTGACCATAAAGAGTAAGAAACCTTTGTCAGAACAAAATATAGAAGCAGAATCCAGAGCCACACGTCTTACAGTACTTATAAAGTCTAGTACTGTCATTGGCTGGCCATGTAATCATAGTCCAACAGGGTTCATTTGATCTTCTGAACATTTTTTTCTAATATTTTTTTCAGACCAAAGTTTATTATTATCACAGTGAAAAAAACATGAATAAAAATCTTCAGTTTTGAACAGTACATGTATAAGATTCTAGCAAAAGTGCAGGGCTCAGTTGGTTCAATGAGAATCAATTTGGATTTCTGTAGTTACAACTACTTAAAAGGACAAATTAATTATCTTCTCTTCAGTCAGGTTTTATTTAATTGTAAACAGTCTTATGTCATGTTGTATGTTTTGCATTGTTTGTTGGAAGGAAGTGACATTTGGCTCACAGTTGACTGTTGGATTATTGTTTTACTCTCAAACTAGTTTGAGGATATTTTACTTTATGAAACAAAATTGTGTTTAAGTTAAATACCTGTTCGATTTGATTCCATAGTGGATGTCGATGCTGACGACGTAGTTGATGCTCTCCCTCTCCTCCTCTCCTTCGTCTCCCACATCCTCTGTGGAAAAAAAACAAGGTATCACATTTTAATGCACTCTCCTCAACAGCCTTATAATCACAGGTGTTTGAAACATTTTATCTGTAGCAGATCTGCATTCTGTGCTGATCTAGTCACACTGCACCACACCCATTTAAGACAGCATAAGTCACTGTTCATACAGCAGACATCGCTGGATCTATTGTGCCATGTCTTGGTGTACTATTCTGGGGGTGCTCTGCTCTTGGGGGGTGCTCTGCTCTTGGGGGTGCTCTGCTCTTGGGGGGTGCTCTGCTCTTGGGGGGTGCTCTGCCCTTGTATACTGTTGTGCTATTTTAGAATCCAAACACAAGACCAGAGACACTGAAGCATCATGTGCTGATCCAGATCGAGTAAAACAACACCGCGTCCCGTTGCTGTGGGATTATGTGACCCGAGGGAGCGCAGGAGAATGGGGCTATTGAAGCAGGGCAGCCCGCATGACTCAGTGGATAAAGGTGTTTATTCAGGGTTACAGAGCCACAACAGGAGCCGGGTGGAGCATACACAGACAGATCCACGGCTCTCCTGTGGACATAACGCTGTAAAAGGCCGCGGGCGTGGCGCAGTGCGTCAGCACATTTTATAAAGAATAAAATTATAACTCAGCCATGGTCACGTTTGTAACATTATCATGGCTGACATCATGCTCCAGTGGGTTAATAATAAGCCATCACCGGTCCAGTGCATAAGCTTTATGTGGGTCAGGGCGTTTATAAAGACGCTGCAGCGAGAACAAAACAGGACAGACCTTTGAGACAGCTCCTCTCCACCAGGATGGTGTGGATCTGTGGGTCTGAGAGGAACTTTCTCATCTGCTCCACGGAGCTCTTCTCCTCCAGGGCGGACTCCAGGGAGGACGGAGCCTCGCCGCCATCTTCCAGCAGCAGCGGGACCAGTTTTCGGATGTGCTTCTGCAGGACCGAGATGTCCGCCACGGTCTGCGCCGTGGACACCTCCATGGTCCCGCCGGAGTTCTCCTCCGTCCCTCCGCCGTCAGACATGTTGCACAGGTCCCGGACACCGCAGGGTTTGAGGTTCTAATCACAGAACAATGAAGCCGAGGCTGTGCTGTCTCTGAGCTCAGAGACAGACTGCCGCTGTCACAGCGCCGCAAAGGAACACGCTCGTTTATGCGCGCAAAGATTTCTGGGATGTGTAGTTCTAAAAGCCACAACAATAATCCGTTCAATTGTTTAAAAAACTACAATACCCAAAATGCATTTCGGTCAATCTTTTTCTCCACTGCTGCATGTGTGCAGCCAGGGGGAGGAAGGGAGTGTCAACCATAGATAAAGAATTGTCTATATCTATGAATGTCTTTTAATATACAATGTAATACAATATAAACACAAAGCAGAGATTCAAGTCCATACCACAGATGAAAAAAACAATAGAAACATAAAAATAAAGTAAATCAATCCAAATTGAATGACAGATAATACTTAAGCTACTTAGTTTTGTAAAGCATCAGAGATTGATTTGGGGGAGGGGGAGGTCATCTAACTATGTATAATGTAATACACGTTAAATTTTACAAACAAAACAACAATTATGAAACACTGCGTAATAGAAAATAACCACTTATATATATATATATATATATATATATATATATATATATATATATATATATATATATATATATATATATATATATATATTTTTTTTTTTTTTTAATCTAGGTCAGGTTAAGGAGTTTTAGGGGATTCATAGACAGAATTTCAGGGAATATCAGAAAGTGCAAATCAAGCTTTTACGTCTATAGGCCCGTAACATACTGACTTGTAAAAGCTGAAAGAGCCTCTAGTGTGTGTAGTTGGGTTTATTAGATTCTGGCTCCCTCTGGTGGCGAGTCTGTTTTATGCATGACCAGTAGTGAAGTGGGTCCATTTGCAAACTCATGCGCTAAGATTTTAGTCCCATGCTCAGGACCCTCACTGCAGAACGAAACACAGCAGCAATAATACATGTTGAATTGAGTTTGTTGTGTCTTGGTTTGGTGTGTTTTCAATCTCAGTAACTCGGCTCTGACAAACCCCCCACTGCACTAAAAACTGGATGGATCTAGGAAGAAGACTATAAAGACATAATGTACTTTCCACACTCTTTTATTGAATAAATAGAGAATAAAACGACACAATCATTTAATAACATTGGATATCCCTGAGCTATACTCATGTACATCATTTACACACCGATGATCACACCTCCTGTCATGGCTGTATCCTAAAAATACATAAACTCTATAAAAAGTCTATGATCTTATTATGGCACAAAGAGAGGTACTGTAGATCCTCTGAAAGAACCTGCAAAAATATTCACCTGATAACCTATTCAGCAAACAAGATTTATGAAACAGTATTCACAAACAAAATAGCTTTAAACCTAAAAACGTCAGAGATTTCTTTATCAAGTTTTCAGTAATTACAAAGAGTTCAAAATTATTTCAAATTTTTATCTTCATTTTGACAACAATTATTTGCCTTTATACTTGGTTCCAAAATATTGTCCAACCCCAAGTGGTGAGAATGACCATCTAAAAGAGTTCAAATTTTCTCAAAACATGATTTAAAGTGCCTATGACTGGTTAGACTTAGACTTAATAATTTTACTAAAATATAGTAACGTCATATTTAAATTTTAAGCACAAACTTTGACCTTTCTTTCCCCCAGTTTGACCAATTTTATTACCTGACCAGCCAGAACCACACACTGGGACAAAACTTTACAAAGACGAGTGGATCTGGTGTCCCTGACTGTTTTTTTGTCAGTTTTTTTGTCAAAAAAAAAAAAAAACAACATAGAGGCCTGAGAAACAGCATGGATTTTCTTAGAATCAACAATCAAAGCACCAAACTTTTACTTATCTCAGTTAAAGGAGGTGATATTTTTTGTTCTGAACGATACAAGAATTTTCAAGAGGAGAAGTCTTTTGCATTTGAGAGACACAAAAATTTGCAAATGAGCAGCTGTGATTGGAGCGTTTCAAGTTTGGATGAAGGTTTTTCACACTCTATGGGCCAGTTTCAATCGCTTCTGGATTTAAACAGGTTGTAGACAAGACAGGCTGCTCAGGAAACCAGTTTTATCTTAAAATCTTTACTTCTTGGCTGGAAATTATATATAAATTGTGCTTAACTTTGGGATAGGCTGCTCTTAATGTAATGTCATCAATACGTTTCACCATATTTTCAGCTTTTCCTCACATTGTTTCTTCACTAGGGAAAGTCTTTACAATTATTTATAGTACATATTATCTCACCGAATTCAGCCAAAATTAGAGAACGTTAAAAAACCTGTCATATGCACTTAATCATTCTGAATTCAGCTAAAATCCATATTTACTTTCCTACGGCAATAACCTGTGTTTTATCGAAATCGTACGTAAACCTCATATATCGACTAATTATTTTCAAGCTGATATTAAAGGTGCTTTGGGTAAGGTGGAATTCTGTTGGAAAGTCCGTCCCCTGCTCGTTTTTATGGAGATGTCATTGCTCTGTCTGAAATGCTCCAAGGTATGGCATTTAACACCTCTAACTAACATTTATTCAATTACAGGTGGTTTTAAAGCTCAAAAATACCAAGAAAAGCATTCAGTGGGGTCGTCTCTCCACAGATCTGACCTGTAACTTGGTCCGGTTCGGTCTCCACGAAGATAGAAAGGTTTAATGCCATACTGTGAAACATTCCAGACAAAGTAATAACATCTTGCCATTAATAATAATCACCTTTAAAAGTCTGAATCCATTAAAATAAAATATTATACTATGGCTGTAATCCAGAAGTGCAGTGGTGGTTTAAAATCCTAGTCTTCTTCGGGGAACTTGAACTTGGCGTAGACGATGAGCATGACCAGGGACATGACGATGCAGAGGGAGCCGATCACCAGGTACGCGATGCCCAGGAACTCATTTTTGCCGCCCATCCAGGAGACGTTACTGAACACCACCTTCTTCCTCCCGTCGAAGTTCAGGACCGGGTAGTCTGGGGACAGGGTTAAGGGCTCCAACACACAGAGCTGCACACCAATAAACTGACCATAATCTGATTTCTAGAGTGACCGGGTTATTGTGATGCTCCCTCTCTCTCTGCTCTCTGCAAAAAATCACTCATCCTTCAGAGCGCTGTCACAACACAATCCGCATGAATCCTGCTAATGAAACTACTGCACATCTCATCAGGTTTGTTCTTTTGATTTGTACAATTGTGTATATTTACCCAGAATTATTCTGTTGGAGCATGGGTGAAGTAGCATTGGACAGAATTTTACAGATAAACATATGAAGAGTTTGAATAGGGCCCAGGAAAGATCGCTAGATTACTCATGCATGGATGACATCTAAAACCTCTTCAGGCCTGTTTTGATGAGGGAATAACTTTAGAACATGGTATATTATATTATATACCTTTTTAAGATTGTTCTGCAGTTAATTTGAAATTTTTGAAAAAATGTGGAAAGTGTTATTCTCAAACACACTGTATTTCAAAATACAGCTTCTCTAAACTCCATTAAGTAAGTAAGTTTTTATTTATATAGCGCTTTTCACAGACTACTATTGTAGCCACAGCTGCCCTGAGCGCAAGCACGGCTGCCAGTCAGCGCCATCGGTCCCTTCGACCACCACCTTCCCTCACGCACTCACCCCTTTCATAGAAATGGGGTGAAGTGCCTTACATAAGGACACAACAACAGCGTTTGTGACTGGCGCCCCCCTGTGGACCTGGAATTCCCAGTGGTCTCCCATCCAAGTACTGACCAGGTCCAGCCTTGCTTGGCCTCTGAGATCTGACAAGATCAGGCTTTGGCAAGCGAATATGGCCACTGATTAAAATGAACTCTATGTAAGATTATGATTTTAAATTCCATAAACACGACCCATCTGTGACCAGATACAAGGTAAATATGTTCAAATCAAATACAGCTTTTAAAAATAACAGTTGTAAGACAAAAGGTTGTTTATGTTATAATTTGGTGTTTTGGTTCAAGCCGATTCAGTCAGCAGTACAATGAGCCTCACATGAATTTAGAGTATGTTTAAACCTAAAATGCCTCTCTGATCTGAATGCTCACCAGTTAAACTCCAGCCCCTGCAGTCAAAGATGAATCAGTGCTAGTGCAGCCTCTGCAGCTCGGGAGGGAATTCTGGAGGTTCTAAGCTTTCACATGAGCCATGATCTGCCCATATACTGAGAATGAAACAAACTTGGATGTGTCTCTATCTGCAGGTTAAGGCTCTGGAGACATCTAATACAGGAGTCTAATACAGGAGCCTCCAGACTCTAGCTCGGGAGGTACCAGGAGCTCTCCTCCTCCTTCCTAGTAGCTCACCAAGGGATTTCTGAATTACACCTATTGTCCTGAATAAGTAAAATCTGATTAATTAAATTCCTATTACCACTGTACATGTGTTATTTTGATGCGTAACTTTGTACACCAATAAATGGATAATGGATTATGTTTTATCGGCGTCTAACTGTACCTCATTTATGGCTCGCTGTGGCAAATATACTCCATTTCTTGTGACCGCTAAAACTAGTAGCTCCTCTGGCATTTTCATTACATAAAGGTAGCTCACCAGGGGAAAAAAGTTGTTCTAATACCTTTTTTTTAAACCGTAAGAGCACACGCTACATACAGTTCCTTTGACTGGCACATGTCACTGTGTGTTTCTGTTTTTAAACTTGTGTGCCTATAAAAACACAGCCAAAAATCTGACCTAATTGCTGGGCTTACTTGTACCATGTAATAAAGATGGTAACAAATGTTTTTCATATCTCATTTCACTATGAAGGCATCACGTGGATTAGGATTTGACTATCTTATTTACTTACAAAGCAGAGGATTTGCCTGCTTCCTCAGGGAACGAATGCCTCAAACATGGGAGCTACTGTGTTTGTGATGGTTGATATGAAACTCTGCTTTCAAAACTATGCAGCCAACTAAAAAAATGTAGTATTCATTAACACTGTTGGGTAAGTTACTTCAAAACTGTAATGTGTTATTTATTACCTGTTCCTGTCATCTCAAAGTAATTTGTTACATTACAATATTACTTTGTTTAAAATGTCAGACGTTACACAACTATTGCTCCCAACAAAATAACTGTGGGAAGATGCTGAACTTCTGCGCCATATATGGATTGAACCAGGACTAAACCAGGACTAAACCAGAACTGGACCAGAACTGAAACAGAACTGAACTGAGGACTGAACCACAACTAAACCAGGACTGAACCAAGGACTGAACCAGAACTAAACCAGAACTGAAACAGAACTGAACCAGGACTAAACCAGGATTAAACCGGGTCTGAACCAAGGGCTGAACTAGAACTCAAGCAGGACTAAACCAGAACTGAAACAGAACTGAACCAGGACTAAACCAGGACTAAACCAAGTCTGAACCAAAATTGAACCAGGAGGACTAAACCAGGACTGAACCGAGAACTGAACCAGGACTGAACCAGGGCTAAACCAGGATTAAAACAGGACTAAAACAGGACTAAACCAGGTCTGAACCAAGGACTGAACCAGGACTTGGAATCTAGGACCACTCCTGAGAGAACTCTGAGCCCGTGGAGCAGGGCATCCACTAAGTGCGATTGGGCATCAGCTGGACTTAGCCCGTGGGGGTAGAATTTTGCGTCAGTTCCTTCACCCGATGGTCTACTTGGGCGCACCTTCGGGCCCATCCCGACTTTCAGAACTGTAACGATGGTGCACTGCCAATATCGCGGTGATTTTAGCGAATTTGTGTGAAGAAAAAAACGAAAAACCCACCACTTCAGTCCTGGTTAAAAATGCATTGTACCACGTGTTACTGACATTTGTACCGAGTAAAATATTAAAATTTTTCCCTGTAATGCCACATTACAGCATTACAGCAAAAAGCAAAGCATTGCATTGCATTACTTTCATAACACGTTACTCCCAACACTGTCCATAAACAAATCCTGACCCTCTCTTCTGCTCCTCTGACCCTCTCCTTCTTTCTTCTAACATAAATAAACGGCTGTAGAAGGATACTGTAGTTGATCTCCAGAGTGTAGTTTCCCGCGGGCAGCCCCTCAGCGTAGTCCCCCTCTGTGATTCTCCGGTACAGCTTCCTGAAGTTGGGCAGGGCAGCGCGTCTCATCCACACAAGGAAGTCTTGGTTGATGAAGCCGTTGTTGGAAGGCTCTGCGGTGTCCAGCTCGTACGCGGGCTTGGGCCAGAACGGGGGCTTCACAGTACCTGCAACAGAGCAATACACGTGTCAACACAACCAGGCCCCGCAGGAGTTACAACAGGGCTACAGGCCTTTAGTCAATTAATCCATTACTTGGCAAAGGGTGTCTAATTACTGTAATTTAATCATAAGTATTTTTATGTGACAGCAGCAAAAAGGAGAATGTATAGAGTTGGTGAAAAATGTTGTATTTTTTGGTATTCTAAGTAAAAGGTATGTGTAAAAGGTCCCCTCTATTCTCTTAAGGTCCGTTTATACTGGAGTGTCCAGTCTAGATGGACGTGCATCTAGGGCATCGTTATCAGAAGTTGAAAATGCAGAACTTCTGGCATCGGACACACCACATCAACCAATCAGGGACGACTATCCAGTGATGTAGAGACATCATTATCTGAAAGAAGGAGAAGAAAGAGAAAGACCCAAGAACCGGGGCCAGGAGCTACAAACATTAGTGGAGTATGAATATATAAACGCCGCATCCACCAAGCCGATCGCCTCAGCTGATGGTTTTATGTAATAAATACACTAAAGTCACTCTCTCAGCCTGGTCCATTGTTCTGGGAAAAGACCAGGAAATGACACTCATTTCCAGGGTAATGGACACCCTGGACGCTCCAGTTTAAACAGAAATTTAAAGCAATTACTTTCCATGGGCACATCAGAGTTAGATTTTGCTCCTTTTCTTTAAGAATTTATGAAGAATTTTATTGTATTATATATTCATAGTTTCAACAAATTGTATCTTCAAATCATATACTTTCAGAGAAGTTGTTCTATAATGCCTATTTAAGAAATATAATAATTTTATATACAAATAGAACTTGCATCATGTACCAGGTGACTTCATGACTGTATAACGAAGTGGACTAAGTGAGCGTGATGTGACCCAAAGTGTTCAGCTCCAGTCATGAAGCTCACGTTGCATTTACAGGGGAGAAATTTGGAATAGAAATGTATTAACAAACAACATAGCGAAATAAAACTCCCAGGAAGTTAATCAGCAGGGAGTCAATCAGCAGCAGTTACAAACAGACAATATTCCAATTTAAGTCAATGGAAGTCAGGGTCAGAATGAGCCAGAAGAGCCTTGGAACACACCTTGGTCCAAACACAGTGGCATTTTAACCCCACTGTGGTAATAAATGCTGTTAATATTACAACCTGTTTCAGTGCCACAGTTTTTTGACTTTTCTGATAATACAAGTGTAGATCTACTTAGAATCATACTGGGATTACTTGAGTTGAAAGCAATCCTGAAAAGCGCTGCAGTTGTTCTGAAGAGGTAATCAATATACCGTCCTTGTCTCTTTTTTTTTTTTTGCTCTATTCTATTGCTGCATATTGTATAAATGAAACAATTAAAAGTCACAGCAAGTGGATCAAAAATAAAATGAACAGAATAATCTAGACTAGAGTAATCTACCAAACAACAGTATAAAGTGAGATTTCTGTACTTTTGTGGTTAATTGTGTGCTCCTTTCATGTTTGCGGAGATAATTCCTCTACAAAAGACATTTACAGACACATTTTAACACAGTCCTGATGTACTTTTCAAATATCCTCCGAGTGCTGCGATCGATTAAAAGCAAACTAAACATGGAGAGTAACCCTGTGTTGATCAGAAGTGCAGTCAGTGGCGTGCGTTACCATTGAAGGCGTCCTTGAGCGGGGTCACGGAGGGGTTCCTGTACTTGACGTTGTAGTCCGTCCACCAGGCGATCCCTTTGCCGTCCAGAGGTACCACCTTCTTCTGCCCGTTCACCAGCTGATAGAGCGCAAATGTATCTGAGCACACGGAACATATGTAAGACACACGTGGAGTCCAGACAAGAACATGACCTTTACATGGGCCACAGCTCGTTTCTCTCTCCTCGCGTCCTTCTCCTCGATTCTGCAGGAAATGGGTGAGAAAGTCCCACAGTCTCACCCCCAGGGGAGACACAGAGAGGAGAGAGGATCTAAACTCCTCACTGAGACCAATAAAGTTTGATTATTTTCTCTGATGTCTCCTCCTGAAGCCTCCCTCAGGTTTACTCCTTCATTCTGTGGTTTTCTTTGGGTCACACATTTGATTGACAGCTGAAAAATGAAGAATTGAGGAGAAGGAAGCGCGGAAAGACAGTTGAGCTGCGGCCACGATCATCACATGTTCTTCGCGTGTTCTCACCGTTGAACATGCTGTTTGGTAATGAGCCACAGGGCACAATGGGTTTGTCGTTAGCATCGTATTGGTACGGAGAACAGCTTGAATCTGGACTCTGTTGACAGAAAAACAAAAATATATTTGGATACGAACAAACAAAAGAGGGCTGCAATACAATCAATGTCAATCGAATTTGACTTTGATTGGGTCTGCATTCGTTCAGGAAATATAACATTCTCTGTAGGGCTGTCAAAAATATCAAAAATCAGATACAAATCGATTCTCATTTGAGCAGGTACCGTATTTAATATGAGACTGGGCCCCGGACTGATGTATTCAGTATTCCCTGGAGTTGTGATGCTAACTTAAAGCACTGCTCTGTTTAAAGCTCTCCGTCAGCTGTATTTTAACACAATCTGACCATAAAGAACTCATTTAGCTGGAACTCCAACAGGCGAGCTGATTTGTGCTGTTTACAATCACATCTAGCATTAGACATTTTTTGTTGTTTTTTTTTGTTAGTCACTCTCACCTTTTTGTTGAAAATCACACAAAAAACCAACACCTAAACAGACCCAGGGACGCTCGTATAGATTACCAGCTCCTGAAAAAGTTTTTTTAAAATGTGTGCATTGTGTCCCCATGGTAACTGCTGAACATTCTACCATAGGCATTCATGTAGCGCAGTATCAAATGAGCACCTTTAACCCCTCAGTCCTACTTGATTGTATAGTACGATTACCGTAAAGTAGGCCACATCTCCAGACAGCTGATAGGCGTCTTTGGATGCTCCGTAGGTCCTCTGGTTCTGGAAGTAGTTGGACAGGGCGTAATAAAAGAAGACCGGGCCCTGTGGAGACAAACACGCATAGTACTGCATAACTAGATTATTTTCCTCTTCATCCTTAGTTTACTCAGTTGTATTTGGCTTGATTCATTCTTGGTTGCGGTAATTGTATGTTGTCCTAAAAAGAGATGGGGTTGGCCTTTTGTTGTGATGATGTTTACTTTAGAGCAGGAGTATCCAAACTACGGCCCAGGGACCAAATGTGGCCCTCAGATCGATGTTTGTTGGCTTTTTTGTAGGCCTTTAGTTTGGTATTCTGTAAAATAATAAATCATTTCTGGGAGCCTTCTATCATGTTATGACGTTGTTCCCTCATCAAAAACATGCCTAAAGAGTTGTTAGATGTAGGCATATAACAATAACCGAAATATCGTGATATCGTATTGACAAAAGTCTCACAATAATATTGTGGACTATCACAGTATATTGAATCACAAGTTCCTTTGCTTAAATGCATTTTTAAATAGTAGCAACAGTTTATAATCATAGGGAACTACATATCCCATGATTCATTTCAGTGCAGACAACATGAAGAAATATGTTTTTTATTTGAATTCTTGGGATTATGATGGAAATAATTCACACCAAATTCTTGTCAAGGTATTTTAAAAGCAGAAAAGTGTCCCATCTACAATTATATCTACCTCTCCAAAATATTGTGATAAATATTGTAGTGTGAGATTTGGACATCGTTACATCACTAGTTAGATGTCATGCATGCATGTTTGAGTAATTTAATGTTCTCTCCCAGGCCCTATTTGTACCCTCCTTATGGTCAGAGCATCAAAATTGAAAGTTTATATGTTGTTTTTGGCAAATATAGCCTTTTCAAAATATCAAACATAACATGGTGACCTCAGTATGTGATGTGTTAGCTGTTAATACCCCATACCTCAAAGAGCTTGTCCAGGCTGAAGTTCAGGGTGCACTTGCAGTTCTTCTGGGTGATGGGGTCTGAGCAGGAGAAGCAGGGCGAGTTCTGCTCCACCCCGGTGTAGTCCAGCTGACGTGGAAACAACACATTAAATATTAACACTACGCTGTACTGTCTGCCCGCACCTCACACCTCACGGCTCACACTTCACACTTCACGCTTCATGCTTCACAGCTCACAGCTCACAGCTCGGACAATAGCAGCACAATGGGAGTATCTTTTACAGGGGCCAGGGTTGACACCAGACTCTCAGTTAAAATGCGCTGATACACAATTCAGGGAGGTGTGGGGAAACGTAACCCAATATTAGGTTTGTACAGTTTACAGCAAATCTAATCTAACGCTTTTCATTTACAATAATAAATAAAAAGGGCCTGTAAATATTTGCCAAAAATATTATGCATTTCCCATTTAACAGAATATATTGTGATCAAATGTCATTTTAAAGTCACAGTATGTAAATTTTATGCCAAACCCCCCCCCCCAAAAAAAAACAGACTAGCATGTTTTTCATTTTGGGTGCGTTTATTGCACTGAAAAACTTGCATCTTCGCAAAACTGACTTATTTGCCTGAAGAAGGTCCTGCTTGTTTCTATGGAAATGTTGTTCCTTTGGTTATAATATTCTAGCCAGGCTGGCGCCACCTAGTGCCTCCGCACAATTTCATTTCTCTCCATCAACTGGGTCAGGAATCAAAATACACTAGACCAGGGGTCTCAGACTCGCGGCCCGGGGGCCAACTGCGGCCCGCGGAAGGATTTTTTGCGGCCCTCCACTTGATTCCAAAGAATAATGTCAGTGCGGCCCGCGGTAGATGTACGCACAATCCCACCCCCCTACCGCGGGCCGCACTGACAGATGAAGCTGCAATCGGTGCCCATGCAGATTCACAACAGATTATTAACGCAGTTTACATCCCAAAACTCAATTTACAGCAGTTGTGAAGCAACGAGTCTAAGTGGATCTGTTAATAGAAGTACACGTGCACATACGGCGTCACCGAAGAACCAAAACAAACCACACATGGTGGTACGCGTGTGCGCACTTCACTTTACGCTCCCACAACCACAGCATCAGAGCAGAGGAGGCGCTGACAGAATTCCCCTGTTCATAAGTATGGGACCTTTATTGGAGGGGTTAATAAGAAATAAAAAAACTTTGACAGTCTGTTTACCTGTTCAACCCTCGGTGCGTAACTTGCTGGCAACTCGATGACCAAGCTCCACCTGTGCGTCGCCGAAATCCACGCGCACTCAGCGGCAAACACAGCTGTCCCATCAATATGCAAGCACCACAAAACTGCACTGATCTATTCCAGAGGCTTGGCGACATGTTAGCAAAAAGTACGAGGCAAAAACAAGCGTCTTCCATCCGTGTTTGACATACGAGAAGCAGATACACTCCAGTGTGGCGCTTTCACACCGGCAAACGAACCAAAACTGGTCCGATTAACGAGCCTCTGTATCCCGGTAGAACAGCGATATCTCCAGTAACCAATACTGATGTTCCCTGTTAATACCGCGGGCCGTCCTCATCTCAATTATCACCATGAACTCATAAAACAGCAACGTAGAACTTTCTACAAACTCACCGCATCAGTTCTGAGTTCGGGTAACAGCAGAAGCCAACAGCGTTCAGCGTAGCGCGCGGCTCCTCAGGACGGCGCTGGAGTCTGGTCCTTGGTCTTCTGTCGTCCTACAAGCGCGTTGGTCAGATGGTCCGGAGGCTCTGTCCTCCATGTGCTGGTTCCAGACGGTGGCGAACAAGACCAGTGCGCAATGACTGGGTCTGAGCGGGTATGTTCCGCCGTCTGCGCGCTGGTTCAGTGTTCCGTGCGGGGAAAGTGAGAATGCGCTGTGGACTATACCTACAGGTCTGTGCTGCTCCTGTCCTCCGCGCTCAAGAACCGCGGCTGGTTCGAGGTGGTGCAAAGCATCCGGACAGAACGTGAATCCAGTTTAGTTGGTGTCCGCATTTGGTTCTTCCCGGGAAAAGCGCTTTTCACTCCCCGCTCCACGTCATCTGAGCCCGGACAGAACCGGAGCTGCTCCCGCTGGTTCGGGACTCCGGTTTGGATCTAGTCCGACTGTATTTCTCACACTAGGCTAAAAGCAGGACATTTTTAAAGGTGAATCAGTTGAATGGGCGATTGCCTATTGCCATAAAATTATTTGATTAATTAAAGCCTAAAATAATAAATGCTAGTTCTTACATGACCACGGGGAACACCGGGACCTTTCTGTACGTGCAGGTCCTGAACAGAAGTACACCCCCCCATTTTTGACTCACTCTGGAGCCACACGTTCGCACGTTCTTGCTCTGATCTTCGTGTGTTACATTCTCTGTATTGGCCATTGTTGGTAAAATATTTCGAAAATGAATCGCGGCTGCGTCTGGACAACAATCTGTTACTGCGCTGGAGTCGTACAGCGCGTCATTACAGGCAGGAGACGCGTTTCTCCCATGATGCATCTAGAATAGTTCGTTTGGACCTGCTGTCTGTGGTTTGGACCCGGGTTCGCGTTCACACCAGAAGAACCGCACCAAAGTTGGTCATTTGGTGCGGATTCAAGCGAACCGAGACCACCTCTTTTTTGAGGTCTCGGTCCACTTGAGTTGGTCCGGGTCAGAGTCCGATTGACGCTTTCACACCAACGCAAACGACCTGAGCTAACCACTTCTGGTTCGAATGGATCGTTTGGTGCGCACCAAATACTGTGGGTGTGAAAGCACCTAATACAGGTCAAGGCTCACTGATGAGCATCTTCAATCTATCCTGAGGATCTGCTTCCTCCTGCAAACCAAATATCTCTCAGCTGTACAAGATGAAGTGTAGCCAGGTTTCAACCAGCAAGGAGTAGGCAAAAGAAGAAGAGTAGACGCATTAGTTTAAACTTACGTTCCGAATACATTTTCATGTTCTGAACTGTTATTAAAGATTAAGAAAGTGTGTTGCGTGTTCTTTCTCTCTCCTCTTTTCCCGTGCAACCGCTATTTATCGAATACTCAATGCGGCCCAGCCTCACTCAGACTTTATCTAATGTGGCCCCCAGGTAATTTGAGTTTGAGACCCCTGCACTAGACAATTCGCAAAAACCCCGGAAGTGTGAGTTCGGGCACCAGCCAATCAACGAAGAGTCATATATTCAGTGTTGTCAATGATTCCCAAGATCGAGGATTTAAAGCCGGAACAAAGAGAATGTTTGGTGAATTTTATCAAGTGGAAAGACGTTATTGTCCTTCTTCCTACAGGATTTGGGAAAAGCTCCATTGGCGGCATATTACATATGTCACGACCAAATAGCAGTGATTGCTTAAATGATCAAAAGTACCCGCCTACTGTCGAGTGAACGAAATTCAACGCTGTGAGGTGAGACGGTTTCTACGAAGTGAAACCAGCTGATGAATCAGGCTAATAATACTCCACACAGTATGAAATAAAACCGTTTTGAACTACAGATTTAACTTTTTGTTTCCATGAAATGATGCAGGTGATGGTAACCGGTTACCACATTTTGCATTTTAATGAGACTCCATGCACATGCCCATGCAATTTTATTATTCTACTATGAACCAATTCATTTTTACGTGGCTCTGAGCAAATGGGTCCAAATACTGGGACCCCATGGAAACCTGCAGACATTAAAATAATTGCAGCTGGCTGTAGTGTCTGCGGGGGTGCGCCCTGCGAACACTTGGGTTTGTTTGTGTAATGCGTCACCCTTCGTTTTACTATTTACACTAAAGTGCACTGTTAAGGGCCTGTTTCAAATGGCCTACACACTCAAAGAATATAAGGCACGTAGAAGCTTTTAGTGGAGGTGGGACTAAAGCACCTGGATCAAGGAACGAGGAGCACCTGACACGGCGTGTATGTGCTCTGGATGTCTCCGTCCAGGTGAGGAGCTTTGTTTTTACACCGTATTCGTGTGTATGATTCGTAACCTGTCTCATTCACGCTGGAGCATCGCTTGTGTAGTTTCAACGAGTAGGTATAAAACTATCCATAACGTGTCTGCCCTCTGCGCTTAGGACACCATGTGCACCTTTTTCTCGTCCCTCGCTGTTTTCATTTGGCGATAATTGCATAAGGACTAAAGTGATCCTCTTTGTGCAGGTAACACATGTTAATACAAAATTTAACACTTAACTGTGGGTTCATCACTGTGGCACAAACCCATGCCTAACTTGGGACATCCATTAAATTCAAGTTAGTCACATTTAAAATTTTAGCAGGAAAACGGGTGCAGAGAAGGTTGCGCGGAGATTCAGTGCGAATGAACTAGCTACAACACGCAGCAGCAAGTGGACTCTTTCTTTGCATTGAAAATTACGTTTTCAGACATAGGATATCGCTTTCGTGTCCTGAAAAACCTTTGTGTAGCTCTTGGAAATAAAGTACGTTTTCATAATAAGCAGAAGTTTCCTGTCCAGGAGTACTTTGGCGACCAATGCGTCAGTCTTTAGACCCTGCGTCTGCTTCAGTTGCGCCATCGCTGGAATGAATCTTCAAGAATCACCTTAGTTTGGCTTCGCTGCTTTTCCCCTTGTCTTCTTCTTTCAGTGACCTCAAAAACAGACTTTCTTTTGCGGCTAACTGCTCCTGGATTCTTGTCGCCATTGCAACAAACTTTGTGCGAACTGCGAGGAAGATATAGGTCAAAAAAAGCCGCTAAGAACTGTTGCGTTGGTGGAGTAAACAGCGTCTGTGCGTCTGTGGACTGCGTGACAGGCGTACGTAAACCACGTACCGGCGGCGCGCAGGCAAGTCAGTTACACTAGAAACGTAGGGAGATTGATTGACAGCCTGTCAGCTCACAGATAACGAGGCAGTGTCGTTATCTATTGGCAAATGTTTAGCCCCACCACGAGTTGATGAATTTTTATTCTCTTTTTTTTGGTCATCATAATTACAAGGCTACTGCATCTCTATAATGCTATCATTGACAATTTGAAACAAAAAAAAATCCTCCATACAACCTTTAATACTTCAGGAGCCTTTACATTTTTATACTTACGTTAATAATTCTTGTCACTACTATCACTTCCACTTGATTTTTAATACTTAAGTACACCTCTGTCAACTTCCATTCAAGAACATAATATAGGCCAATCAAAAAATAACCGTTTGCAACCATGAATCATACGTTTCAATGCCGATTTCATAATATCTGTTAAGTAATGTACAGTGTAGATAAGCGTATTTAGTATTTCACAGTGACATTTTCATCCAAACGTGTCTAGAATCGCAACCAAAAGCACATCATTTCAGTCATGATATCCATAACATAGCTCCCATACCTCCATGACCTGCAGGCCCCTGGAGGTGACGAACAGAGCCACCCCGATGCCGATGAAGATGAGGCCGACGATGAAGAAGAGGGGGATGACGATGCCCGCTGAGAGGATGGGCTGCCACGCCGGGAGCCTCTGCTGGGTGAAGGCGGTGTTGTCTGGACGGTTCACCGCTTCGGGCTTCTCCTTCTTATGCATGGTCCCGCTCTGTGGAGATACAAGGAAGTTATGTTATATTATGTTTATTAAGATTTTCTCTTACTTTTAAAAGGTGCATTGCCTAATTTTTCTCACGGGCGGTCTGCCAAATGCTTTTCTCGATGGAGATGTCATTGCTCTGCCTGGAACGTTACACAGTGTGACATTAAACAGCTCTACCTTACATTGCACGGGGATGTAAATTTGGGGCCAGTCCATTCAAAGCTTTAAAAACAAACAATAAAACCTTAAAATCAATTCTAAAATTAACAGGAAGCCAGTGCAAAGACGCAAGAATTGAGAGAATAGACCTACTTCCTGATGGCGATGGCAAACACCTCACCTCAAAGATTGCAAGATGAATGGACACAATTAGTAAATCACAAACGCTACAGCTGTTGATTTGTTGTAAATAAAATATCCTGTCTTATTCTGTATAAAAACTGCTAAGTAGTTTAGCTCTGCACAAATGTGATTCTTGTATTAGTTTGCAGTGTTGGGGAGTAACAGATTACATGTACCGGAGTTACGTAATCAGAGTACAAATTATGAGTAACTGTATTCAGTTACAGTTACAGTTACTGTTTCAGTGAGTGGTAATTGGATTACAGTTACTTGGTTGAAATAAATGGATTACACAGTGGCATTTTCCTGTTTTCACATTTTGACTATAATTCCACTCATTGCCGGAAACAAAACCAAGTCTAAACTAGATCTAAACTAGATCTAAACCAGGACTAAAACCAGGTCTAAACTAGGTCTAAAACAGATCTAAACCAGGACTAAACCAAAACTAAAACCAGGAATAAAACCAGGTCTAAACTAGATCTAAACTAAATCTAAACCAGGTCTAAAACAGGTCTTAAACAGGTCTAAACCAGGTCTAAACCAGGTCTAAACCAGGACTAAGACAGGATTTAACAAGACTAAACAATGCTGCATGGACGTGTGTCCTCGTCTTCTATCAATAATTTTTTTTTTAAATTTGGTTGAGTAAAGTCTGGGCTTTTCATTTTCTTTTATCAGACAAAACATCTTATGTTACGATATTCTCGTCTTTGCTTCTCTACAGCAAATCAAGTAATCCAAAGTATTCAGATTACGTTACTCACTTTAAGTAATTTAATGGATTATGTTACAAACTACATTTTGGAGTGTGTAATCTGTAATCTGTAGAGGAATACATTTTAAAAGTAACCTTCCCAACACTGTTAGTTTGTCACTTCTTTTTGTCAGTTCTTCTGGACGCGTTTAGACTGTGAACTGTAAACAGAATCCTATAATTAAATCGAATCGTAATCACAATTCTTGTCAGAAAAGTGTAATACTTTTTCCCCAAATGGTTCAGCTCTACTTTAAAGCCTCGTGAGAAAATTTCCTCTCCACATCTCCCGAGCTTGAGCTAGTCTTAGCCAGTAACATTCGTTTAGTCTTCATTTTCAGACCGAAATTGTTGTTTGAATGACCCTGAGCCAATCTTGTTCAGGACTATTTTAGCTGGAGGATTGTACCTATTGTGTATTTTCTGGGTGATAGGGGAAATCTGAGTGAGCGAAGGAAACCCAGACAGACAGAGAGAACGTGTAAACGCCACACAGACGCAGGAAAAACAATACTATTAGACAAAAAGTGAATAGACTAAGCTGACAAAAACCTCAATATAAGACATAACAGGCTCGTTTTAGCACATTTCTGATGGGAAATTTGAGTCAAAGTCACAGTGCAGTAAAAGAGAATGTAAATAACCAAATGTACTCTCACAGGTTACACCACACACACAGCTCCTACATTACACATAAACATGCTGTAAGCCGAGCTCAAACAAAGCTCTGATCCATCATTACAAAGTAGTTTCACGTTCTACTTTTGAAAGAATCAGTTCAGTTTAAGTCTGCTACTCTAAAGTATGAGTGAAAATGATCAACAGTATGCAAATTTAGTTCCAAAGATTAAAATATATGCATCCCAGACTCGAGATTTCCTAAACCATGAGACAAAAACAATGGATTCAATGGCTCAACTTTTACTGATCAAAACGTACAGCCAAAACGTATAGCCCTACTTCCTGATAGTGATGGCAAACCTATGCATACGACACCTCACCCAGTTTGACATGAACAATATTACCTCAAACGAGCGCAAAAGCTCACCAGACCTGCACAAGACACATCAGGCAACATTTACGCGCAAAAACCAACGCGTACTCACTGTTAAAAAAACGACTTACGCGCAGAAGGCTTCTAATGAAACGCTGAAACAGAAGCGGCAGCGGGTAAATCCAGAGACTTCCCTGATGATAGTGCGAGTCTTCTGGAGCACCTTTACCTGTTTGCGCTCCACGCCCTGCAGCAGCCGCGTGCCCTGCTCAACCGGTTCTGCGCCCGACCGCCGTCTGCCTACGTCATCGTGCCGCAACGGACCAATCAGAAACGAGGAAATATCGTCCAGTAGATTTGCAATTTTTTTAGTGCCGTTACAGATTATAGTTCAATGAAGTTGTTTAATTTGTGCTAAAATGTAAAATGTATTATCAAAACTACCAATATCTTTAAATTGATAATAATAACAAAGTTAAAAATGAACAGAACACTAAAAAAAGATAAATAATCAAACATTATACTTATACTTTATTTACAGACTCTCACAAAAGGACAAAAGGACACACAACCACAATACACTACATTCACATACGCCACAGGCGTCAAACATAAGGCTCGGGGGCCGGATCCGGCCCTCCAAGACCTTTAATCTGGTCCTCGGCTGATTTTCTACTAAAATATTTTAATTATATTTTCTATTAAAATATTGGTAATTTTCTGTGGTGTTTATCATATCAGCGTCTCCAGCGCCTCTGTACGTGGCCCCTCCCACCAGAGCAGCACAAATGAAGACTTGTCTCTTTCCAAACACTCTTAAAGGACGATCGTTTTGACTGTTGACCGTGACACCCTCATCAACAAAATGTCCAAAATGAGAAAAGTGGAGCAGAGTGCAGGACTTTACAACAAAAACTGACTTATTCCTATTTACATACAAATTCATGTTAAAATATTGTGTTGAAATTACATTTTTCTTAAAGTTTCAGGTTGTTCATAATATTATAATATTTTGTAAAAGAAAGAGTTCATCAATTAAAAAAGATTTCTGTAATAGATTTGTGTTTCTCTGCACAAATATTTGAACTTATTGTTATTTTTGGGGTTTATATGACATAAGTTTTCTGATCTGGCCCCTTTGGGATCAAAGTCGGTTGGATACGGCCCCCGGACCAAAATGAGTTTGACACCCCTGCTATAAATTAATTCCCGCTTAATAATAACAAAATAAAAAATGAACAGAACACTAAAATAAGTAAATGATAGGGATGTACAATAACCGAAATATTGTGATATCGTATCGTCAAAAGTCTCACAATAATATCGTGGACTCTCAATATATTGAATTACAAGTTCTTTTGCTTAAACACATGGTTTTATAGTAGCAGACGCTTATGAACATTGGAAACTACATATTCCATGATTCATTTCAGTACAGACATGACGATACATGTTTTTTACTTGAATTCTTGGGATTATGATGGAAATAATGCACACCTAAATCTTGTCAAAGTATTTTAAAAGCAAAAAAGTGTCCCAGCTACAATTATGTTAGCCTCTTCAAACTATCGCAATTAAGTATCGTACCATGAGATTTGGATATCGTTACATTCCTAGTAAATAATTATTTTTTAGTTTATCTAACAAAATAACATTTTCTGTTTCTTCTTGTTATATTAAAGTGTGTAATTTTCTGGAGGTGGGAAGTCAGCTGCATGGTTCCACGATGGCTAGGCTAAAAAGAATGTTTCTCTCTCTCTTTTTACCTCCGCCAAGGAGGTTATGTTTTTGCCGGCGTTTGTCTGTTTGTTTGTTTGTTTGTTTGTTTGTCTATTAGCAACATAACTCAAAAAGTTATGGACCGATTTTGATGAAATTTTCAGGATTTGTTGGAAATGTGAAAAGGAAGAACTGATTTCATTTTGGGGGTGATCCGGAAGAAATCCTGGATTCTGGATCACTTTGAAATTTTAGTTAACATTGTGGTAAATGGGGCCAAAAATTTTGTTTCTCAATATCTCCGTTAATTATTGACCAAACCCCATGAAATTTGACTCAGGGATGGACAATGGGATCCTCTTTCATATTCCAAAGGCTGATCCGGATCTGATCCAGAAGACTGATTTTATCGCAATTTATATAAAAAATGGGGGTAGTCCTTGGCGGAGGTCTGCGCTCTCTGAGTGCTTTTCTAGTTAATTGTATGATGATTATTTATGTTTTGATTTGTTTGTATTGTGATTTTGAAGTATTTCTTATTCTTTAAAGCACTTTTAATTACTTTGTGTACAAATTGTGCCATACAAATAAACTTGCCTTGCCTTGCCTAATATAACATTAAAATCATACTTCTGTACGTTTTACATTAAGATAGGTATGTTTTATGCTATGTAATATTATAGCCAGTGTTGGGGAGTAACAGATTACATGTACTGGGATTACGTAATCAGAATACAATTTATGAGTAACTGTATTCAGTTGCAGTTACTGTTTCAGTAAGTGGTAATTGGATTACAGTTACTTTGTTGAAATAAATGTATTACACAGAGGTATTTTCCTGTTTTCACATTTTGGGCTAAACCAGGACTAAACCAGGACTAAACCAGGTCTAAACCAGGACTAAACCAGGTCTAAAACCAGGACTAAACTAGGACTAAACCAGGTCTAAAACCAGGACTAAACTAGGACTAAAACCAGGACTAAACCAGGAATAAACTAGAAAAGCACTCAGAGAGCACAGACCTCCGCCAAGGACTACCCCCATTTTTTATATAAATTCAGTAAAATCAGTCTTCTGGATCAGATCCGGATCAGCCTTTGGAATATGAAAGAGGATCCCATTGTCCATCCCTGAGTCAAATTTCATGGGGTTTGGTCAATAAATAACCGAGATATTGAGAAACAAAATTTTTGGCCCCATTTACCACAATGTTAACAAAAAATTCAAAGTGATCCAGAATCCAGGATTTCTTCCGGATCACCCCCAAAATGAAATCAGTTCTTCCTTTTCACATTTCCAACAAATCCTGAAAATTTCATCAAAATCGGTCCATAACTTTTTGAGTTATGTTGCTAAGAGACAAACAAACAGACAAACGCCGGCAAAAACATAACCTCCTTGGCGGAGGTAACCAGATCTAAAACCAGGACTAAACCAGGAATAAACCAGATCTAAAACCAGGACTAAGTAAAGGACTAAACCAGGACAGAACCAGGTCTAAAATCAGGACTAAACCTGGTCTAAACAATAAGACACCTAACAGTAGAGTGGACATAATTTAAGGCAGCAGTGATTTCATATAGAAATCATTTCTTTATCAATAATATTTTTTATATGCTTAAGTAAAGACTGGGCTTTTTATTTTCTTTAAGCAGACAAAACAAATATCTCATGTTAAGATTTCCTGGTCTTTGCTTCTCTACAGCAAACAGTTGTCTGTTCATGGAGACTTGGACTCAACAGACAATTTGAAGAGAACAAACATGAATTTTCAGGATGCGGTTGTTACATTCAGGTTGTTTTAAAAAATATGGGCTTTATTTGTCAAATAAATAAATATAAGAAAATAAAATTGTCATATATAGTAATTTAACTACTGTAAACGAATATTTGTGCATTTTTATTTTATTCAAACCAGCCCAAAATCTGCCTGGAAACCCGCCCCTTTTCCTCTCATCGGACCAATCACGGCGCGGCGTGATCACGCACGACGCTTTCCTTTTAACCAATGAGCGCAGAGTTCATTCATTCCGGGTCTCGTAACTGCGCCGTCTTTGTGTTGACATCTGCGAGGCATAAAGAGGTAACAATGTCATAGTTTACCTTTATTAATGAACGATCCGTTAAAGAGACTTTTATTTAAAGATGTATGTCGTTTAAAGATACCAGAATTTTGCGAATAAATTCAGCTTTGGCGTAGAAAAATAGACCGTTTTCCAGCTCGCACCTGCTCCTGCTGTTCTCATTGTTAGCATTGTTAGCTCAGTTAGCCTAGCACGTTCAAAACAAATGACCAAATCGAGGCAAATGCGGCCACACAAGACAATAAACCTTTATATTTGAAAACAGTTTGTGCAGAATTCAGCTTTGGACATGATTTAGCATTAATATATGTCGTGGATTTCATGCAGCCAGACACTTTGCTGCTAAAATGCTAACGTGATGTGCTTATTAGCTACGGATCGATCGATATAGTTTGCATGTGTTTGGTGTAAGAACAGTGTTGGGAAGGTAACTTTTAAAATCTGTATTCTCCTACAGATTACAGATTACAGACCCCAAAATGTAGTTTGCAACGTAATCCATTAAATTACTTGAAGTGAGTAACGTAATCTGAATACTTTGGATTACTTGATTTGCTTTAGAGAAGCAAAGACTTGGATATTGTAACATAAGATGTTTTGTCTGCTAAAAGAAAATAAAAAGCCAAGACTTTCCTTAACCGTATTAAAAATATTATTGAGAGAATAGTTTTGTCCTGTTAAATCCTGTTTAGTCCTGGTTTAGTCCTGGTTTTAGACCTGGTTTAGTCCTGGTTTTAGACCTGGTTTAGTCCTGGTTTTAGTCCTGGTTTAGACCTGGTTTAGATCTAGGTTAGACATGGTTTTAGTCCTGGTTCAATCCTGATTTAGTCCTGGTTTAGACTTGGTTTTAGTCTTGGTTTAGTGTCCAGCAATGAGTGGAATTACTAAAAAAAAAAAAAAAAAAGGGATATAGCCCAAAATGTGAAAATAGGAAAATACCGCCATGTAATCCATTTATTTCAACAAAGTAACTGTAATCCAATTACCACTCACTGAAACAGTAACTGTAACTGAATACAGTTACTCATAATTTGTACTCTGATTACGTAACTCCGGTACATGTAATCTGTTACTCCCCAACACTGTGTAAGAATAAGGATCATTTGTGTCTTTTTACGTTTTGTGCATATAATATAGGTGTTGTTGGTAATCCCTGTTGTGGTTCTGTCTTCGTTTCTTAGCTTTGAATGGATATTACACGGTGCACGGAGAAATGGGTAAACAAAAACCAGGTTACAATACCATGCAGCAGTCATCTCATAAAACCATGAACATTACACACTCATGCACGGTTTGATGTCCAGTGTTGGTAGATATTTCTCAGAATTAATAAGAGCAGATGGTGTATTTTGGTTTAAATTGTTTACTTTATTATTTATCTAACTAAAAGTATATTGAAATGTTGCATGATAACGCTTGGATTTTTTGTTTAGTATTTTGTTTACCGAGCTACTATTACAAAACATACAACAACTTCATTCACTTTTACTTTCTCTAGACAAGATAAGCTCATTGTTATTCATCAATACATGAAAGGGAGGGTATGTAGCTTGCCTTTCTGTTAACAAAGAAACCAAGATAACAATTGAAACTGTGTCTCCAGAGCCTTAACCTGCAGATAGAAAATATGTACAAGTTTGTGTCATTCTTAGTTTATGGATAGGCCTAATGTGAACACTCAGAGCCCCCGGAATTCCCTCCTTGAGCTGCTGGGGTTTAGGTAGTGACCATTCAGATCAGAGAAAGGCACTTTAGGTTTAAACCAGCTGGATTTCAGCTTTGAAACTGGCAACCCAAATGAGTCATGTGATTCTCATTCTGCTTTCTGATTGGATTGTCATCTTGAGCCAAAACACCAAATAGGTCCTATTCACATTTACCAGATGTTTTTGGAAACTTGCGGATGACGGCTTCTGGTAGGGGTGTGCAAGAATATCGGAATATCGATATATCGTATCGTTTAATGTGATGATACAGTATTGATATTGTGGGCTACTGTATCGATATAACACCAAGAGTATTTTTAGGTGTGTTTTACAAAATTATTTAGTTACAGTGCTACAGTTTTGTTGCTTGTGGAGTGAAAGGAAACTCATTTATGCAACACATTTGACATTTTTACTGTTTTGAGGATTAAAATGTTTGTGTTTCATATGAACTTCGCACAGGAAGTGGTTTAACAAAGACTTTTAGTATCACAGCCATGATTTAGCCTTTATTTTTTATTGAACCGTATCGAATCGATTTGAAATATATCATATGGAATCGAAAGTGCACTGTATCAAGATATGTATCGTATCATGGCCTGTGTATCGAGGTATGTATCGTATCGGCAACTTCTTAATGACACCCGGCCCTAGCTTCTGGTGTAGTTACCGACACTGGGAATGTGATAAAACCGTGGATGCAGTAGCAGCGTCTTCACAGGGGGACGGGACTCTAATCACATCTTCAGTGTCATTTACGGGCAGCTAGTTGTAACTGTTGATCTGCCAAACATAACGGAACGCTACAGTGACATTGTTTTTTTTTTTTTATTAGACAAATTATGATACACAAAATAATAGGCAATTTATAAAAGGAAAAAAATACAGTATTTTCCAGACTATTAGACGCGCTCTTAAGCCTCCAACCCCATCAAAAAACAACAGCACGCCCCGCAATCCAGAGCGCCCTATACACGAATCCACTCGGGTGTCCCAGCACGACTTCAGTAAACTACAAAACTGCACCACCCGCAGAACACGCAAACACACACGGAGCAGACAGCGACAAACACCCACAGACACACTCATCACTCCACGCCGACGAGGAACGGAACGGAGGAACGAACCGAAAAAAGCGAGTGCAATGTGCCACTTCTAGACACAACTGAACAAAGCCCAGAGTCACGGTGAACGCGCCAAACAAACAAAACCACTCACCCATCCAACGTGTTTCGTTTAAAGTCCGGTGCGGTTTATTTGTGAAAAAAGTTAGAAAATAGACCATTCTATGACAGTGCGCCTTATAATCCAGAGCGCCTAATGGTGCGGAAAATACGGTAATACAATGACATCTAGATGAAGAAAAGCAGGCCATTTTCTCAGTTTTCAAAGGAAGTCGTCATCCGCATGTTTCCAAATGTCTTCCGGTTTTGTGACATAAGCGTGAATAGAGCCTATTACAACATAAACGCCTCCAATGATTCTGTAATTAGGAATAAATCAGCTTTACAGTTCTTACCTCTTGTTTGCCTTGAACACATTTCTCATATCTGGGGGACACAAATACGTAATGTTTGAAATCTGTAAAAAAAAAAAAAAAAATTCATCGTATCCTCACATTTAAATAAGTAGATGATGTGTTACATTTTTACTAGTTGTTTTTAAGATGTACTTTTTGTTGTAGATCTCGCATCTGTCTTGCACAGGCATCATTAGCTCATAGTCATCTCATAGTATTTCTAGTATTTCAAGGGATTTTGTTTTAATATTTCTGTTATAATGTTTCTAATTTCATTTTCCTCCCATCTTTAGTTTAAAAAAAAAAAACTCTTCTGTGTTCTTTCTTAAATGCCTCACATTGTATCTTTCAGGAGAGGCCTCCGACATCCTCCATTATGCTTTCTAGCAAAAAGTCTGATGCAGGCTCCTCTTCCTCGTCCTCTTCCTCCTCTGCTGGGGCGTCAGGAGCTGAGAGAGCCCCCACCTCTGATGCACAGACGGGGACCACCTCCTCCACTGCTGGGCTCATGGAGGTCAAGAAGAAGGAGCGCTCATCCCCCAGTGGAGAGCCCGGAGCGCCCCCCTCTGGAGCCCACCAGGGGGGGCCCAGTGCGGCGGACTTAGAGGCCGCCGAAGTCCGCAGAACCAGCAGGCGGAAGCGAGCAAAAGTAAACATTTTAGGTTTCTATTCCCCCTACAGGCAGGGAGAGGAAGGACCGTTATGAAACCTGAAGTCCTGCAGACCAGCCGCCATATAGTTAGTTATTTGTCTGTCAACATTCAAGTCTAGGAGCAATACTCACGTGAACACCAAAATATTCATTTGATTCGTTAATTGGTTATTATGCCGGCTTGTCCACAAACACAAGAGACACAGGAGTCCCTTTTTAAGTGATGTTTACTGCAATAGTAAACAAACCGGTCAACTGTAAATGTAATATTTTACTTCTTAAATGCTTTTTAATTAGCACTGTAGGGTCTGACTTCACATTAGCGTAAGGCTCAACCGGAAGATAGGAAATTATTTTTACAACCTTAAACTAGACATATGATAAACTAAACATTTACAATATTGTACAAAATAAAATCTTATTGCTCTTCTAGCCTTATAAATGAATAATAAATAATTGGACATGAAATATAAAAATGTATAAAAGATAATGAGCCAAATACATTTTCTGGCATTTACTGTAAATACACCAGCGCCTTTCTATGGGTCTAACAAGTGAATTGTTTGTTTTTGTTACATAAAAACAAAATGTTTTTTCACACAGCCACCACAATTTGGTTCAACAGTGAATGTAGTAAAAGTAATCTAAAGTCCAATCAGAGTCGCTGATTGGTGTAGGCAGGAATTAATTGCTGTAGGCAGGAAGCTGCTGAGCATTTGTGTGGTACCGTAGACCAACTTTGGTCTGATTGAACTAAAAGAATGAATGTGAAAATGTAAATGTTTTTAAGAAATTTAAGAAATGGTCTAAGATCTGGATCTTATCTTAATATCCAGAATCTTTGCTTCTTTTTTTAATTGAATTTAAGTCTGATCATTGCAACAGTTAGGATTGTTAATTTTATAATTCATTTTTGACATGTTCAGCCCTTCTATGAAATCCTGTTCTTCAGTGTGTTTTTTCCGCAGGTGGGAAAACGTACAAGGAGTAAGCCAATCAGACAAGTAACGGCATGATTTCAATGTGTTTTTATCATTTCACTAGTATCAGGTTCAGGTTTTACACATGAGCCTAGTCCTAGGGTGTAGACTCTACATCATCATATTACCTCTTGTTATTGTTTGTTGAGTTGATCTCTTCTTATTCTTCAAATAAGTAATTATAGTAGTAGTATATATTACAATATAATTGGGAGTTGAAATGAGAGAAGTGAGCTACCTGGAGGAAACCATGGGCACTGTCTTGATTGTTCCGAGTGAGTGAATGTTTTTGTTATATTATGGTCCCTTAATGCATCACTGCAAATAGACAAACAATAACCCTTTTGGTGTTATTCAAGAGGTGCATTGAAGGGTTTAACACTGAGATCCTCTGTATAGCAGGATATACAGAAAGCCAGGCCACTCCTATGTGACCATTTCAACAGTACTATTCATAAGGTATGGCATTGTATTACATTCTGCTTCACAACTGCACTTGGATGTGTGCAGTTCTTGTGTGGTGTCCATGATCTTTAGTGGTCAGTGGCAGTGCCCCAAGGAAGGAGGGTTTGTAGCACCACATCGCTGGTTTTAATGTTGCTTTTATTGTGCCTCCTATTGCAGGTGGAGTACCGCGAGATGGATGAAAGCCTGGCCAATCTGTCGGAGGACGAGTACTACTCCGAGGAGGAGAGGAACGCCAAAGCGGAGAAGGAGAGGAAGCAGGTGGTGCCTCCCCCTCCGCCCCCACCCGAGGAGGAGCAGGACAGCGAGCCCGAGGAGCCGTCTGGTGAGTGGAGCAAAGTATTCAACATGCTGGACTGGGATGTTTGAAATGAAGCCTTATTTTCCCATTCATAATATTATACTACTATTACTACTTTTTTTTTTTTTTTAAGAAGACCAAATGAGTGCATGTCTGTTATTCAGTTCTGTTTATTTTTGTATAGCCCAAAATCACAAACCATTTAACCTACAGAAAGTTAGAAAATCAGTGAAAAAGTCAAACACTTTTGACTTGTTTAATTTTTATTGAGGAGAGACATTTTATTTCCACATTTGAAGACGGAGTTTAATACTCGTGCTACATTTTGAAAATAAAATTTGTTAGATGCTTCTTTTATTTATTTGGACAAAGTGGATCCCTGTTTCCAAACATGTAATGGGACTGATGGAAAGAACTAATGTGAATGAATGAATGTGAAATGAATGGTATGAATCTAGATAATTCACATGTATAAGCATGCTTAGAACTTCTGAATTTTATAGCTGAGTTTCAGATGACATCACAACTTTGTAAAAAAAAAACAACAATATTATTTATAATACAGATGAGGGCAGCTAAAATTAATCTTGTTAAACCAAAGTGATGTTCTAATACAGTGAGTTCTCAGGTCTTTCCTGATAGAAATGATCAGGTTCAGTATTTGTGAGTTTACCTTTTGAATATTCCATGGTGAAGTACAAAGTAATCAATCGAGAAAACACAATAATCATATGACATAATCACATTCTACAATCTGAAAACTACCTATTTTGATGCCATGGTGGAGAATGATAGGGTGCTTTTAAAATATTTTCCAAACATTTGAAAGCCCCAGATTTAGATCTCCCGGGGTCCCATAATCCAGCCCAAGCCTTTCCTAAGCTCCCTGTCTGGTCAGGTGTAGAAGGCGCTGCGTTCCAGAGCCGCCTTCCCCATGACCGCATGACCTCCCAGGAGGCCGCCTGCTTCCCCGACATCATCAGCGGCCCCCAGCAGACACAGAAGGTCTTCCTGTACATCCGCAACCGCACAGTCAGTCCAACGCTTCTAGCACACACCCATGATTGTAATGAGGTTTTGTCATTTCATTATGTAATTATTGTTCTGATCTCCACCAGCTTCAACTCTGGCTGGACAACCCCAAGATCCAGCTCACGTTTGAGGCCACGGCACAGCAGCTCGAGGCTCCGTACAACAGTGAGGCTGCGTTATAATTTGTGTATTTGGCATGGTAAAAGTTGTTAAATCTAAAGTGTCTTGTGTCTGATTCCAGGTGATGCAGTTCTGGTCCACAGGATACACAGTTACTTAGAAAGGCACGGACTCATCAACTTCGGCATTTACAAAAGGGTCAAGCCGTTACCGAGTGAGTTGCCAAAAACAATGTAACAGTATTATCATCATCAACAGCAGCAGCATTAAACGTCCTACATTACACAAAACTGACTCTTGTGAGCTTTAAGCCTTGATATAATGTCGTTACCTGGTCAAAAACAGACCTGGAGTTGTTTTGTTTCATTCACATGTTTGAGTAACTCTTTATTATTAGTCTGCCTACATCTCCAAAGCTCAAAATGCTCCATTCGTCCTCAATCCGTGTATCATTCGTTCATTAGTTTTTCTATATAAAACCAAAAATAAGAAAACGATGATTATCATTATTTGTCTCCAAAACCAAAATGAAAAAACAGGTAACGATTTGTTTTTTCAGTTTTTGATTTTGTGTTTAAATGAATAATGGAAAAAACAGATAACGGACGTTTCAAGTTTCCGTGACTTAAACTGTGATGCCGGAGTGAACCAGAATTAAACCGGCACAGAGACTGGGACGACGACCGAGACCGGAACCAGACCAGGACTGAAAATGGTTTAGTCCTGTTCAGTCCGTATGCGGCACAAAAGTCCGTCATCACAGTTTAAGTCACGGAAACGGGGAAACGGCCGTTAGCCTTTTTTTCCATTATTCATTTAAACACAAAAATAAAAACTGAAAAAAATAATCGTTATCTGTTTTTCATTTTGGTTTTGGAGACAAATAATGAAGAAAATAGTTGTTTTTTCGTTTTCTTGTTTTTGGTTTTATTTTGAAAAACAAATGAACGAATGACACAGATTTACCTTCAAATCCAAATCCACTTTATTTCTACGTCTACGTTTTACAAACAAAGTAATATCCAAAATGCAGATTATAATGTGACTTGAACCTGAACATTATTAAACATGTTGAATTTATGTAGTTTTAGACACCCATTTCAATAAACATAACAAAAATCTTTTTCTCCCCACAGCTAAAAAGACTGGGAAGGTGATTGTGATTGGAGGAGGGGTGTCTGGTCTCGCTGCAGCCAGACAGCTCCAGAGCTTTGGGATGGATGTGACCGTGCTAGAGGCCAGGGTAAGATGACAAAAGAAGACTATTATAATCCCTACATTGTCATTATTAGTCATTTTAAAGAAGAAAATACAGAAAACATGAATGCTGTCTCTCTTGTGTCAGGACCGTGTGGGAGGCAGAGTGGCCACGTTCAGGAAGGGGAACTACGTGGCTGATCTGGGAGCCATGGTGGTCACTGGGCTGGGTAAGAATTCATTTGAAATCACACTTCAGCAGCAAAGATTCTAAAGTTTAATTTGTCAACTGGATAAAAGTTTATTTTGGTTAAATACGTTTCACAGCTCATTCAAACTGCTTCTTCAGTTCTGGTCAGAGTGCTGGTGGACACTGCCTTATATCTGCCTGCAGGGAGGAACCAACTACTCTGTAGTTTCAGAGTAGTTTCAGTCTAGTTTCAGAGTAGTTTCAGTGTAGTTAGTTCCTAGCCTGATTCATCAGCCAGTTTTACTTCATGGAAATCGTCTGACCTCGCAGAATTTGTTTGCTCAGCAGTAGGCTTGTACTTTTTTTATTTAACCAATCGCTTCTGTTTGATCGTGACATATGTAATGTGCCAAATGCTGTAGGAAGAAGGGCAATAACGTCTTTCCCCTTGATAAAATTCACCAAACATTCTCTTTGTTTCGGCTTTAAATCCTCAATCTCGGGAATCGTTGCCAACACAGAATGTCTGTCTCCGTCTACATCCATCTGGACGCTTTGTTTACTGTTGTGCTGTTCCACAAACGGGACACAGACAGACTTGAGTTTGATGTCATGACTTCACAGCTCACAGCTGATTGGCCGGTGCACAGTCTACAACTTCTGGGATTCTTGCAAACCGTCTAGTGTATTCTGATTCTTGGAGAGAAATGAAATTGAGTGGAGGCACTAGGTGGCGCTAGACTGGCTAGTTAGTTCCTCCCTTCAGGCAGATAAAAAGCAATGTCCACCAGTGTCTGAACAGAAGCATTTCTCCTTTGCCATGGATTCTACCTGGACGACTGAGGGATTTTATACACAGAGTCTAAAGGGCGCAAGTTCAAATTTGGAATAAAAACGAGAAAAAATTATTTCATCCACCAGTTTCTGCTTCATTCAGGAAATAGTTCATTCATTCGTCATTATATATTTTACATAAAGCATTCTCAATGAGTTAATCTATTAAAGGGTAAAGTACTTTGGTACACTATCCCCAGTTTTGCTATTTGTGTAATGTGTGTAAATTTTCAAATCAAATTATGAAACAATTGTCATAGAAAATCAGTTCAAGTGTCAACCTTACATTTACTCCTCTCTGAATACACTGTCAGTACCCACATCCTCCAGTAGAGGGCAGCATTTCATACTCCAAAACCAGTTCGTTCTAATCTAAACTCATTCATATTTGTCTGTACCCAGGAGGAAACCCCATGGCAGTGGTCAGCAAGCAAGTCAACATGGAGCTGGCCAAAATCAAGCAGAAGTGTCCCCTGTATGAAGCCAACGGACAGGCGGTGAGTAGAGACACTTCCCCCTCTCCCCAGACCTGATCCGTTCCAAAGACAATACAGACGAGCTTGTTTTTCTACAGAAATGTTATTGCTTTACCTGGAATGTTCTTTAGTTTTGAATAAACTTTAAACCTGCGTGTTCACTGGGACAAGAAATTCGGGGAAGAAATCAGGGCTACAACAATTTTTTTATTTCTTACATTTAAACGTAACCAGTTAAAGCTGTGAAAAGTGCTTATGGCTCGTTTCTGTGAATAATAACGGAGCTCAGAATCCACAAGGCAAGTGAGGAATAACTCTGGACCACTGCAAACTGTTTAAAATGCACTAGTTCTGCTTTTCATCTTTTTAAGACGGTAAAAATCAGGTACAACGCACCTTTTTTAGAATATTTTTCAGTACAAATTCCTGAAAAAAATATTCATAATAACGATGGAATCAGAGAGGGTGTATTTTTGTTCCATAGTGTTGTAGTTTTTCAAAACCGTGTCTGAAGAGGTTCTAGATGTCATCCATGTATGTTTAAGTAATCTAGCGAGCTGTGCAAGGCTCTCATGGCAATGGCATGGCAGTTCTCCATAAATTCACAAAAACATGATACAAAACTGTGCACAACTTGATGTGATGTGCAGTAGTTTCATTAGTGGGACCCACATTAATCTGTGTATCGTTTGTTTTTCAAAATAAAACCAAAAATAACAAAATGAAAAACCAGCTATTTTCTTCATTATTTGTCTCCAAAGCCAAAATGAAAAAAAAAAACAGATACAGATTTGGTTTTTCAGTTTTCGATTTTGTGTTTAAATGAATAATGGAAAAACGGATAACGGCCTACGTGTTGCTGTGTTTCTGGTCCCAGTCTGGTCCTGGTCTCAATCAGTCTGGGCCTGGTCTGGTCCTGGTCTCAGTCCCGGTCTCAGTTCTGGTCTGGTCCGATTTCTCAGTCCCCTGGATCTCAGTCCCTGGTTCTCAGTCCCGGTCTCGGTCTGTCTCGGTCTCGGTTCTCGGTCCCTCAGTTCGGTCTCAGTTCCGGTCTCAGTTCCGGTCTCAGTCCCGATCACCCGATAATCTACGCAGGTGCACCTTCGGGCCTGTCCCAACACTCAGTCCTGTTTTAGTCTTGGTTCAGTCCGTGTGCGGCGCAAAAGTCCGGCATCAGAGTTTAAGTCATGGAAACGGTCGTTATCCGTTTTTTTCCATTCTTCATTTAAACACAAAATCAAAAAACTGAAAAAACTAATCATTATCTATTTCATTTCATTTTGGTTTTGAAGACGACAAATGTAGAAAATAGTTGAATTTTTTTTTTTTGTTTGTTTTCTTATTTTTGGTTTTATTTTGAAAAACGCATGAACGAATGATACACGGATTCACGCTGATTGTTTTGTGAAAGCGCTCTGAAGGGGGAGTGAGTTGAGGCTTAAAGAAAAGGAGGGGGGATTCAGAGTGTCAAAAATGAACTTATAAAACACGTTTATACGTTGTTTTCGGCGAATATAGCGTTCTCAAAACAATAAAATGTACCGTGGTGATCTAAATATGTGATGTGTTAGCAGTTAATACCCCACAGAAGTAAAATAACCAGTCTTTAATGATTTTCCAGATAATAATTAACCATTTTTTTAAATAGTAAACAATTATCTAATCATTTGTTGTAGACTTAATAATCAGACCATAAACATTGTTGGCGTTCTGCGCTTGTAACCGTAGAAACTGTCTCCTCCATCCTCCCGCTGAGCGCTAAAACAACATGGAACATTTGATCCAAGAATAACTTTTTTTTTTTTACTGGTAAAACTATTCCCCTAATTGTCCAAATCTCCCAGGTCAGGCACGCTCTTCTCCCAGGAGCCCGATGGAATGTGAGGCGTTCAGTTTTCCAGGGCGGCCATATTACGTTTCACGCTTTAACTAGGACCTGGTGTTGTTTACTTCCGAACACCAACTGATTACATCGCCCCCAAATATTTAACAGACATTTCGTGCCCCTCTCTCTCTCTCTCTCTCTCTCTCTCCAAATTTGCAGTGGAAAATCGTAGTTGTCCTCAAGCGTTCGAGGTTCGAGAGCTCCTCTGTCTGAGATTTTTACCGTCTTGGAAAACGTGCAAAACAGAACTAGTGATTTTTAAACAGTTCGCAGTTTTCCGAAGTTATTCCTCATTTACTTTACGCATTCTGATGAGTTTCTAAGCACTTTTCACAACCCTCAGAGACCCGAGCGGAGTTTTGCCATCACGGTAATGTTAACAAAGACTAGCAGGCTAACTACGCATTTAAAATACTTTAGAATTAGATGCAGACAGACTTATTTTGACCTCAAGAGCTGCTTATTTAATGTTTTTAAACTAAGAAATATTTTGCTGAAATACATGGGGGGAAAAAATGAGGTACAGGCCCTTGAACTTTTGGGTTTACAGTTTTTAATCGCCCGCACGGTTTTGCATGTTTCATTTGATGGCATGTACACTAATTGTAATGTATTTTATTAGGAAAAATGTCTTCAGGTTGCCACACACTACTGGAGAATTTGCCAGATTTTGGCTGCGATTTGCTTCTCCACGAATTCAGGGAGGCGTGACCCGACTTTGCGACTTGATGTTTGATTTTGTTTTCATGTGTGTGGTGTCAGTGTCACTCTGAGCTGCTCTGTCACATATCGTAACCGACAAACATCAGCAACGCTACGATAAACGCCAAAAAAACAGACTTGGTGACAGACACATGCGCAAGATACAAACTCAGGAAATAGCAAAAATAAGGACTCACCTCTTGTAAAGTTATAAATTTAAAGTACAGCGTCTCATCCACGTTATCCATAGAAATTGTCCTCCACAAGTAATGACCTCAGTCCACAAAACAGCGCTGCGAATCCAATTTGAAGCGTTCTTTAAAAGTGAAAAGGCAAGAGTAGTTCCTTACGTGTGTCTGTTTACATCCACACAGCGCACGGATCGAGGTGAAGCTGCAGATTAGCGTCAGTGACTCTACTTCCTGTAGACTTTATCACCAATCTTTTACGCTTTAAAAATCACATATCTGAAGTTTTGCACCACATTTTACAAATTAATAACAGTTTTGACTTGTATCTAAACTAGAAGTGCAGAGTCTGATCTTTTGAACACTTACGAGTCTCAGAGCAAGTGTTTTTATTGTAAACAGGAAACGGCAGACGTGATCGCATCGCAACTTTATATCTTGTGGTTTGTAGACATTTCCCGCTGCAGTCTTTGCAATCGGAGATTTTGAGTTTCATAAGGTTCTCCTCGTGTCTGTGGTTTGCGCTTTTTGTCGCACTTTTAAAAATCGTGTCAGACTGAAAAATCCTGTAGTGTGTGGCGGCCTTTAGAAACTCTGCTATGGTAAAAGAATATATGTGATGTCAGTGCATGGGTAGTCTTTTTTTTTTTTTTTTTATGTGCCCAGCAGAGGGCGCAACAGCAAGTGAAAGTGTTAATGGAGCACTGTGTAACTATTCTGGTGTGATTCTTTGCTTAGAATGTCCCACAGTATGGCATTAAACTTCTATTGTTGTAGTTCATTTGATCGCAGGTGTTTTATTGCTTAAAATCCCCTCGTACATCAAGCGTTCTTACTGTGAGCGGGGTCGCCTCTCCACAGACCTGGCTTATAACTTGTGTCTTGATTGTCACCAATGGAGAGAGACCAATTTAATGCCATACTGTGGAACATTCTAAGCCATACAGTAACATCTCCGTCTAGACTAGCGTGTGGCGAACCCTCTACCAGATAAGTTACACAGTGCACCGTTAAATGAGGCTAATTGCAAAATATATAAAAAAAAAAACACAGAGGCTCATGTCTGGATTGTCACCTGATGACATCATAAGGTGGGATCAAGCGATTTGAGCTACACAGAGGGAGATCAGATTGAATTAGCAGGTGCGAGAGGAACAAAATACAAGTCCAGGAGTGTTATTGATGAGAAAACATTACGTTTATCAGAAATCAGTGTCTTTTTTTTTTTAGATAGCTGTTATTAATGATGTAGATTAAAGAATTACAGTTGAATGCATGAAAATCTGGTCTAGTTGTGTGTATTTAACCTGTGTCTCTCTCTCTCTCTCCCCCCTGGCTCCGTGTTCATCTGTGGGTGCACTACTAAAGGGGGAAAGGTGCACCAGTGTATGTATCGGTTTATTTCTCTTCTATCATCTATCATCTCCCCTTCATCTGATTCTCATCCTTCATTTTCATCCATCATCACGCCAGCTCCACGCATTTCCGACTCATTTCATATCTGCGTATCGGCTCTTTCACGCTTACGTCACAAACTAGGAATGTAACAATAACCGAAATATCGTGATATCGTACAGTTAGGGGTTTCTCAATATATCGAATCACAAGTTCCGTCTTTTAAATGCATTTTGTTTTTTTTGTAGGAACCGCTCATAAACATAGGGAAACACGCATACTATGATTCATTTCAGCGCAGACAACATGAAGAAATATGTTTTTTACTTTAATTCTTAGGATTATGACAGTAACGATTTGCAACAAAGTCTTAAAAAAAAGCAATAAGTATTTACAGTTCTGTACTGTGAGATGTGATAATATCGTACTGTGACATTTGGATATCGTTGCATTCCTATCACAAACCAAGAAGACGTTTGGAAACATGTGATGAAAGCTTCCGGCGAGCTCTGTTCGCAGTAGTAAGTCTGACCGAATCTAGAAAAATGAAGAAAACTGGGACATTTTCTCATTTTTACTCAAGTATGATCAAAGCTTTATAAAAGACAATTTACATAGAGATGTATAGTAGTATAGTATTCAGGGCCAATATACAATGTTACCAGTTTACAATGTACACAAAAAATTTATTAAAAAAAGAGAAAGGAAGAGAAAAGAGAGAAACCAAAAAAAAAAAAAAAAAAACTTAGAATATTTGCTACTAAAACATTTAACATATATCAACCTCTTGATACCATATTTTTATGTTTAAAGGAAGTTTTGGTAGCATCTTTAAATAGCTTAAGTTCACAATTCAAAGCACAGGGCCTGGGCTAAATACATAAATGAAAGTACTGAAATTATTGTAATGTCACTTTTGAACATTTCTTGTTTAAGTATCTATAAACTAGAGGTTTTGGCAAAAATATTCTGACAAGCGTCGCTATTGAAATTAGATTTGTGATTTATGTTTATGTTTATTTATGTCAAAAATACTGAAATATAAGGAAACTACAGGGTTAGCTCTGTTTTTTATTGCAGAATACATTTTGTTGCTTCAAAAATCGCAGCATTTGAGATCAGCGAATTGCATCCATTGTGATTAATCTCGCAGGGATAAATAAAAACATTTTACCAGAGGATTTTGTAGGCCCACATATAAACATTTCTGAGGTAATTCCCCCTTCGTCCGTTGACTTCCATCTTTACAGCTTTATCAATCAAATCCTTCATGTCGTCTTGATCGAGCATGTCTGTCCTCTGTGACCCCGGACTAACCGCATCTCAGCTTCAGCCTGTAGTGTGGCACGCTTCTCTCTCCCTGTAGCTTTTCCTCCTCCTGATCTCCTCCGGTCTCTCCCGTGTGATCGAGCGTACGTGTGCTGTGTCCAGGTGCCCAAGGAGAAGGACGAGATGGTGGAGCAGGAGTTCAACCGTCTGCTGGAGGCCACGTCCTACCTGAGCCACCAGCTGGACTTCAACTTCCTCAACAACAAGCCCGTGTCTCTGGGGCAGGCCCTGGAGGTGGTCATCCAGTCAGTATCACTGCAATATTTATTTATTTTTTTTTCTCCACCCACTTTTGCCTCTAAATCAGCGGTTTTTAAATCGCTCAAATAGGCATACCTCTTCTGGGTGGGTCCAAAGAGTCACTGGGGATGGGCGATACATACATGAAGAAAAAATAACGGTGCACATGTGTAAACATCTGCAACAGGATTGGTATCTGTGATTGTGCGCGCGTGTATTAGCTGTAAAATTATGTCGCCATAACAACCTACTCATAGTTTGGAGCGTCAACTTTTTTGCCTTTTTTGCCACGTGGCTCACGCCTCTAAACCAGGTCTAAACCAGGTCTAAAACAGGTCTAAACCAGGTCTAAACCAGCTCTAAATCAGCTCTAAATCAGCTCTAAACCAGAACTAAAATCTGTACTAAACCAGTTCTAAACTAGGTCTGAAAAGGGACTAAAATCAGGACTAAACCAGAACTAAAACCAAGACTAAGCCCGGGACTTAAAACCCAGGACTTAAAACCCAGGACTTAAAACCCAGGACTTAAAACCCAGGACTTAAAACCCAGGACTTAAAACCCAGGACTTAAAACCCAGGACTTAAAACCCAGGACTTAAAACCCTGGACTTAAAACCCTGGACTTAAAACCCTGGACTTAAAACCCTGGACTTAAAACCCTGACTTAAACCCTGGACTTAAAACCCTGGACTTAAAACCCTGGACTTAAAACCCTGGACTTAAAACCCTGGACTTAAAACCCTGGACTTAAAACCCTGGACTTAAAACCCTGGACTTAAATTAAAACTGAGGACAAAAACATTTGATTTAGACCTAAAACAGGTCTAAATCAGGACCTGTTTTAGACCTGTTTTAGGGCTAAACCAAGGACTTAAACCAAGGACTTAAACCAAGGACTACTAAAACCAAGGACTAAAACCAAGGACTTAAACCAAGGACTTAAACCAAGGACTACTAAAACCAAGGACTAAAACCAAGGACTAAATCCATGACTAAACCCATGACTAAACCAGGTCAAACCCCTGCTCTAAATGATAATAAACTTTCATTGCAGCGGGTGAAAGTTCATATGACAGGCTGTTAACACCATTGGAAAAACAAAAAATCAGAATTGGAAAATTTTAAATCTTCCCCAATTTTTTCCATAAAAAAAAAAAAAAAAATTGTTGAAGTTTATTCAGTTCTTGGTATGACACGGGCAGCAGGTGCGACATACGTAGAGGTAGTTCGATAACAAAACGTGTCTAAATTACACAATAATTATGATTAGACTAATTTTGTATTTGTTACTGTGTTGTTTTTTTTCAGACTCCAAGAGAAACACGTCAAAGATGAGCAGATCGAGCACTGGAAGAAGATCGTTAAAACCCAGGAGGAGCTGCGCGACCTCCTCAACAAAGTCAGTCTGCTGTTTTAAACACGCTTTATTTCATTAGATTTAACATCAGCTCATGTTAACGTCTGCGTTCTGTGACCTTCTTAAGATGGTGTCCACAAAGGAGCGCGTCAAAGAGCTCCACCAGCAGTACAAAGAGGCCAGCGAGGTGAAGCCCCCCCGGGACATCACCGCAGAGTTCCTGGTGAAGAGCAAACACCGGGACCTCACCGCCCTGTGTAAAGTAAGAGAAAACGCCACAGCTGTAACTGAGCAGACACGCTGGGTTTAAGAATGTCACATTTAAACACACAGTATGTAACGTTTAACCAAACAGCAGACTCCAATAAAAACATGTCTTTTTCATTATGCATGTTTTTATTGCTCTGAAAAACTGAATACACATAAGTCCTCCTTAGTGTGAGCGGGCTTGCATCTCCACAAACCTGACTCTTATTTGGTCTGGAGGAGAGCCTTGTACTACTTGTTTCCAGGGCTATGGCGCGTTTTGTAAAAGTGTGAAAGCTCAGGGCTAATCAGCTCTGTGGTAACTAATAGGCAGTGTTGGGGAGTAACAGATTACATGTACTGGAGTTACGTAATCAGAGTACAAATTATGAGTAACTGTATTCGTTTACAGTTACTGTTTCAGTGAGTGGTAATTGGATTACAGTTACTTTGTTGAAATAAATGGATTACTCATGGCAATATTTTCCTGTTTTCCTGTATTCACATTATTTTTATTTTTAATTAATTATTATTATTATTTTTTTTTTCTCGGTAATTCCACTCATTGCTGGAAACTAAACCAGGTCTAAACCGGGTCTAAACTAGATCTGAACCAGGACTAAAACCAGGTCTAAACTAGATCTAAACCAGGTCTAAACCAGGACTAAACCAGCACTAAAACAGGATTTAACAGGACTAAACCATGCTGCGTGGACCGTGTCTCCTCCTCCTTTATCAGTAATATTTTTAATACGGTTAAGTATCCCCGTCTTTGCTTCTCTACAGCAAATTAAGTAATCCAAAGTATTCAGATTACGTTACTCACTTTAAGTAATTTAATGGATTCCGTTACAAACTACATTTTGGGGTATGTAATCTGTAATCTGTAGGGGAATATATTTTAAAAGTCACCTTCCCAACACTGCTAATAGGGATGTAACAATAACCGAAATTTTGTTGTATCGTATTGTCAAAAGTCTTATAATAATGTCATGGACCATCACAATATATCAAATCACAAGTTTCTTTTCTTAAACTCATTGTTATGGTGCAGCAATAGCTAAAAAACAGAGGGAACTACATAGCCCATGATCCTTTGCGCTGTTTCAGTCCAATCTACATGTTGAAATAACAGTTATTAAGCACTTTTAAATCTTAAATGTTTGGATTTTGATGAGAGTAAAGTAGCATATTCACATTTTTTTTAGCCTACATAAAATATCGCAATAAATACTGTGAGACCCACATTGTGAAAATATCGTATTGAGAGAATTGGATATCGTTACATCACTAGTAACTAATGAAAACAAGTCCTATACTTTTATTTAAAATCTGTTTCTGAAACTTTTTCTGAAACTCTATATTCTAAGAATATTTGAATATTGCCAAAAGTCTATGGGAAAAAATTATGGAAATTTATTTGAGCTCCATAATATTCCACAGTATGATAATAAAACATATTTATCTCCATGGAGAATTAGTGTTGTAGTGTTCGAGACAGGCCTCGAGACCACTTTTTTTTATGATCTTGGTGTTTCGTCTTGGATTGAACGCATTTGGACTCGGTCTTGTCTCGGGCTTGAAGGCACTTGGACTCGGTCTTGTCTTGGATTCGAGTTCTGACACTTGTCGAGTGCGATCGTATTTTGTTACGGCCACTACTGTTGGCAATAAACCTGCACCGGAGCTCCTCGCTGCAGCCTGTGTGCTCGTGTACAGCCCATGGACCAAAAAATAAATAAAAATCCTACTAACTTTCTTCACTTTGAAGCAGTTTTCTGGAAAATGCCAGTAGAAGTTCTCTAAAAGAAGGGGTTCTCAAACTGTGGGTGAAGGTCAAAAAAGAGGGGCGCAGAGTGTTTCAGTGCAGTACAGTTTGCTTGGTTTATTTTAAACTTAAATGAACAATTATTAGATAAAATGGAGATAGATTTATAAAAAAAAAAAACCATTAATATTTATGTGCCAAAATATCTGTAAAATACAAATAAATGTAGAAAATGACAAAGATGGTCTCAATTTGGTCTCTATGGGCCGCGGTCTCGGTCTTGTCTCGGTCTCGACCCTCAGAGGTCTTGGTCTTGTCTCGGACTGGTCCTGGTCTTGATTAGTGCGGTCTTGACTACAGCACTATGGAGGATGTTTCGAAGTATGTTTTTTTAAACTTTCTATCTCCACGGGATCATACTGAGTTCTTATCATCTGTACAGTTTTCAGTCTGTCTTTTGGCGTTAATAATAGGTTTGTTTTGGTTTGTTTGAGAAAAATATTAAAAGAATATTCACTTGATTTCTTAAACATTTGAATTCCATTTAACATCGCATTAAAAAAAAGTCTTAAAGTCCAAATAGCTCTTGTGTAGAATGCCTATTTTCCAGTGCCTGGTTTAAAATGGGCCACTGGGTCAAAGCTATGCGAGCGCTGGCAGCCTGTGTTTAAGTGGTTTAATGCAGCCGTGGCGTATTATTAGAATGAGGTTTACCATCTTATTTTTGGAGCGTATAAATCACCTCCACTGCTCCTCGGCGTGTATTTTGGATCCAGGTCTGAGTAGGTCTACAAACAGCTGCGGCCCCATCCACACTCACTGTCACAGGGCGCAGGAATGTGGAGCCTCTGTGTTCGATTTGAAGACTAAATATGGTGCGTAGGTTAAAGCGCAACTCAAAGATAAAATATTTTGACGGTGGGGAATGTTGCCTGGGCGTGTGGATTTCTTTATGGGAGCAATTATGCCACTTAAAGGCTCTGTGCCCGATTTTAACTGTCTTAAAAGCGTGAAAAACAGAACAAGTTCATTTTAAGCGGTTTGCAGCGGTCCAAAAATATTCCTCACTTACCTCATGCAGTCAGAGCATCCTAATTATTCACCATGATGAGTTTATAAGCACTTTTCACAACTCTCAGAGACTAGAACACAGTTTTACAGTGATGGTAAAGGAAACAATAACTACAAGGTTCCTACGGTCTTGTAAATCCTGGAAAAGTCATGGAATTTTAGTATCTTTAACTATAGCTTTCTGTTAAGTTCTCATTAGGCTATTATGATTATTTCTGAACATATGTGCCTTTTTTTAACCCTTGCGCACCCCTAAAATAATCAAACCTGTGTCCATTCGTGACAAAAATGTACACCAGAAAAGAATACCACAATATTTTTATGCAGTATGGATTTTTGTCCAGCTTTTTTAGATCAATGTCTTCATCTACTTCTGCCCTAATCATACATAACAAAAATATATATATTATTTAATAATATAATGGAAGTCAATGGAACAAAAATGTACCCAAGGACCATGGGTGTGAGTATTTTGATTATAGACAGTTCAATTAATGCAGGGGTGTCAAACTCAAAGTCACAGAGGGCCAAAATTAAAAACTGGGACTAAATCATGGGTCAAACTAAATATTTATTAAAAAATTTTAACAACATCTGCATGTTTTCTCCTCTTCCGAGATATGTAACGTTAAATCTTTATTAAAATAAATGTTTAATAATAGTTTTGCTTAAACACTGAATCCAGAACAAGCAGAATATAAAATAATAACAAAATTTTAAATAAATAATGTCTCTATAGTTTATCTGTAGCCGACGGGCAGCTCTAATACATATTTGATATGATCTCGTGGGTCAAATATAATTATATCGCAGGCCTGAATTTGTCATGTCTGAATTAAATTTATGTGTTCAAAAAAAAAAAACACAGAAATTTGGTGCAGTATGGCCAGAGTTATGCAAAAACAAAAAGTTGAGATGTACAAAAATGTACCGAGGGGAGCAAGAGGGTTAAAAGAGACGACAATAAATGGACTGACAGTATTTTGAATGTAAAAAAAAAACTAATCCCAAACCATAAGGTGAGTGGAAAAGGTTAACATTTCATATTTAGCTCTAAAAGTCTGATCAATTCTACACATTTAGGTGCCGTAGAGTCTTGGAAAATTCACTTTAGGTCATGAAAAAGTCATGGAAAACGCACACTTCCTGATTCTCGGACAATACAGCACTTTAACCTCAAGAGCTGCTTATAGGTTATATATTTGCACTGGGGAAAGACACATGTTCCTAGGTAGAGGCCCTGTAAAGATAATAACATTACATCATGACAGATATAAAGTCAGCTATTGGCATTTCAGCAGCCAGTTTAAAATAGCTGACCAAAATACTGTGTAACCGAATTATACTTGACGCGTTGTTGTAAGCTGACGTTGGAACTTGTGCAGACCGCAAACAGCTATTTCTGGCCCGCTCGGTGTTAAAAGTAGTGGCAGTGCTGAATACGCAGACTTGTAAAACACATATTGGTGTGTAGCGTCTGTGCTTCTCGGGCTCTCTGCACGTTATATCACACAAACAAAAATCAAAACCGAAATTTGAGTCAGCCGATTGTCAAAACACAAATGGTGCAATTGTACAAATAATAGAATGCTTTAAAGTCTTTTTTATTAGATAGATCTTGTTGTGCCCTCTGCAAATGTGTTTTGAGTGGAATCCATGGGAGTGTCAGTTCATATTTTCATCTTCTCTGTGTAATGTTAATGCGCTCTGACTTGTTTACAATGAGCACAGGTGACTGAAGCCTGCGTGATTGATCTTGTGCGTTGTTTCTTGTCTCGTGTGCAGGAGTACGACGAGCTGGTGGAGAGTCAGGCCAAGCTGGAGGAGAAGCTACAGGAGCTGGAGGCCAACCCACCCAGGTAACACCAGAATTTCATCTATAGGGTGTGCAAAAATATTGAAATATAAATAAATTGTATCGTTTAAATTGATGATACAGTATCAATATCATGGGCTGCTGTATTAATATATCGCCAAGAGTTTTTTTTTTTTTTTTGTATATTTTACTAAATTATTTCGTTATAGCTAGGGATGTAACAATAACCGAAATATCGTGATATCGTATCGTCAAAAGTCTCACAATAATATCGTGAACTGTGACAATATATCGAATTACAAATTTGTTTTATAGCAGTAGTACAGGGCAGCTGCGAGGTCTTAAATTTCATGTTCCTAAATTAAGGCCTTAAAAAATTTAAAATTATTTTGTCCAAGTTTTATTTTTTTCACAAAGGTCTTAAATTTCATTAGTCTTTTTTTTTTTTTAATATACTCAACCAGGCTGCAGTGCAATGTTGTAACAATGTAATGTGAATGAACATCTAATTTGGAGTATGCGCAAACAATACTTAGTTTGTCTTGTCTGAATCTTGTAAGTGATTTTTTAGCCATTTTACAAACAATGCATACGACTATAAATGAGTTCTGAATGAGAATTTATAACGAAAGCATTTTTTGTTGTTTAAAGCAGTGTGTAATGGTCATTTTGAGAACTGGATCTGGTGATTTTCGCCGACACAGTGGGTGCGATGTTGGTCTTAATTTTCATTTAAGTGGTCTTAAAAAGGTCTTTAAAAAGTGTTAAATTTGGGGTAATCAAACCTGGGGATACCCTGTCGTAACTAGGAATGTAACAATAACCGAAATATCGTGATATCGTATCGTCAGAAGTCTCACAATAATACCGCAGGGTGTCACAATATATCGACTCACAAGTTCCTTTGCTTAAATGCAGGTTTTATAGTAGCAACAGCTTATGAACACAACAGGAACTACATTTCCCATGATTCATTTCAGCGCAGACAACATGAAGTTACGTTTTTGACTGGAATTCTTGGGATTATGACAGAAATAATTCATACCAAATTCTTGTCAAGGTATTTTAAAAGCAAAAAAGCGTCCTATCTGCAATTATATCAGCCTCTTTAAAATATCGCAATAAATATCGTGATTATATCGCACCGAGAGATTTGGATATCGTTACATCCGTAGTATTAACAGCTTATAAACATAGGAACTACATATCCCATGATTCAGCGCAGACAACACGAAGAAATGTGTTTTTTAAAAGCAAAAAAGTCTACATTTATATTAGTCTCTCCAAAATATTGCAATAAATATCGTACATTGAGATGTATATCGTGATAATATCGTACTGAGAGGTTTGGATATCGTTACATCCCTAGTTACAGCGCTACAGTTTTGTTGTTTGTTTAGAGGAAGGAAACTGGATTTTGCAACACATTTGACATTTTTGATGAGTAAAATGGGTGTGTTTCTTATTAACTTTGCACAAGAAGTGGTTTAACAAACACTTTTAGTATCACAGCCTCGATTTAGCCTTTATTTTTTATTGAACCGTATCGAATCGATTTGAAATATACTGAATTAAACTAGGGCTGGGTATTATTAAGAAGTTGCCGATACAATACATATCTCGATACAGTGCACTTTCAATTCGATATTATATGTTTCAAAACAATTTGATACATCAATAAAAAATAAAGTCTAAATCATGGCTGTGATACTAAAAGTCTTTGTTAAACCACTTTTTGTGCAAAGTTCATATGAAACACAAACATTTTAATCCTAAAAACATTGAAAATATCAAATGTGTCACATAAATGAGTTTCCTTCCACTAAACGAGCAACAAAACTGTAACTGTAACAAAATATCTTGGTCAAATATACCAAAACTACAGCAGCCCATGATATCGATACTGTTTCATCACATTAAGCAGTAAAATATTTTTGCACACTCCAATATTGAATTGCATAGAATCAAAAACTCACTGTATCGAGATATGTATCGTTTCATGGCCTATGTATCGTATCGGCAACTTCTGAACGATACGCTACCTTAATACACTATTCGAAACAGAGCGCTGAGCCTGCAATAATCTTAAAATTAAAGGTCAATTTAACTAAAACATAGTCAGCATTTTTATTTTTATGTAAGATTTGACTAGAAATCTTATACTTAGACTTTAGACTTTACTTATATTTAGACAAACTTTTTTGAGTCAAAAGGGAAATTATTTGGACATAGTAGCTCACACATGACAATATAATATTATAACAAAGAGAAAAAATATAAATCGTAATAATAAATTCTAAATATGTAGCAAAAAGAAAGAAAGAGTTTTTATAGTTTGATTTCCTGGTTGGACGCAGGCCACAGATATGACATACATAAGGTAATTTCATAACCGTTACCTATAACAACCATGATATTAACACTATATTACTCAAAATTGACTCTTGTGAGATTTAAGCCGTGTTATAATGTTGTTACCTCATTAAAAACACACTTAAGAGTTGTTTTGTCTCATTCACACACGTCCTCCTCGAACTCAAAAGTTCCAGGGCTGAAATTATCCAAATGATTCTAGCGAAGGTGCACGGAGTTTAAAAACACAGTGAAGAGAATTCAGCCTAAATATACAGGCTTTGTGTGTGTAATATGACCCTCCTAACCCTGCCTAGTTAGTTTTTTATCGTTTTATTTCCGAGTTGAACACGGGCAAGAGATGTTAACAGTTATGGAATTACCTCTATGTATTTCACAAAGGCCAAAGCGTGTCTAAATTGCACAAGAGTTAAGATTAGACTAATGAAAATAAACGATAACACCTGTGTTCTGTTAAATAAAGGTTTAAACTGCCAGAAAATTACCTTCTGTGCGTGTCAATTTGGCATTTTGGCTGGAATTTTTAAGATTTGCCTCTACTTCCTGTATTTTGGTACTTTTCTTTGAACTCACATTTTCCACAAAATGCCACTTAACGGATGTAAAACTGTGATAAATATTTAGCACAGTTACCAAGTCACAATTAGAAATACATTAAATTATTAAAAAGCATTAAACTTTAAAAAAATTTCTTTATCTTTGATTCGTTTTATGTTCAGTTGCACGTTTTTTTTATTTGCTTTAAATTTCTCAAACATAAAATCATTCTGCTGAATTATTCCAATTTTTTGTATCACTAAAATTTATAATACTCCCTACAACTGTACAACAACTCGCCCTTATGTAACAGATAATACTCCCTACAACTGTACAACAACTCACATTTATGGAACAGATAATACTCCCTACAACTGTACAACCACTCGCCCTTATGGAACAGATAATACTCCCTACAACTGTACAACAACTCACACTTATGTAACAGATAATACTCCCTACAACTGTACAACAACTCACACTTATGTAACAGATAATACTCCCTACAACTGTACAATTCAACGCTATGTAACAGATAATACTCCCTACAACTGTACAGCAACTCACCCGTATGTAACAGATAATACTCCCTACAACTGTACAACCACTCACCCTTATGTAACAGATAATACTCCCTACAACTATCTTCCTAAGGCCTCTTGTCTTAGATTTTATATTTTATTACTTATTTTTTCTTTTTTATTTAGACTTGTACATTTACATTTATATAATTATGTTTTATTTCACACCTGTTTTTTGCTGTTTTTTTGCTACTTACTTAGAATTTATTATGAATATTTATATTTTTTAGTCTTTGTTATTATATTATGTTGTTATAAGTCCTGCCATGTGACTGCTGTTGTGATTTTTTTGCTCTAAAAAAAAACAAAAAAAAAAAAAAAACACCCTGCTCCACCTGCTCACACCGGTCTAACTCTCTTCTCTCCTCCTCAGTGACGTGTACCTGTCGTCTCGGGACAGACAGATCCTGGACTGGCACTTTGCGAACCTGGAGTTTGCGAACGCCACGCCCCTCTCCACCCTCTCGCTCAAACACTGGGACCAGGTACGGGCTTGTGTGCAACCGTCAAATGTCCCAGCATGCCGTGCTCTGGGCGCCGGCCAAAGCACAGGGAAATTTGTTTTTGTTATGGCTCACAATTTCCAATCTTGCTTTTCTTTATGAATTAAGTGTTGTCACGATATTAAAACCTCAAACTGGATTTCAATACTAAGGAATAGACTCGATACTCAATACAGATTTTGATACCACAATGATAAAGTAAAAAAAACACTCTTTATTTAGACACTAGTATGTTTTTTTTTCAGCATTAAACAGTAGTACTTTCATTTCTCGTCTATGTGCTCTTATACTTGTTCTGAAACCTCTCAAGATCATTCTAACAGGGTTCCCACAGTCATGAAAATCCTGGAAAAGTCATGGAAATTGAATGTCATTTTCTAGGCTTGGAAAAGTCATGGAATTTTAGTATCTTATTCACTCAACTACAGCGTTCTTTTAAGTTCTCATGAGGCTATTCTGATTATTTCTGAACGTCTGCGCCTTTTTGTTTAAAACAGACGACAATAAATGCACTGACAGGATGTTGAATATTAAAAACTATAATCCCAAACCATAACATGAGTGGAAAGGGTTAACATTTCATATTTAGCCCTAAAAGTCTGATCAATTCTACACATGTAGGTGCTGTAAAGTCATGGAAATTTTTAGTTGGAAACCTAAAGCTATTCAGGAAAGGCTCATTTCTGTGCTGTGAATGTGACTTTTTTAGTATCGACCTGCTATAATTCCGCCCAATACCTGCTCAAATGAGTATTTAGTTTAGTATTAGTTTTAGTTTTGATTAGTATTTAATTTTCGACAATTAGTATTATTAGTGTTTAAATTTCCACTTTTGACAACCTAAATATGAATATACCCGATCTTTTCTACATATCATATTTTCCGTACTATTGCTATTTCGCTCTTAAGCCTCCAACCCCATCAAAAAATGACTCTGCACCCCACAATCCAGAGCGCCCCATACACGAATCCACTCGGGTGTCCCAGCACGACTTCAGTAAACTACAAAGCCGCACCACCCACAGTACACGCAAACACACACAGACAGAGTAGACAGCGACCGCACAGCGAAACACACCCGCAGACACACTCATCACTCCACGCCGACGAGGAACGGAATGGAGGAACGAACCGAAAAAGCGAGCGCAATGTGCCACTTCTAGACACGACTGAACAACTGAGTCACTGCGAACACGCCGACAATCCAGTGGTCCCAGACAGCACCCTCCCTACACGCCACAACTGAACAAAGCCCAGAGTCACCGTGAACGCCACAAACAAACAAAACCACTCACCCATCACACTGTTGTGTTTCCTTTAAAGTCCCACACGGTTCATTTGTGAAAAAAGTTAGAAAATAGACCATTTAATGTCAGCGCGCCTTATAATCCAGAGCGAATAATAGTGCGGAAAATACAGTATGTAGTTTTGATACTAGTTTTAATATTGATTAGTACCGTAACTATAAGCAGCTACTTTTTCCTCACACTTTGAACCCTGCGGCTAATAAAACGATGCAGCGAATATATGGGCGGATTCTTTGTTTGGCACATTGTCCATTCATACAAAACAGTCTATGGTTTGGAAACACAGCGGATGAACACGCAGCTTGAGAAACGGCCAGAAAACGCCGCTGTCTGTGCGGTTCACACGTGGATCTGGAGTTAACATGAAGTTGCTACACGAGCTCGCAATTGTCTGTAAATGATGAGAAGAAACGTCTCACACTTCAGCAGCCTCACATCCACTCAGACTTGATTGATGGAACTAACCCCGCCCCCGAGAGAGTCTGAAATCTGCTGAAATCCTCCAAGACACTGACATGACACAGACAAGACAGAGGCTTTTTCTGCAGGAGACATGTGCAGTAGAGCGCGGGGAGGAGAGACGGCGGTGATGCGCCGAGGAAGACACTCGTTTCATTGCGTTTTGAACAGTTATTTTGCGCTTCATACAAACACCCTCCTCATGGAAAACACATGAAGAAATGCAGATAATGCAGCTTTTAAGTCGACTGATGTGTCTGTGGAAGAAGGAAACAGAGCGGCTGCACGTGAGCTCGACATCTGTGACTCGACGGTGAGATTTTGGCGACGGCAGCGTGACGAACTGACTCGACGCAAAAAGACGACAAAAACTTTCAGAGGCGATAAAAGCAAACGGCCTGATCTTGAAAACGTTCTTGAAGACGTGAACACCTGCGGCTTATATTCAGGTGCAGCCAATATATGTAAAATTTTGCAGTTTAGTTAAAATTTTGTTGATGCGGCGTATATTCAGGTGCGCTCAATAGTCCGGATTTTACGGTATCTAATTTTTTATACTTTTGACAACCTAAATATGAATATACTCAATTTTTTCTATAAAGCTATTTCCTGTTTTTTTTCAATGCATGTCACTCTCTGTACCAAAACATATTAAAAATAACGATACAGTGTCAAACTAACATGTTAAAATTTGATGATGGAGGGCAGGGGCCTGTATGAGCAACTCTGAAATTCACAGTTTTTGAAAGAAACCCCCAAACGTCTGAACCACAAATGTTTCTCCTTCTCATTATTTGTTTGAGGTCGGCTCCACGTACTCCTCTTATTAATCTCAAGGCTTAAAGGCTTAAAGTCCTTTCAACTGACAGCGAGCATGTCTTTGAGTAATGGCACCACTTTCTGAAGCGATTGTGAATCAAATACTCCAATTTTCTTCATTTATCTTGACAGAGAAAATGTTGAAACAAAAAACTGGCACAGAGTTCACGTGGATAGGCCCAGTAATTAGAGAGATATTAAAGCGCTACTGTCAGATCTATGTTCTAATGTAGTTTCCTCATCATAAACAGACCTGGAGTTGTGTTTTTTGTTTCATTTACACACACAAATTCTGCTTTTTAGGCTGAGTTCTTGAACTGAAAACACTCTGGTGGTGGAAAAATCTTTACTGAACTAACAGTAAAAGGAGCTGTTAACTTGAAAACTACAGCTTCATGACACAAGATGGAGCATTTTGAGCTTTGGAAACAACCTCAGACATGTGCGAATGAAACAAAACACAACTCCAGGTCTGTTTTTGAGGAGGTAACAACATTCTAACATGGCTCAAAGCTCACGAGAGAAGGATTAGTGTACCGTAATTTCTGGACTATCGAGCGCACCTGAATATAAGCCGCAGGTGTCCACGTCTTCGAGAACGTTTTCAAGTTCGGGCTGTCTGCTTTTATCGCCTCTGAAAGCTTTTGTTGTCTTTTTGGATTGAGTCAGTTCGTCACGCTGCCATCGCCAAAATCTCACCGTCGACTCATTGATGCTGAGCTCAAGTGCAGCAGCTCTGTTTCCTTCTTCCACAGCCACATGAGTTGACTTAAAAGCTGCATCATCTGTGTTTCTTCGTGTGTTTTCCACGAGGAGGGTGTGTGCATGAAGTGCAAAATAACTGTTCAAAACACAATCAAACGAGCGTCTTCCTCGGCGCATCATCCCTGTCTCTCCTAGAGCTCTACTGCGCATGTCTCCTGCAGAAAGAGCCTCTGTCCTGTCTGTATCATGTCAGTGTTTCGTAGGATTTCAGCAGATTTCAGACTCTCCCAGGGGCGGGGTTAGTTGTATCGGTCAGGTATGATGGAATGTCCGGCTACTGAAATTTGAGACGTTTCTTCTTGTCATTTGCGTGCCCACCTGCATTTAAAGCAGTTGTCTCCAACCTTTTTCATCAGGTGAGCTTTCTTTACAAAACTAAAATACTCAGTTTATTGTGACTGCTAAAACTTGTAGCTCTCTGGTATTTTCAAGTGCCACAGTGAGCCGTAAATGAGGTACAGTTCGATACCTATTAAAACAAACCATTATCTATTTATTAGTGCACAAAGTTAAGAAGGAAAATGTCTTTTTCGTATTCTGAGTGAAAAGAACCACTAACGGTGAATTAAATGGCTTTCAAACATCCGCAGAGCAAACGCAGAAGATCCTAACAAACCGTGGACTCCAACAAGTTCAACAACACATCGAGACTCTTGGAGGTTTTCATCTTTTCTGCGGTGAATGGCCCAGGAGTTTCCACCAAGTCATTGTGGATATCGCCCAAGTGAATATTTAGCCAGGTAGTTGGCGATTCTGACCAGAAATTTGGTTTGGTCCAGGCTCTGTAGGGGTTGAAAAGGGTGATTTGTCGTCAATCGTCTTCGGTCCTCTGCCGTTAGAGTGGATAAATAACCGGGATCAATACCCTTTACGTGCTTTCTCGCTCCGTCCGTCATGTTGAATTAGTGTTTCTTGCCGCCGACCAAAATAATTCCCAGCATGCAACGCGCGCTTTTTCAACAATGAAACTCACCTATACTGAACAATTATTTCATGCTGTTCTTTCTTTCAGACATTATTTAGTTAATTTTGAATGCATATACTTTTATTTTGAAATACAGGCTTTTACTTTGATACTCCACCCCAGTCCACGGAACCGAAAGTTTGAAAAATACATGAGAGATACAACAAGAGGCAACCAAACGGACTCATAGCGCTAAAAATCACACGCTTTTGTCAGCAATGAAACTCGCCTATATATATATATATGAACGGACAATGTGCCAAACAAAGAATCCATCCATATATTTGCTGCATTGTTGTATAAATCTCAGGGTTCAAAGTGTGAGAAAAAAGTAGCGTCTTATAGTCCTGAAATTACGGTAATATAGGAAATGTAACCAAGTCAGCAAATCTGTAATCTGAGAGTTCCACGGCAAATCCCACCGTAGAGTTCTGACCGGTCTCCAGCTCAATTTAAACTATAAAGATTCTAAAATGTGCTGATGTCACGTGAACACAACCTTTTGTTCATAACTGTAAATCCCCTGACCCCTCTGTGTCCTCTCCTCTCCAGGACGATGACTTTGAGTTCACGGGGAGCCACCTGACGGTCAGAAACGGATACTCGTGTGTCCCCGTGGCTCTGGCCGAGGGACTGGACATCAAACTGAACACAGCAGTGCGGCAGGTCCGGTACACCGCCTCCGGTAAGTCCACCTCAGCATCAGAGTCTGAGGGAGCAGAAACATGTAGGAAAGCTGTAGGACTATTCAGATCATCATGGCTGCAGGTATAAAGTCATCCTGCCTTTAAAAGCTTGTTCACATGGGGTTTCGACGTCTACAAACATGTTCTGAAATGCATGACAGGGTTTTTGGATTAGTTTAGCAGTTCAGATTTCAGTCTTCTCTGGAAATTGGCCATATAAATAAGGACTTTGAGCTGAATCTTGAGTTACTAAAATAAATCCCATGTATTGAGACACTGAGATAAATTACGGAACATTGAAAAGCACTCCTACATTTGTACTAGTCAGGGTTATCTTGGAGACAAAATCTATAGTTTAGTGGCGAACATTACTGTACATGTTAAAGTGAACCGTGTATTTGTCATGTCCCGGTGCAGGCTGTGAGGTGATCGCCGTGAACACTCGCTCCACCACTCAGACCTTCATCTATAAGTGTGACGCGGTCCTGTGCACGCTGCCTCTGGGCGTGCTCAAACAGCAGCCGCCCGCCGTGCAGTTTGTGCCGCCCCTCCCCGAGTGGAAGACCTCCGCCATACAGAGGATGGGCTTCGGCAACCTCAACAAGGTGGGACTCTACGTGTGCGGTCAGATACGTGCTAAAGACGAGGCTGTATGTGAGATAAGGCTGTGCAATTAATAGAATTTTGATCATAATTTCAGTTTGTGTGTCAGAAGATTTCCAAACTCCAAATATAATCGAGTTGAAAAGGTTTGTGCCAGCAAAAGTGAGGACTTGGGCGCGACGACTGTAGTTTTGTGATAATTCACGTGGTGCCCTAGCCTGATTCATCAGCCGGTTTCACTTCGTAGAAACCGTCTAACCTCGCAGTGTTAGAATTCGTTCGCTCGACTGTAGGCGTGACATAGGTAATACGCCGCTAATGGGGCTAACTGGTATATTAAGCTTTTCTCAAATCCCGTAGGAAGGACAATAACGTCTTTCCCCTTGATAAAATTCACCAAACATTCTCTTTGTTCCGACTTTAAATCCTTGATCTCGGGAATCGTTAACAACACAGAATGTATGTCTCTTCACTGATTGGCTGGTGCCAAAACTTGCACTTCCAGCGTTTTTGCGAACCGTCTAGTGTGTTCTGATTCCTGACCTAGTCGCTGGGGAGAAATGAAAGCGTAGGCACTAGGTGGTGTCAGCCTGACTAGTGGTGCCCTACGCGCTGTGTGTAATGTCAGTAATGGGTAGCTGCGGTACTGATTATATTATATAAACTCACGGAAGAGTGTATCACAGCAGGACTCCTATCTGCTTCACTATTTAATAGATATTTCTGCCGCTGGACTTATTTACTTCACTAAAAGCGTCTAAAGTCCTAGTGTGAATCTGCCCTAAAGCTTAACAAAGTTTATTTTGGGGTATTTTTCAAGATTAATAAGTATATTTATTTTATTTTTTAAATAGAGAAACTGTAACTGAAACAGCTGGATATATAGTTTATTTTGGATACATTTGTTTTTCTTCAGTTTTATTCATTTACTACAGACCTACAGGTGTGGCTGCTTGAGAAGTCCTGTACATTAGTATTCGTGTCCTGCAGTATTCTCAAACAAACCATAAATACCTCACACACCTGCAGTGATCAGGACCTCTGCCAGACCTCTGAACCATCTAATCTAATGACTTCTCCTTCAAATAATTCTTACAACAGCCCACTTATTCAGCACTTAAGCCAAGCTAGAGCAGTGCCAGCTGGCTTCTGCTCCGGCTTTTTGTACCAGAGCTCAGAGTTTGTTGAGTCTTGATACCAGTTTGATACCAGAATGATTTTTAAAGCTTTGTGTTGAAACTTAAGTAACATTAAGTTTTAAGTTTAACCAAACACATTTTACTCTGTGGTCTTTATAGTTCAGCAATGGTCACATTTAGACATATTTAGGTGTGTGCAAAAATATGTGATGATAATGTGGTGATACAGTATCGATATCATGGGCTGCTGTATCGATATATCGCCAAAAGTATTTTTGGGTGTATTTTACTAAATTATTTTGTTACAGAGCTACAGTTTTGTTGCTTGATTAGAGGAATTAAACTTGTTTATGCGACACATTTGACATTTTCATTTTTGATGATTAAACTGTTTGTTTTTTATATGAACTTTGCGCAAGAAGTGGTTTAACAAAGACTTTTAGTATCACAACCAAGATTTAGGATTTTATTTTTTATTGAACCATATCGAAATGATTTGAAATATATCAAATCGAATCAAAAGTGCACTGTATCAAGGTATGTATTGTATGGCCAACTTCTTAAATGATACCCAGCCCTAGTACTAATCGATATGAAAACTATGAAAACTTGAAGTGAAGCTAGGTAGTTACTTTCATCGACACTGAAAAAAATATTGAACTATGTGCAAATATGACTAAGGCTGGGTATCATTGAGAAGTAGCCAATACGATACATATCTCGACACATAGGCCACGATACGATACATATCTCAATACTGTGAACTTTCGATTCAATACAATATATTTCAAAGCGATTTGATACGGTCCAATAAAAAATAAAGGCCAAATCATGGCTGTGACACTAAAAGTCTTTGTTAAACCACTTCTTGTGCAAAGTTCATATGAAAAACGTCCATTTTACTCATCAAAACAGTGAAAATATCAAATGTGTTGCATAAATGAATTTCCTTCCTCTGAACAAGCAAAAAAACTGTAGCTGTAACAAAATTATTTAGTAAAATATTACGAAAAATACTCTTAGCGATACAATACATCGATATTTTTATATTTTTGCACATCTCTAATTATTATGTGGGCATGACCTTTAGTGTGTCAGATTTGTCAATAGTTTATTCAGCTGATTCATGCCGTGGAGCTCTAAAAACGCAGAAACCGAGGCACATTGTATTTGTGTGTTATTAATGGTGCAGAGAGGGCTGCTTCATCCCTCCAGTGCGGCTACAGCTGTGCTCACCTGCCTCTTCCACTGCTATTCTCAGACATAAATGTACCACAGCTCTGCGTGTGTGTGCGTTTATGTGTGTGAGGCCCGGGAGAGTGTCCTGCGTCACTCCTGACCCTTCATCTCCCCGACTACTGCAGCATTATGCAATCTGAAGTGTGGCCGTGTCCCCAGCAGAGGGAGCTGTACTGCCCTGTTCAGTCACTGTTGTGTGTAGCGGGTTTTGAATGGGAAGAATCCTGACTGTGTGTGAAAGGGGGGGCACTAAAATAAGTACACACATTATGGGGATTATCAGGTCCCCATGACACAAATCCTTAAATATGATTAAGCAAGTGGCAACTATACAGTGTCCAGGAAATGAATACAAGTGTAACGTCCCTGTGATGCATTGATACTCAACATGAACATGTGTGTGTGTGCGTGTGTGTGCGTGCAGGTGGTGCTGTGCTTCGACCGCGTCTTCTGGGACCCCAGTGTGAACCTGTTTGGACATGTCGGCTCCACCACAGCCAGCCGAGGAGAGCTCTTCCTCTTCTGGAACCTCTACAAAGGTACAGCAGCATGTGTGGACTCATTACACGCACATAGACTCACACACACACACAGACACACGCCCTGCTCACATAGGCAGCACTATGTGGGACCAGCCAGGAGGGTTACTGTTTCATCAACATCACAACTATGCTGAGATGAGCAAAGTAATGTAAATGAGGCTAAAAACTATAGCTGCAGTGCATATATGGAACAAGACTGTAGCACAAGAGTTCTAATAAAACAAATCGTGTAAAAAAAACAACAACTGCTGCTTATGCCCAGGTTTGGGTGGTAGCACTTCCACTTGGGTCAGAGGTGTCACTGCTGTCACATGTCTCTGATCAGCTGTTGTTCCATTTGTCGTGCTCAGTCTGACTGATCTGGCAGATCTGTGGGGGGTGATAGAGTTGGGGTATAGGCGTATGGTTGTCGATCTGTAGGTAATCATGTGATTTGTCCTTCTTCAGCTCCCATCCTGCTGGCTCTGATGGCGGGGGAGGCGGCTGGGATCATGGAGAACATCAGTGATGATGTTATTGTAGGACGCTGTCTGGCCATTCTCAAGGGCATCTTTGGGAGCAGTGCTGTGCCTCAGGTCAGTGATTCTTACAGTTCATAAATAAATGAGTCCTGCTGTCTTATGTCAACGACTCACAAATCCATTTGATGTGACATTTTAGACTGAGCCATTAAAAAGCATTATCTCTGTGTGCAGCCGAAGGAGACAGTGGTGACTCGATGGCGAGCGGACCCCTGGGCGAGGGGGTCCTACTCGTACGTGGCAGCGGGCTCCTCTGGCAACGACTACGACCTGATGGCCCAGCCCATCACCCCGGGGCCCGCCATCCCAGGGGCCTCACAGGTATGACACTACACTAGATCAGGCCTCCTGCTGAATTGGCCCAGATTATCTTACAGTATTTTTTGCTGCATACTTCAATCACCTCAGTAACATCACATTGCATTGTGATACAGATTTATAAATTAGTGTTCCGTGGCTTTTTAAAGGTACAGTGGTTCTGTCAAACCTGTGTAAAATGCATCTGAAAGACTCCATTATCTGGTCTCTGGTCTGTGGCCGTCCTCTACAAATGACTTTCCGTGTGTGGCCTGATGAAAAGCGCTTGGACACCCGTCCTTTATATAAACTAAACCGATTCACTTTCAAAATATCACGTGCTTCCCTTCCGTGTTTCCTGCTCAAAAGCCTTGAGACGCTCCATTGGTAATGAAAAAGAAGAACATCTCCCTAATTTGAGCAACACTTAGCGTAATTACTCCCGTTGAATGCGTGTGTGACAGTGCCGGTGCAGACTGGTCCGACCTGTTAATAATAAAAGTGATTCCTGAGTGTGTACTGTGTTTACGCTCTGGTACTGCTCTGGTGTAAGTTGTGGATGACTTCTACACAAATTCAACTTTAAAACGATTGTACTGACTATAGATGTGTGTATAATGTCTTGACTCTGGATGTGTGTGTATATTGTCTTGACTCTGGATGTGTGTGTATATTGTCTTGACTCTGGATGTGTGTGTATATTGTCTTGACTCTGGATGTGTGTGTATATTGTTTTGACTCTGGATGTGTGCGTATCTTGTACTGAGTTGTGTATTTTTTTGTTCCCTGCAGCCCGTCCCGCGGCTCTTCTTCGCGGGGGAGCACACCATCAGAAACTACCCGGCCACTGTGCACGGCGCTCTGCTCAGCGGGCTCCGGGAGGCGGGCCGAATCGCAGACCAGTTCCTGGGCGCCATGTACACCCTGCCCCGGCAAGCCACGCCCACCGCCGCCCCCGCCGCAGCCAACCCCCTCAAGCCCCGCCCGCTCCTGCTGTTTAACCCACACAACACTGGAAAAGACTTTACCATTCAAACCCATCTAAAGACTGGAAGATAACATGAACTTGTGAACGGCCCTGTCGTCAGCGTGGCATTATGTTTGGGATGTTTCGGCTCCAGAGGCCTTCTCGGTTGTCTTAATACTATGAACTCTAGCTGGACGTTAAAGGACACATATTATGCAAAATTTACCTTTTTGAGTGGACAGCTGTGTTATAACATTCTTCCCTTCTTCCTAAAAACAGACCTGAAGTTGTTGTTTTTTTTACTTCATTCACGCTGGTTTCAGTATTTCTCTGTATAGTATCAGAAAAAGTTTGAATTTTCCCAGGATTGTTGCGTCACAGGTAGAAACCCTGCAGTGTTTAAGTCAACAAGCCGTTGCTGTTTTAAGCATTTGTGCCATCACATCAGATTTGTGACATCTGTCTGCTTACACGAGCGTGTCGGGGCAGGTTTCTTTATAGTTTTGTTAAATGATGTCACTTCCGGGTCCAGATGGCAACTTCACAAATCATTTGTAGCTTTGTTTTTTTTGACAAAATGCCATGTCCAAATACCTTTCAAAAGTATATGTTTAACCACAAATAGTATCAGATAAGATGTAAATAATAACTACTACTAATACTACTACTACTAATAATAATACTACTACTTGTTGCATAGGATTACCAGACTTCCAAACGCTATCATAACTTCTTACCTCAAATCTTGTACACTTTCAGTCACACTTGTAATTGTGTTTGTGTTAAACGACTGCAATCACTTTTTATCATCACCTGAAATTGTAAATATGTCTGATATTTTCAATCAGCTCTGGACCCAGAAGTCACATCACACTTAACAACCGTAAACCCTAAACTAGAGGTCTGAGCAGGAATGAATTTTCAGTCCTTCTCCCGCCCACATCTGCACTGTACAGTCTCGCTCCCGTCCACATCTGCAATATTTCGTCCTGCTCCTGCCCGCAAATCCCGCAATATGGGGGCGATCTCTTTCTTAAGCTCTATCAAACACAGAGAAGCGAAAAGGACTTCTCTAAAATGTGTGTGAAATTAGATCACATCCCCAGAGTTTTGAGAAGAATCCCTCAATCATCCACCAGTACGTGACCAGAACTGATGAGCTGTGAAACGTCTTCAATCGAACTTTTGTCCAGTCGACAAACTGAATTTTCTCCTCGTTTAGGCTGCTTAAAATGTTTTAATTAAGGCCAAATAAAATATCCAGCACAAATTATGTTTGACAGGCATACGTGAATCATTTGTATATTTTACTTTACACTCATATTTAGTTTGCAGGACTGATCGTCCCGCCCGCCCGCTCCTGCATTGAGCTTTCAAAATGTGTCCTGCGCTGCGCTGTTTTGCGTCAGGTCCCGCGGGTGCAGGACTCTACCCTAAACCCAGCTCAACAATGATCGCCCTCTGGTTCTGGAAGTACATTTATCACTCAATTTTCCTTTAGACTTTACAAAAAACAAAGAAAATTTACAGTTTGAATCCTCAGGGCTAATCTGGGCTCTGTGGAACTAAAGACCACAAGACACATCACCTGTTTCTTAAACTTATAAACAGCAAAGCTATTAAAGCATTCCACAGAATATTGCATTTCAAATTTAAAACAACTTATGGATATGAGTTAGTGTGAAGCTGCTGTGCCTTTTGAAATGTTAATACTTGAATTGTGGAAAGTCTACGGAAAAATACAAGAGGGAGCGGTCACTAAGCTTCATCAAGTTTCGTTGTTTTCTCCCATTGTAATTCCCTCTGCTGCCTATAGGTGGAGCCAAACACTAGATTCCATTATAGGGAGCGCTGAAGCTGGAACATAACCTTTAGTTTTATATATATATATATATGGCCATTATTCAAGTTCTAAAACACGAAATGCCAAAACTAAGGTACTCGAGAGCGTGTTTAAAGGCCAGACGCTATACAAATACTGCATAATATGTGTACTTTAAAGCCTACGTTTTCTTTCTGTTACGTTAGATTGAAGAGTCTAGTGAAAATAGCTCCAAGCTCAAAAGAAGAACATATGTGTGCAAGATCTGTGAATGTTTTTGTTGCTATAGCAGTTATGTATTTTATTAAGTCATCACAGACATTTTATATCGTCGATTGTTTTGCTATTAAAAGAGAAAAGTCTGTTTCCGTTTGTTTTTAATTCGTTAGGGTTTGAGATAGTGTTTTGCTCAAGGGTCTAATTCACAAATGAGTTTTTTAGGGGCATGTATAACTCAATGGAAGATTCTGTTTTTGAAAGAAATCTCCAAACTTACGCTCCACAAACGCTGAACTTTATTATTTTGTCATTACCTTACGCACTCTGAGCATTATAATTATTCACTCTGATGAGTTTATAAGCACTTTTCATAACTTTTTGCAGTTTCGCAGCGATGGTAAAACAACAACTAGCACCCTAACATGCACTTTCTGTTTTTCAGACAATAAAACGCTTTATAATTGCACACAGACGGTACACAGTGGGCAAATTTTGACCACTAAAGCTGCTCATTTGATATATTTGTATCAGGGAAAGACACGTTTTTCTCAAATGCATGGAAGAAAAATCAGGAAAAGCGCCTTTAACCATAAATTAGGTCAACAAATCTGAAACCAGACTGGTAAACAGCAAATTCAAAACAGTTTTTAACATAATTTCATGGGATTTTAACTAAGAAGTGCAGCATGTGCAGTTACACTCCGCCATTCCAACATATCGCCACACTGACTTTGACGTCTAACTGTCGGCATTTCCATTTTTTATCAAACATCCCTGCACTCTGACAATTTTTTTTCTTTGGTCAGAGTCGCGGCACTTTAGCTTTTTTTTTTTCAATATTCCACCATTCGGACTCACAAGATAATTATTAAGTTGCAGCGACGCTCTTTTCGGGACAATATTTTCACGCACCGGCGATGTAGGAGGCGCACAGTGCACGTGACATGGTTTAGTCCTGGTTAAATCCTGGTTTAGATTTGATTTTTGTCCTTGTTTAGTCCTTGTTTTAGTTCTGGTTTAGTTCTGGTTTTAGTACTGGTTTAGACCTGGTTTAGACCTGGTTTAGACCTGGTTTTAGTCCTGGTTTTGACCTGGTTTAGACCTGTTTTTTTGTCCTGGTTGAGTCCTGGTTTTAGTTCTGGTTTAGTCCTGGCATTAGTTCTGGTTTAGTCCTGGTTTGGACCTGTTTTTTGTCCTGGTTTAGTCTTGGTTTTAGTTCTGGTTTAGTCCTGGCTTCAGTTCTGTTTAGACCTGGTTTTAGATCTGGTTTTAGACCTTGATTTACACCTGTTTTAGTCCTGGTTTTTGTTGTGGGTTTAGAGCTGGTTTTAGTTCTGGTTTAGAGGCGCCGCCCATCTGTGTGAGAAGACACAGTCCACGTGGCGTACGGGAGGAGGCGTGGCCCACAAGGTGTACACGAAAAAATCTTACAATGGTACGTAGCACTGATCGACTTTCACCTTCGCTCGTTAGATGTTGAGATCAGAAAAACACCGGTATTCTACAAACACAAGGCAAAAAAGTGAAACTATGAGTAGGTGCCTCTTGCCTAGTTGATATGCTACAGGCTTTTCACACCATAATTGGCAGCAAATGTGGCAAAAGACTTTCAGAGGAAATACTTCGAAGAAATGAACCGTTTCATCATCAACTGAAAAACCTGGTTCCACCTGGACACTGCTGTGATGCTCCAGGATGCAAAGGAGAGACACTTCTCCTGCTCATTTTTGAACAGGAGAAGTGTGTAAGTTGTAAGTTTGGACATTACTTAGACTAGAACAGATTCATTTGTGCTGCAGGAGGGACAATAAAGCAGGTTTAGAGAGTTTTATTAGAAGTTAGGTGCTGACGGAGCATTCCTGTGGTGTACCTGAGCATCTCTTCTCCTCTGTGGGCTCTGCTTATCCTGCACTACATCAGCTGCTCTCACCTCCTCCTCCTCCTGCGGGACAGGGCAGAGGAACATGCTGAGTCAGCCTGTGAACAGCTGTGGGTTTAAGGTCCACGGCGTGAAGGAAGAGCACAGAGGAGACAGGGTTCCCACTCTTTTTACTGACAACATTTCTAAACTTTTCCTTGACTTTTTCATGACCTAAAGTGAATTTTCCATGACTTTTACAGCACCTACATGTGTAGAACTGATCAGACTTTTAGGGTTAAATATGAAATGTTAACTCTTTCCACTCACCTTATGGTTTGGGATTATAGTTTTTTAACATTCAAAATCCTGTCAGTGGATTTATTGTCGTCTCTTTTAAACAAAAGGCGCAGACGTTTGGAAATAATCATAATAGCCTCATGAGAACTTAACAGAACGATGTAGTTGAGTGAAAGAGATACTAAAATTCCATGACTTTTCCAAAACATTCATTGAATTACTGTAAAAAACTACATGACTTTTCCAGGCCTGGAAAATGACATTTTTAACTTTTACAGGATTTCCATGACCGTGGGAACCCTGAGGAGAGCTGTGAATACAAGGATTTAGAACAGGAGTGTCAAACTCAAATTCACAGAGGCCAAAATTAAAACCTGGGACTAAGTCGTGGGTCAAAATAAATATTTATTGAAAAATTTCAACAACATGTGCATGTTTTTGCTTCTTTCGAGATATGTAATGTTAAACCTTTTCTTATTAAAATAAATGTTTAATAACATTTTTGCTTAATCATTGAATCCAGAACAAGCAGAATATAAAATAATAACAAAATTTAAAATAAATAATGTGTCTATAGCTGATCTGCAGCCCGCGGGTCAGCTTTAAACATATTTGATATTATCTCGCAGGCCAAATTTAATTATATCACGAGCCAAATTTGGCCCATGGGCCTGAGTTTGACATGTCTGTTCTACACACTTAAAGCTCTTAACATCAAGGAACTACTCACCCATTCACACACACACACATACACACTTGAGGCGTACGCAGACACTGGGGGCAGGGCGGGTTAAATGTCTTGCAAAAGAGGAACTTTGAATTGCACCTGTGGGTCAGAGGACAAACACCAAATGAGCCACTGTCACCCCTCCTCCGGGCACTCAGGTTTCCTCCATCGACCCAAAACAGCTGAGGTCCTCCTGACCAAAACTACGTAGGTCATAATGTTCAGATGGGTCCTACAGCTTCTGGCAGGTTTCACCCAGACACACTGAAGCATGGGTCAAATGTAGAAGACAACTTTACCTATGTGGACAATAAAGTGTTAAAGAGTAGAACAATAGAACATTTGGATAATAAGAAAGGAAAAAAAAGACTTCTACAACTATTCATTATTAAATTGGTTTTGAGTGTGAGGCTTATAAATGGACCCGGTCAAGCAGAAGCAAACACCAAGGCCAAAAATTCAAGTTAATGCATCTGATATAAAAATGTATTCAACAGATACATATGTACTCTAGTTTATGAAACTGTTTGACCTTTTTTCTGTACCATTTTTTGTTCTAAAGTTACATATGTTTTAAACAGACCATGTATGAAACATGGAACAAAAATTATTTCCCAAATTTCAAAGACCTGCAAATCATGTAAATAAATGGATGTATTTCATCATATCTTGTGTTATTCCATCTTTGAACTGTTGATGAAGGGACATGATTTTTCAAAAAAAAAATTATTTAAAATGACAAAAATTTGCTTGGAAGGACTGACAATATTAGTTTCCTGCACCTTTATGGCTTCTAAATATGTTTCCAAAAGTAAGAGTTTTTCAACCTAATCTTGTATAGTGAAGAACCAGAACCAAGAGTTATCACTGTTTGTGTTTATTGCCCAAAAAGTGCTGCATATTTCATTCCCTCCGTTACCAACATGAGTTTTTTTTAATTTTTTGTCAACAACTTGAAAGAATATCACAGGTTTAACTTGACCCTGTTGGAGTGTAACTCTTTCCTACATTCTGATACTTTACTTATTTCAATAGTCCCTCTAGTTTCTGAATAAGAGACATTTGAATGTCAAAAATCTGCTCCTGTTTCCCTCCGTTACCACTTGACCAGACCCATATGTATTTCAGAACGCTAAATAATTAGGATCGTTGCCATAGAGATTAACAATTTAAAACTATTTTATTTATGTCAAGAGACAGGATTCAAACCACTGACCTCTGCAAAGCTGTAGTGAAGCTGAAGTGAACCACTAACCACAGTACGGACTCCTGTGAGCTTTAAGATGTTTTATAATATTCCATCTCAAAAACAGACCTGGAGTTGTGTTTATGTCTCATTCAAGCATATTTGAGTAATCCTTTATTATTTTTATTAGTCTGTCTACATCTCCAAAGCTCGAAATGCTCTGCTCCACCTTGTGATGTCATGTTTTAATGAGTAATAATGTAATAATTATAGGGTTATGTAATAATTTGTAATAATAATAGCTGTATGTATGGACCTAATGAAGACGCTGATGAAGTTAGACCCAAAAGTACTAAAGCCTGATTACTGCTCCAGATAGTTGTCATGTTTTCTGAAGTATCACCTTGTGCCCTTTAGCTCTTTAGCGCGTCCATATCCATGTCCACATATCTGCATGTCAACACCCTTCAGCTGTCTGCACCTCTGCGTACACACACACACACACACACACACACACGCACACTGTACATACACGCTCATAGACACATACCACGAACACACATACCAGCTTCAGCACTGATCCAGGCACGCTCCCCCAGGACACGGTGGGTCTGCAGGCCGAGGCGAGCGCACCTGGGACGTGGAGGTGCGGCCCGGCGTGATGGAGAAGAAATACTGCGGTTATGTGCTTAGGGTCAGACCTCCTTGTCAAAGCCCGATCTCATCAGCTCGCAGACGCTGAGCAGGACTGGGCCCAGGGTCAGGACTTGGATGGGAAACCAGTGAGAATTCCAGGTGCCACAGTGAAGCGTTAGTCGTTAAAAAAATAAGAATAAAATTGTCATTGTGTCCTTATTATGCCACTGTCACACCTTGACAATTTAGCCAGCGTATGCCGACATATGAAAAATTTGGCAAATACCCTGGCGTACGTCGGATAAGTTCTAGGTAAGTATTGTTGTATAAGTTCTGAGCTCGCTGAAGCACACTGGCATAACTTACACACAGGTTCAAAGCTCGTTACTCATAAGTTATGGGTACGCTAGACATTTTCTCAACATATTTGGACTTATG